CACCAACTCCTGGAAACTGGCTGTTGGGAAGCAGACAAGAAAACACCTCCCAGTTCTCCCAGTCAGCCTGGATGACTGGGAAAAAGAAGAGATGAGAGGGTGGGGAACAGGGGAATAACTTTCAACAGCTTCTCCAGCACTACCAGGTGCAAACGCAAGAAAAGAAATCCAGGAACAGGACAGAGTCCAATTCTTCAGGATTTATGTTGCCCCTGTGGGTGTCTACTTTCCTAGACCATGTGGCACATGCCTTGCTATTTGGCAGGTCTGGAGGCCATAGAAAAATTCCAGAGATCAATACAACACCCAGTCTTCTCACTCAATGCTCCTCCATTATCTCAGCTCTTTGACAGTCAGCTAATATCTGCAGTGTATTTAAGGAGTAAATAAACCGTTTGAACACCGTTTGAGGACCCACTTTGTGGGGGCAATAAGCTGACTTTGTATAAATATACAAAAGTGTGAAGGCTATTGCTTAACGCATTATAAGCCCTGAGTCTCTGGAGAAGGGCGGCATATAAATCAAATTAAAAAAAAAATTGCTTTTCCAAAATATATTCTACAAGTTCCTCTGCAGGGGATCCCTCAGAATGAGATGTTCCTGCACAAGGACCACCAAAGGGAACGGACATCCTGCATTGGATTGTGTGCAGAAATCTTCAAATTATAAAATGGAGAGGAGCCATTTGGGCATCAAGTCTCTCAGAAAGGTTAGATTTTGTAAAAAAAAAACAAAAAAAAAAAACTATATTGGTTGGGATCCATTCTCCCCATCCTATAGCAAGGAACAGAAATGGGGATTCCCCATTCAAACGCACAGATTTGTGTCCCCTCATAAGCACAATATTTAGAATAGAATAGAATAGAATAGAATAGAAAGAATAGAATAGAATAGAATAGAAAATAAATAGAATAGAATAGAATAGAATAGAATAGGATTTTTTTATTGGCCAAGTGTGATTGGACACACAAGGAATTTGTCTTTGGTGCATATGCTCTCAGTGTACATAAAAAGACAAGATACATTCGTCAAGAATCATAAGGTACAACACTTAATGATAGTCATAGGGTACAAATAAGCAATCGAATCCTACTAGGAAACAATCAATATAAGGATACAAGCAACAAAGTTACAGTCATGCTTGTTTATACCTGTATAAATGGAGATCATACAGACATAACTTAAAATAGAGCAGCCTTTCTTATCTATCCCAAAGGTGCTTTTTTCAAAAAGGCAACTGGAGTTTGTTTTTCCTTGAAGACGTTTCACTTCTCCTCCAAGAAGCTTCTTCAGTTTCAGTTTTCAGTTCTTGGAAACTTGTCGGTAAGAATATATGTCGGAAAAGCTACTGCTGAAGAAGCTTCTTGGAGAAGCGAAACGTCTTCAAGGAAAAACACAGCTCCTTTTGAAAAAGCACCTTTGGGACAACTGTGAACTGGATCAGAGTTTCCAACCTTGGCAACTTTTAAGACTTGTGGACTTTAACTCCCAGAATTCCTCAGCCAGCAAAGCTGGCTGAGGAATTCTGGGAGTTGAAGTCCACAAGTCTTAAAAGTTGCCAAGGTTGGAGACCCCCTGAATCCTGGATGACTGCAAATCTCCATAGAAACTTTCTCATCTGCTGTGCTCCAGAGAGCTTGGTCTACCACAGAACCCCCAGGAGGACCGTATCTCCAAAATGCATGCAAGATCTCACCTAAGATGGGCAGGAACCGTGGCATCTGGGGACGTCTAGGCTTGAAAAGAAAGAACCGGATAAATCCCGCTTCGCTTTTGCAATGAACGGGGGGGGGGGATCTGCTTCCATCCACCCCATGCTAAAGTTGGGGATGGGGATGATGGGTACCCAGCGAGGCCAGGATCAGGAGACACATGCATGCATGCATGCATGCATGTATAATCCGGATTCTGCATACATGCATGTATGCATGCATGCATGCAGAGTCCGGATTAAAGGGGGGAGGGGGCGATCCTAGCTAGCGCTTCTTTAGGATCGATCCTTAGGGACCCGCGCACACCACCCAAAAAGCTGGACCAGACAGGGAATCCAGTCCAGCCGCCTCCCCGTTGGCGCCCAAGCCCCAGCAAGGTGGAAAGAAGGAAAGCACCTGGTCACCGGCTCCAGCCGGGGTTCCCCAGCCGCCGCAGCCCCCGGGAGATCCAGCCGCGACCGCAGGCAAGGGAGCGTCACCCCCCCCCTAAACAAGGAAGTTTTCCTTGCTCCTCCAGCAGCCCCCCCCCACGCGCCCCTCCCGCGAGCGCCAGTCAGACAGACAGCCAACCGGACTGCCCCAATGGGTAGATCTTCCTCCTGGGCCAATAGGAACCTGGCTAGATGATGACGTAGAGGAGGGGCGGGGCTACGGGATAAACTTTGGGGAGGGCGAAGGAGGAGGGAGTCATTCACCCCCCACCCACCCACCCCCACCCCCAGAGGCTGACAGGAGGGGTGGCACCGGCTCTGCTTGTCCAATGTAAGCGCAGCAGGCGAGAGGCGTGCAAGCCGGGCATTTAGGATCGCTCAGGTCGCAATCCTCATCCATCCCCCCCCCCACCCTTGGAGAAACCCTGAGTCACATCGACTCAGGAGAAAAATCGGGATACGGGCAGGGGTGGGGGTCTAAATTTTTTTTACTACCGGTTCTGTGGGCGTGGCTTATTTTGTGGGCGTGGCTTGGAGGTCATGTGACTAGGTGGGCGTGGCTAGCTGGTCAGTCTCATTTCTGGAAGGTCCTCGCACTTACGACCAATCCTCACACTTACGACCCAACTCATTTGTTTGCTTTTAACACTGATCAGCTGTAGGAGGGCCCTTTGAAGCCCCGCGGCAAGAGTTTAAACAGTTTTTTTTCCCCTCTAGTCATCAGCTGGGACTCAGGAGGCAGCAATAGATTGGGGGTGGGACCAAATAAAAGGTAAGAATAACGTGGGGGATGGGGGGGGAGAGAACCGGTTCCCTGACGTCATATTGTCACCGCTACCGGCTTGGCCGAACCGGACCAAACCAGGAGGAACCCACCACTGGATACGGGCAGTCCTGGGGTGACATCCTGGTAGCGGTATTCCAGTATTTGTGGAGGGGCTGCCACAAAGAAGAAGGGGTCAAATTATTCTCCAAAGCCCTGAAGGCAGGACAAGAAATAATGGTTGGAAACTAATCCAGGCATGAATAAAATAAACCTGGAATTAAGGAGAAACTTCCTTAATTAACAGTGAGGACCATTAACCAGTGGAATGGCTTGCCTTCAGAAGCTGTGGGTGATTCATCATTGGAGGTTTTTAAGAAGAGACTGGACAGCCACTTGTCTGAGATGGTATAGGGCCGTGATGGCGAACCTATGGCACGCGTGCCACAGGTGGCACGTGGAGCCATATCTGTGGGCACGCGAGGGTTGCCCTAGCTCAGCTCCAGCGCACATGCGCATGCAGGCCAGCTGATTTTTGGGCCTTCCGGGCCCACCGGAAGTCGGGAAATGGGCTGTTTCTGGCCTCCGGGGGGGGGGGTTGGGGAAAGCTGCTTTTGCCCTCCCCAGGCTCCTAGAAAGGCTCTGGAGCCTGGGGAGGGCGAAAAAAACGGGCCTTCTGGTCCCAGGAGAGCAGGGAGAGCGTGGGGGTCGCACGCATATGCACGGTGGGGCGGGGTGCACTGAATTATGGGTGTGAGCATGCATGTGCTCCCCCCACTTTTGGCACGCAATGGCAAAAAGGTTAGCCATTACTGGTAAAGGTCTCCTGCTTGAATAGGGAGTTGGACTAGAACAGTGATGGGTGACCTTTTTGGCACCGAGTGCCGGAAGCAGGTGTGCGCACACACAGCCATAATGCAATGCGCGCACGACCCACCCGCACACACCCAGTGCATGCGCCCGCAACCCTCACATATGCCCCGACCACCACGCATTTCCCACAACCCCCATGTGCATCCCGCCCCCACACATTAATGCACGACCCCTGCGCATGTGCCCTGTCTCCCCGCATGCATGTTTGACCCCTGCGCAAGCGCCCCGTCCCTGCATATTCATGTGCGTCTCCGCATGCGCCCCACCCCCCGTGTATTTGCAGCAGAGCCCCAAAAACCAGCTGGCTGGCAAGAGGTGTGCGCACATGCGCAGCGAGCCTAGCTGGGGCGACAGCTCGCGTGCCCACAGAGAGGGCTCTGATTGCCACCTGTGGCACACATGCCATAGGTTCACCATTACAAGACTAGAAGACCTCTAAGGTCTCTTCCAGCTCATTCATTCTATTCTATTCTAAAGTCCTCGACTTACAACAGTTCATATCGTGACCGTTCGAAGTTAACAACCGCACTGAAAAAAAGTGACTTATGACATTTTTCACATTTATGACCGTTGCTGCATCCCCAGGGTGATTCGATTTCCAATTCGGATCTTGACAACTGGCTCACATTTATGACAGTTGCAGTGTCCTTACATGATCGTCTTTTGTGACCTGACAAGCACAGTCAGTGGCAGAAGCCAGATTCACTTAACAACCGTGTTACTAATTTAAATCCCTGCAGTGATCCACTTAACAAATGTGGCAAGTGAGTGGGGCAAAACTCACTTTAACCAATTTCTCACTTGCAACATAAATTCTGGGCTCAATTGTGGTCGTAAATCAAGGACTACCTGTATAGCAATCGATACTGTTGGATGTAATGTCTCCCTCATTGCATTGTTGACGGGGGGATTTTAGGATTTTTAACTGGTTACATTGCAATGGAAGTTAATGTTACTGCTGTTCTTTTATACATTTTGTTATTGAGAAAGGTTTAAAAATGATCACTGTTTTTTTTTTTAAAAAATACTGCTGTTTTGAGTTTACTTTGTTAGATTGTGATTGTAAAGCTATCCTGAGCAAATGGCTGATTTGAATACAGATGTGCATAAATCGTGGGTCTACATTCAGTTCCAGGCAGTAGATCCAAAGTTGACATTCAGATGAATTGTCTGTAATTATTAATTCAAAGCAGTGGTCTAGAAAAGCACATGACTCTCACCTTATTCCATGAGAGGGGAGCGAAGAGCATAGCCTTTAGAAATCTTCTAGGAGAGAATATATGAAGGAAAGCTGAAGTTCAAAGAGACTTTATCTTTAACGATCTGGGATAATGCTCAAAAAGTTGGATTGTCACCTATAAATAAAAACAGATGGAAATTCGTACTGGAATAACCCAGAATATTTGCATGCATTAGCACCCACAAGCATAACAATTTCCATTACATGTAGTCCTTGACTTACAACAGTTCTTTTAGTGACCTTTTGAAGTTACAGTGGCACGAAAAAAAAAGTGACATGACCTTTTTTCACACAATAGTTGCAGCATCCCCATGGTCATGTGATCAAAATTCGGATGTTTGGCAACTGACTTATATTTATGACAGCTGAAGTGTCCCCGGGGTCATCTGATCACCTTTCCTGATCTCTGAATAAACAAAGTTAATACAGCAAAATAAGTTAATGGAGAAGCCAGAGCTCCCAGCAGCCTATCGCTTGTGCAAGTTGTGCTGCACACTGCACCACACACACACACACACACACTCAAGCCAGCCATTTATGCAGCCCAGCTCTGAATAGGGGTTTGGAGACCTTTGCTGTAGAAACTTTCCCAGTATTTGTTTATGTTTGTTTGTTTTATTAAATTTGTATACCGCCCTACTCCCGAAGGACTCAGGGCGGTGAACAGGCACAGAATAAAATACATAAATACAAAAGTTAAAAACAATTTAAAACCAAATTAAATAATTTAGCCCAAGACAATTAAAAACCTCAATAATTTAAAACAAATTAAAATTTCAGTTTAAAAATTTAAAAGAAAGGGGAGAAAATTAGGCCAGGCCGGCTTGCTAGAATAGGAGGGTCTTAAGAGCACGCGGAAAGTGCGCAGATCCAGGATCCTCCGTATCTCCGGGGGGAGCTCGTTCCAGATAGTGGGTGCCCCCACAGAGAAGGCCCTCCCCCTGGAGGCCACCAGTCAACACTGCTTGGCTGACGGCACCCGGAGGAGCCCCTCTCTATGAGAGCGTACCGGCCGGTGGGAGGCTGTTTGTGGTAGTAGGAGGTCCCGTAAATAACCAGGTCCTAAGCCTGGACAGGTATTTGCCTGTCCCAAAGGTGCTTTTTCAAAAGACAAATAGACTTTGTTTTTCCTTAAAGACATTTCGCTTCTCCTTAAAGACATTTCGCTTTTCCTTAAAGACCTTTCGCTTCTTTGCTTTAAAATGTTTTTATAATGTTTTTTAATAATTTTCCTGTGTTCTTTGTTGTATTATTTTTTGCCGTAAGCCGCCCAGAGTCCCTTGGGAATTGGGCAGCATAGAAATTTGATAAATTAAATTAAAATTAAATTAAATTCTCATCCAAGAAGCTTCTTCAGTTCTGACTGCCAGAAACTGGGCAAATCATAAATTATAAACCTGAGACTCTGATAGATCTTAGCTTGATTAGAAACAGAGGCCATCTGCAGGGCACCAAGAAAAGAAGAAAAGGCTTAGCTTGTGAAAGCTTCCGATATCAGAGACGGGTTAGTATTTAAACAGACTAATTTTATGTTCTGTCGCCTAAAGCTCCTAGAGCAGGGGTAACCACATTTGGCAATTTTAAGACTTGTGGGCCTCAAGTTCCAGAAATCCCCAGCCAGCATGGATGTCTGGGGAATTCTGGGAATTGAAGTCCACAAGTCTTAAAGTTGAGAGTTCAGCACCTCTGTCCTAAGCAATGGATATGTCACCAATCAATCAATCAGAATAGAGCTGGAAGGGACTTGGAGACAACCTCTGAAGGCAAACTGTTCCACTGGTTAATCGTCCTCTTGTTAGGAACTTTCTCTTTAATTCTAGGTTGTTTCTCTCCGTGATTAGTTTCCATCCATTGTTTCTTGTCCTGCTTTCAGGTGCTTTGGAAAATAAGTTGACCCTCTCTTTATGGCAGCCACTTTATGGCAGCCACTTTATGGCAGCATACTGGAATACAGCTATCATGTCACCCCTAGTCCTTCTTTTCTCTAGATTAGCCAAACCCAATTCTTGCAGCTGTTCTTCATATGGACGCACGGCTGTCTTTAGAAGAGCATATGACGGCCGTGGCCAGAGGGGCTTTCTATCAGGTTCACCTGATACGCCAGTTGCACCCCTTTCTGGATCGGGACTCCCTACGCACGGTCACTCAAGCACTTGTCACTTCTCATCTGGACTATTGTAACGCTCTCTACATTGGGCTCCCCTTGGGGTGCACCCGGAGGCTCCAATTGGTGCAGAATGCGGCCGCGCGGGGGATTATGGGAGCGCCTGGGCGCTCCCATGTGACTCCTCTCCTGCGCGAGCTGCATTGGCTTCCGGTGGACTTCCAGGTGCGCTTCAAGGTGTTGGTGATCACCTTTAAAGCACTCCATGACTTAGGGCCGGGGTACTTACGGGACCGTCTTCTGCCACCAATTGCCTCCCACCGGCCAGTTCGCTCCCACAGAGAGGGCCTCCTCAGGGTGCCGTCGGCCAAACAATGTCGGCTGGCGACCCCCAGGGGGAGAGCCTTCTCTGTGGTGGCACCTACCCTCTGGAACAATCTACCCCCAGAGATACGAGTGATCCCAGACCTCCGGACTTTTCGTCGGGCCCTTAAAACCTATTTCTTTCAGTTAGCCAGGCTGGCCTGATTTTATGGTGGGTTTTTAAAATTTGAAATTGGTTTTGAATGGAAATGTTTTAAATTATGGGCCAAACTTATTTAATTATTTTAAATCTATTTTAACTTTTGTGCATAAATGTTTTACTTCGGCTGTTCACCGCCCTGAGTCCGAAAGGAGAAGGGCGGTATAGAAATCTGAAAAATAAATAAATAAATGAATGAATGAATGAATGAATGAATGAATGAATGAATAATAAATAAATAAATAAATAAATAAATAAATAAATAAATAAATAAATAAATAAATAAGTTTTAGCCTCCAGGCCCTTAATCATCTTAGTTGATCTTCTTTGCATTTTTTCCAAAGTCTCAATATCATTTTTTTGGGGCGACCAAAACTGGATGCAGTATTCCAAGTGTGGTTTTACTAAGGATTTATAAAGCGGTACTAATAATTCACGAGATTTTGATTCTATGCCTCCGTTTATACAACCAAGGATTGCTTATAGCTTTTTTGGCTGCTGCCACACACTGCTATGTGGCATCGAGAATCATGTACTCGGGTGACGGTGATGATGATTGCAACTCAGGAAATGCATTTGGAATATATGATGATTATTTGGGAGCAACAAAGTGAGCACTGAGAAGCTATTCGAACATTGAGCATCAAACCAATCTGAAAAGATTCCGACTAGGAGAAGACAAATGCATCACAAAGTCTACTGATGATGTTCAGGCATAAATGTTCCAAGGGAATGTCAGAATTCCAGGGTTCATAGCAGTGCACCAAGGCAAGGGAGCTATCACTGTTACAATAATATATTTGATGGTGTATAAAACTACATGAATTTAATAATCAGAAGGTATGCAGAAGATTCAGTATGCAGCAAATTCTGCCATTTGTCAGAAATGGTGTAGGGCAGTGATGGCTAATCTTTTTGCCATCGCGTGCCAAAAGTGGGGGGGGGATCGCGGGGAGGTTGCACACACGTGCCCACACCCGTAATTTTATGCGCCCTACCCCCCTGCATGAGCGCGTGATCCACCTACACTTCCCCCCACTTTTGGCACACAATGGCTCAGTGGGCCCGGTAGGCCGGTTTTTCGCCCTCCCCAGGCTCCAGAGGCTTTCTAGGAACCTGGGAAGGGTGAAAACAGCCTTCCCCACCACCCCCCGGAAGCCCTCTGGAGGCTGGAAATGGCCTGTTTCCCTACTTCTGGTGGGCCCAGAAGGCCCGAATATTGGCTGGCCTTCACGCACATGTGCGCCGGAGCTGAGCTCGCGTGCCGACTGATATGGCTCCACGTGCCACCTGTGGCGTGCATGCCATAGGTTCGCCATCACAGGTGTAGGGTCTCCTGCTTGAGCAGGGGGTTGGACTAGATGACCTATAAGATCCTTTCAAACTCTGTTAATCTGTAATCAGAGTACTAACCAGGACAAGCCTATGATTTTATAAAGAATGAGAGAATTATTGGGGGGAGTAGATGATGGAGTACAATGATCTCTCCCTTCCCAGCTGTTCATGATGTTTGTAGCTCTTATTTTTTTGAGTGACATGACCTTAAAGTAGCCTCACAAAAAATTGAAGTAATGCAACTACCATTCCAGTGGTCAGTTTCTGTCACAAGATAATAAAGTACCAATAAAGAAGGAATATTTGTAGCTCAGGATTGAAATGAGGGGTCCTTGGTGCTCTTTGAGCTGCTTTTCTTGAGACATTTCATTATCCAACTAGATAACATAATCAGTGCACTGATAGTAAAGTGATTTTGAAGTAAGCAAATGAAGCTGTACTATGTATAATGACTAAAGGAGGACAGAAAGAACCATTTCCAGTTTAAATGTACATGTTTGTGGTTGTGTAGAACAGAGTTAGGGATGCGGTGGCTCAGCGGCTAAGATGCTGAGCTTGTTGAAAATAAGGAGCAAAAATCACTGCCATCATGGCTATTCTGAATCTTGCAATAACAAACACCCTACCATCTCCAAGCTATATAAAAGGAGATAAAATACATTATTTATCCTTCCCACCCATATCCTTATTTCAGTTTTTATCTGGTTCTATGTTGTAAATAAAGGGACATGCTGGCTCAATGGCTAAAACGCTGAGCTTGTCAATCAAAAGGTCGGTAGTTCACTAGTTCAAATCCCTAGTGCTACGTAATGGGGTGAATTTCCGTTACTTGTCCCAGCTTCTGCCAACCTAGTAGTTCGAAAGCACATAAAAAATAGGGACCACCTTTGGTGGGAAGGTAACAGCGTTCTGTGCGCCTTTGGCATTTAGTCATGCCGGCCACATGACCACAGAGACATCTTCGGACAGCGCTGGCTCTTTGGCTTTGAAACGGAGATGAGAACCGTCCCCTAGAGTCGGGAACGACTAGCACATATGTGCGAGGGGAACCTTTACCTTTACCTAGAACAGAGTTCCTCAACCTTTCTGGTTTTGTGGACTGCGGGGGGCAGGGGATGGTTCCACACGAGTGGCAGGCAAGAGTACACATGCGCACAGCTCCATTTGCACAAGCAGGGGGGCACATGCTGCTTGCCTGCCTGCTCATCTACCACTTCCGTGGCCTGGTTCCAAACAGCTCAAGGCCCGATAATGGGCTGCAGCCCGGGGGTTGGGGACCCCTGATGTAGAAAAATCACTCTGGGCTCGTTAGAGCCCAGAATTATACCTTGTCCACTACAATTACTTCAAAAATTGGCCAATACTGTAAACCCTCTGAGGTAAACCAGGCAGGAAACATGACTAGATGAGCTAATTCAACTTTATTGTAAAGCTACATTAATAGAATCTTGCACGTTTGAAGGTACAAACTGGTTATTGCTGCTTTTAAACACTGTTCCATTAGGACAGGGGTGTCAAGCTCAATTTCAGTGAGGGCCACATCAGAGTTGTGTTTGACCTCAGGTGTGTGTGACCGGAGGGGGGGGACACCTGGCCAGCTCAACATCACTCATGTCGGGGACACCTGTGATGGCCAAGTGCTAAGGCAGGACTTCCTTCAGACACTCCCTCACTCTCATTATAATCTTCCTTCCTTCCTTCCTTCCTTCCTTCCTTCCTTCCTTCCTTCCTTCCTTCCTTCCTTCCTTCCCTCCCTCCCTCCCTCCCTCCCTCCCTTCCTTCCTTCCTTCTCCTTTCTTCTTCTTACACCTCTTCTTCTTTTTCCTTCCTCTTTTCCCATCTTTCCTTCTTTTTGTCTTTCCTTTCCCTTTTTCACTGTTCCTTCTTTTGCTCAAATGCAAAATGGGAAACATTTTTTCTTTTCTTTTCTTTTGAGTTTGTTTTGCTCGCCCTCTGGCAGCAAAAACGTAGCTCCGTTTTCATTGACAGAAGCACCGTGGGCTGGTCCTTTGCTATTTCCAGGGTGGCCCCGTAGGTCAGATCTAAGCACCCTTGAGTTTGACACCCCTGCATTAGAAGGAGCCCTTCCTAAGTTTCTTTCTCTGACCATTAAGCCACTGGGGGCTCCTGCCTCTCTTATCTGTTTCCCAAGCAGCATCTCTTCTCCTCATGCACACATTCCATTATAGGTGCCTTTGCCTCAGTGGTGGGTTTCAAAATTTTTCACTACCGGTTCTGTGGGTGTGGCTTGGTGGGTGTGCAATGGCAGGCGTGCCAGGGGAAGGATACTGCAAAATCCCCATTCCCACCCCACTCCTGGGAGAAGGATGTTGCAAAATCTCCATTCCCACCCCACTTCAGGGGAAGGATACTGTAAAATCTCCTTTCCCTCCCCACTCCAGGGGAAGGTTACTGCAAAATCCCCATTTCCTCCCAATCAGCTGGGATTTGGGAGGCAGAGAATAGATGGGGCCGGGGCCAGTCAGAATTTTTACTACTGGTTCTCCGAACTACTCAAAATTTCCGCTACCGGTTCACCAGAACTGGTCAGAACCTGCTGAAACCCACCTCTGCTTTGCCTGCTATTCAGACAGAGGCCAGTTACATTACCTAGGCATTCTCTTTCAGAAAATTGCTTATAGGTTTGTAGTGGCCAGGAACTATGAGAAAAGACATACTCTGAAATATCGATGGACTTGAAACACTGCACAACAGGAGTGGGCTGCTGGGGGTTCGCAGGGGTTCGTGAGAACCTCTAGCTAAGATTCTGTGCAGTTTGGAGAACCCCCAAATCCCACTCCTGGCTGGCCCCACCCACCCCGCCCAGGAGTCCCCACATGGTCTGTTTTGGATGCAGGTAAGTGCAGGGTGTGCTCAGAGGCTCGGAGAGGGTGAAAAACGGGCCTATTGGAAGTTCTGGAAGGCCAGAAATGAGCCCGTTTCTGGCCTCTAGAGGGCCTCCGGAGCCTGGGGAGGCTGTTTTCGCCCTCCCGGAGGCTCAATGAAAGCCTCTAGAGCCTGGGGAGGGCAAAAACTCCCTCCCGCTGCTACCATGATGCAGAAGGCCAAGTAGGCCACGCCCACCATGGCCACGCCCACCCAGCAACCAGGCAGAGAACCCCGTGCTCAAATTTTTGAAGCTCACCCCTGTTGCACAGCCCTAGTTATTATTTCATTTTGTTATAGGCTTTTCCCCCTGACCTGGGGAGTGGGTAGCCAAAATAAGAGCAAATACATTAGAAGCCACTTATTAAAGTCACTTTTTACCTTTCTTCTATTTAAAAATCTGTGCCCTGCTCACCTGAACACAAAGGATGCATTACTGTATTACCACATACTGCCAACTCCCCAGGTGACATGGGTCTTGAAAGCCAAATGTTCTCCTACATTCAGGCCAGCTACCACCCTCAGAGGGGTCTGTAGTTCACTCTGATCCCAAGTGAAAAAAGATGAAGTCACTTAGGTCACAAAGACTTTAGTAGCTGCTGCTCATCTAATGACTTCATAAATCTTTGGTTTTGATCCAACAATACAAAGACATTGTCTATCGATTGGTAGTTAAGGGGCAGGGCAAAAAAGTGATTTTCCTCACTAGTGGAATATTTTGTATGTCTAGTAGTTGTAATAAAGCATATCCCGGTTGATTCAGTTCAGAAGTGGCATTCAGCAGGTTCTGACCAGTTCTGGAGAACCGGTAGTGGAAATTTTGAGTAGTTCGGGGAACTGGTAAATACCACCTCTGACTGGCCCCACCCCCATCTATTCTCTGCCTCCCGAGTCCCAACTGATTGGGAGGAAATGAGGATTTTGCAGTAACCTTCCCCTGCCATGCCCACCAAGCCACGCCCACCAAGCCATGCCACGCCACGCCCACCAAGCCACGCCCAAAGAACCGGTAGTAAAAAAAATTGAATCCCACCAGTGATTCAGTTCTATTCTTTGACCTATAGAAGTAGAAACTGGATAACTTGTGTTAGCAGAGATAAAAATATTACTTCAATGTAGATTTTGACTTTTTAAAATATTCTTTCTGATCCTAGAGGATCAGAAAGGAGGAGGAACAGACACGCACATATTAAAACAAATATCCTTTTGTCTTTTAAAAAGTCCAATAGGCTGCAGAAGCACATTGATTTTTAATAAACTGGGCCTACTTCTGTATGGATTGTGGCCAACTTCCTGGGGATTACGGAAAGCTGACAGTTGCATTTATCAGCAACACAAAATACAATTGAGTTAAAGCTTTCTGCCAGCCTTAGCATCAGTACCTTTCATTCATTGGCGTGTTTTCAGTTCAGTTCATTTGTTTTCAGTTCGATTATCTAGTTCCTTGCTTGGGCTAAGGAAATATTAAATTGTGGCGAGCAGGAACTGAATTTCTTGCCTGCAGCATCAGATCTTAGCTGTGGCTTAAAACACAAAACAACACAACTCTTAACATTTGTTGTTGTTGCTTTTAAAGGGCAAACCCATTGAGCAAATGAAGCCAACTTTTCTTGTTTAGAAATGAAAAGCAGCACATCAAAGCCATAACGGTGGAGCAGGTCATGATTGCTTGGGTGAGAAATGGAACAAATGCTGGAAGTGCCTGATTTTGTTAGAACTCTCATACAAGAACATTAGACATACAGGATATAGAACAGGGCTGTCAAACTCAGGATAGCTCAACAGACAGAGCTCTGTAATTTAACACCAGCTGTCTGCAATTAAAGTAAGATCGAATCCCGCCAGGCTCAAGGTTGACTCAGCCTTCCATCCTTTCTACGGTAGGTAAATTGAGGACCCAGTTTGTGGGAGCAATAAGCTGACTTTGTATAAAATATACAAAAGGATGAAGGCTATTGCTTAACGCATTGTAAGCCGCCCTGAGTCTCCGGAGAAGGGCGGCATATAAATCAAATTAAAAAAAAACAAAAACTCGCGGCCTGTGAGCCAGATGCATCATGCGCTGGCCCCGCCCACTCCCGGTTTAGCAAAGGGGAGAAAAGTCACAATACGTCATGTGATGAGGTGACGACGTGAGTTTGACACTCCTGATATAGAAGAATTGGAAGGGGCCTTTGAGGTCTTCCAGCCAACCCTCTGCTCAAGCAGGAGACCCCGTATCAGGGGTGTCAAATTCTACTTCATTGAGGGCCGCAACAGGGTTTTTTGACCTCGGGGAAGGGGGGAGGGCCAGTTCGACTTCACTCATGTCTGGGGGCACCTGCGGTGGCCAAGTACTAAAGCAGGACTTCCCTCAGACCATCCCTCCCTCTCATTATAATCTCCTTCCTTCCCTCTTTCTTCTTCCTTCCCCTCTTTCCTTATTTTTCTTTCCTTGCTCTCTTCCCATCTTCCCATCTTTTTCTTTTGTCTTTCCTCTTTCCCTTTCTCCTTTTCTGTCCCTTCTTGGATGCTCAAATGCAAAAGGGGAAACATTTCTCCTTTTGCTTTGTTTTGCTTTTAGTTTGTTTCACTAGCCCTCCACCAGCGAAAACGGAGCTCAGGAGGGGCCCATTTTTGCTGGCAGAGGGCTGCAGGATGCCGTCACAGATGCCTGCAGTCTTCCCGAGCTCCCTTTTTGCTGGAAGAGGCACCATGGGCCAGTCCTTTGCTGTTTCCATGGCAGTCCTGCGGGCCAGATCTGGGCCATGGGCCTTGAGTTTGACACCTCTGCCCTATGCCATTTTGGACAAATGGACATGGTACTTTACTGCAGAGCATGGATGCTCTAACATCTTGAAGACAGTGATGCTTTGCTGTTTAGTTTGCAATTCTACTACCCAGGATAGGAACTGCAATGGAATGAGATAATATTTCATTATAATAGCTTTATATCAAGCTATCACCCTTCTCCAATGACAAATAGAGCACACATCAGGGTTACATAACTCTTTATTTACTTTCTTCAAGAATCACTGGTCTGCACAAAGGCTCCTTGCTCTTTTACCATCCAGCCGACGCACTCGTTCAAGATCGCTCAGGAAAACTGCATGGTGAGGTGGGATGCTGAATTTAAATATTCTAGCCCTCCTGGGCATAAGAACCAAATGTCCTACTATCATAGCAGAATGAAGACCACATCTAGCTTTCAGGCCAGGCCAATGTCCCTAAAGTTCTCTATAGAATGCAATAAGTTTTTTTTAAGAATGTGTTTATCAGTGTATCTCGGGAGATACAAACGTTTACTGCAACTGTGAATTGTTGGCAACTCCTGGTCTGGATTTGCTTTATATACGGCAACAATAGTTATTGAGTCCATCCCTTCTCCTGGAATGTGAGCAGTTCCTGTGAGAAAAACTGAAGGGAGAACAGAAATCAAACAATGCACTGTAGTAAGAACATCACTTAGGGACCTAGTCTTCATACTTAGCTCTAATATTTTTCCCAATAGCCCTGGGAAGATAACATGTTCGCTTTCCCTATCTTCTCTCCATCTGTACCTTTTTGAGGAATTGATGTAATATATACATTTATTCCAGTGGTGCTATTCAGCAGGTTCTGACAGGTTCTGGAGAACCGGTAGCCGAAATCTGGAGTAGTTCGGAGAACCAGCAAATACCAGCTCTGGCTGGCCCCAGAGTAGGGTGGGAATGGAGATTTTGCAGTATCCTTCCCCTGCCACGCCCACCAAGCCACACCATGCCCAGCAAGCCACGCCCCCAGAACCAGTAGTAAAAATTTTTGAATTCCACCACTGATTTATTCCTGTGATTATATTCTCTATGATTGCATGTTAAGCTGCCTGTCAGAGTTTCTAAATCAATGATCATTGTACCAAAATAGCTAATTTGGCTTCTTTTTTGTTTCTTAGAATAATGATATTATTTTGTTTTGTTTTTTAAGAAGTAGTTATTACCAAGAAAATCTTTCTTGCTTTCTTCAGGAAAGCCATGAAATACTGTCCAAAAATTCTTGATCATTTCATCTGATTCTTCAAAACCTTCATATTTGGCGTTCTGTAGAGAGAATAAACATTAGCCTCCCTGTTGATAGTTCTGGATAGCATCTCTTACAATACTAGACAACACAGTATCAACAGTAGAGACCTTCAAATTTCTAGGTTCTACCATACCTCAAGATTTAAAATGGACAGCTAACTTCAAAAATGTTATCAAAAAAGCACAACAAAGAATGTTCTTTCTGTGCCAACTCAGAAAGCTCAAACTGCCCAAGGAGCTGCTGATCCAATTCTACAGAGGAATTATTGAGTCTGTCACCTGCACCTCTATAACTGTCTGGTTTGGTTCTGCAACCCAACAAGACAGACACAGACTTCAGAGGATAATTAGAACTGCAGAAAAAACAATGGCTACCAACCTGTCTTCCATTGAGGACCTGTATACTGTACGAGTCAAAAAGAGGGTTGTGAAAATATTTACAGACCCCTCACATCGTGGACATAAATTGTTTCAACTCCTACCCTCAAAACGACGCTATAGAGCACTGCACACCAGAACAACTAGACACCAGAACAGTTTTTTCCCAAACACCATCACTCTGCTGAAGAAATAATTCCCTCAACACTGTCAAACTATTCACTAAGTCTGCAGTACTATTAATCTATCATTCCTATCACCCATCTCCTCCCACTTATGACTGTATGTCAACTTGTTGTTGATATCCATACGATTTATATTCACTGTTTCCTAATATGATTTGATTGCTTATTTGTACTCTATGACTATCATTAAGTGTTGTACTTTATGATTCTTGATGAACGTATCTTTTATGTACACTGAGAGCATATGCACCAAGACAAATTCCTTGTGTGTCCAATCACTTGGCCAATAAAGAATTCTATCTATTCTATCATCTATCTATCTATCTATCTATCTATCTATCTATCTATCTATCTATCTATCTATCTATCTATCTAAGGCCATTCTGCATTTGAAGTGCTAAGGATTCCTTTTAGTTTTTCCATGGGTTGCCAGAAACGTAGTTTCAAATAACTGTTGCCCCTCTCCCTCTATGTCTGTAAAACTGTAGAGACTCAAAGCTAACTGCAAGCATTTCTGAACCTGGGAACTGACGGACATTGGACTAGGATCCAACTCCCAATTTTGACCTTAGGGACATTTGCTGGTTAATATTATTGGATCAAATGATACATTCTGCCTTTATTTCCAGTATTATTAGACATAAGAAATCCAGCACAGCTATATATTTTGCAGTGCTTTCAGTATGGATCATCTCTACAGGTAGTCCTCGACTTGACCACAATTGAGCCCAGAATTTATGTTGCTAGGTGAGAAATTTATTAAGTGAGTTTTGCCCCATTTTACGACTTTTCTTGCCACAGTTGTTAAGTGAATCACTGCAGTTGTTAAAATAGTAACAGAGTTGTTAAGTGAATCTGGCTTCCCCGTTGATTTTGCTTGTCAGAAGGTAGCAAAAGACGATCCCATGACCCTAGGATGCTGCAACTGTCATAAATGTGAAGCGGTTGCCAAGCATCCCAAAAAAATCACATGATTGTGGGGATGGGGCAGTGATCATATGTGTGAATAATGGTCAGACATCACTTTTTTCAGTGCCGTTGTAACTTCAAACAGTCACTAAACGAACTGTTGTAAGTCAAGGACTAACTGTAGTCCAAGCAGATTCTCTACTTCATTTAAGGCACCTCCAGGCTGTGGTCTGGTTCCAGTGCTCGAAGCTATATTTACTCAAGCAGCGTGCACATGAAACCATCCCCCACGCCTCCCCAGCCAATGCTGGTCCACAGAGCTGGAAAAGGAGGGAACTGCTGAATTTATGAGGTGTACCAGAGGACCAGTTCCACACACTGAGAAATATACATGTGGATCTTAAGGATGCTGCAGCCTAAGGGACTGCTATTGACACCTCCGTCCTTAACCTGATGGGACTTGGTGCCTAGCAAATGTATGTGTCATTGCTTTGTTGATATACCATATTTTTCCATGTATAAGACAATACTGTTTCTTAAAAATATTTACCTAGAATTGGAGGGGCGTCTTATACACAGGGGTGGGAGGTGGGGGCGAAAGGAGAACTGTGATTGCAAAACTGCCGCTAACTTATCTCTGCAAACTAGCCTCACGAGCGAAACTTCCAATTGCAGAGACCAGCTAAGAGGTTTCCTCCAATCATGAACCAGGGGTGAAATGCTCCCAGTTCGGATCCAGTAGCGATGGCGGCGGGTGGTTCGGAGAACCGATAGCAAAAATCCCTGCCCCCCCCCATGCCCAGCTGAGCCACGCGATCATCAGAGCCTTTTTTTAAAACTTTTAAAAGCATTTTTTCTACAACCTCTTCGGCCGAAGAGGTTGTAGAAAAAATGCTTTTAAAAGGAAAAAAGGCAACTCAGCTGGGATAGTCAGAGCCTTTTAAAAGCATTTTTTTAAACAACCTCTTCGGCTGAACAGGTTGTAAAAAAATGCTTTTAAAAGTGTAAAAAAAAAAAAAACTTGGCCACGCCCACCCAGTCACATTACCCTCCACCAAGCCACGCCCACAGAACCAGTAGTAACAAATTTTACATTTCACCACTGTCATGAGCCTTATGTAAGTGGCGTCAGCTGATGCTGCGGAGAGCGTGTAGCTAGTGCCCAGATGCGATAATGTTGGAGCGTTCTGAGCCCATAAAAATGTCAGAAAACAAAAAAAATAAATGCCGGTACTGGTAAGCGAATGTCTTACCCTGCAAAATAAATGTCTTCTATTTAATGTTTAAAATATTGATTTCTGAATTTTGAGTGAGGGGGGGCATCCTATACATGGGGGCGTCTTATAGACAGAAAAATACGGTATTTATTTTGATAGTGCACCTCTTTGAATACTTAGTTATCTGCATTTGCTTGCACTCACATTTTCTATCCCAATACATATTTAAGGATCAATCAAGTTCTATGTCCAACATTCAGCCCTCCCGCAAATTCAAAGAAAAATAATAAGGGTTCCATAAGGACACTGGAATTAAAAGACCAGTAATAGAAGGATTGAAGCAGAGGAGCATGTTCTACCTTTTCTAATTGGTCCCAGTTGTATGTGGTATGTCCAAACAGGATACTGCGGAGCTCAACAGGAAGAAACATTTTCCATGTTGTACTTGGGCAACCTCTTTGAAATCCACGCTGGAAGTCCTCAAACTGCTTCTTCACCGAATCATTAAATGTGTAATTCACATAAGCATCAACGTATTCTTTTCTATAAATATGGGCATTTGGTTATTTGGTAGAGTTTATAAAAGCAAAAATCGGCTCATAAAACAATGGTTATGGGCTTGCAGAGTCTGAGGGAGAGAGAACAGTGCAGGCTGCTCCAATTCCCAGCATCCCTGGGCTGTGTCGCTCTGTCCCGGAAGTGAGCACAATTCTGGATCAGCCAAAATTCATTGCAGCTGCTCAAAAACTGATTCTTGTTTCCAGGAGAGAGCCATGCGGCCTATGGATGCTAAGGTGTGGAGCAACCTGTTGTCCTCCTCCAACGTGATGTCCGGAGCTTCCAGGAGATCTATAGAAAGTAAGTGAGAGATTGTGACAGGGTGGAGAAGAGAATGTGGGTCCTGATGGGGTGAGAAGCAAGCCCAAGATCTGCAGGGATTGGCAGGATAGAAAGTGAAGCATGTGGTGCCTCTCAGGGTAAGGGAAGCCTTGGGAGGCCCGGGGCGCCTCATGATCTACTTAACAACCACATTGGGGAGAGCAAGGAGGGAGATTGCTAAGCAAGGTGTACCATCACTTGTGACCTTAATGGGCAAGCTCCATTACTGTTAAAAGTTGAAGACTACCAATAAATCAGTAGTAGTCTAAAAGACTGATTTGGGAATTAAAAATCCTCAGGTTCGATTTTCTTTTTGATACTGAATTTATAAGTTTGGAAACCTACTACTTCGACCTATATTATTATTAATATCACTGAATATCTTACAGCAGGGGTGTCAAACTCAAGGCCCGCGGGGGTGCTTAAATCTGGCCCACAGGGCCAGCCTGGAAATATCAAAGGACTGGCCTGCGGTGCTTCTGTTGGCCAAAACGGGCTGTGTGCGGCCCTTGCGCGGTCCGTTTTCAGCCTCCTCGGCCTCCTGCAGCACTCTGCCAGCCAAAAAGCACTCTGGAGGCCTCTGTGCGGCCCATTTTTGGCTGACAGAATGCTGCTGGAGGTTGGGGAGGGTGAAAACTGGCCATGTGGGGGCCTCCCACTCTGCCGGCCCATTTTGGCTGGTAAAGTGCTGCAGGAGGCTGTTCAGGACGAAAACGATAATTATAGAATTATCATTATCTAGTAACTTTAGCTGATGGGAGACTTTTAAGTCTTCCAACAGAGTATGGTCTTTTCTACCAAGAGTCTAAATTAGCCAAATCCTACTAAACTATGTTTAGATTCCAAAATGTCATTGAGAAAATTTATATTCCATAAAGCTACCTGAACAAATGATTAGTTTCACAAAAGACGTTGGTCGGGTGGAAAGGGAACATAGAATGTCTACATGCAAGGGTATCTCTGTGGATGTCAAAAAAGCCAACATTGTGGTTGCAATCACGCAATCAAAGCTCCACTCCTTTTTTAAAATATGCACTGAATACATGGTACATGCATGGCTTTCGTCATAGGGTTGTGGCTGCTATCTTGACTTTTTTTTTATGCTTCTCCCACATGTGCCAGGTATGTGGATAGTTTCTTCTCACAGCTATTTTGTTTCTAGCCAGGATTACTACTGTTGTCAGAGAATGACAGGGATGTGGAAAATACTTCAAGAACTGGGAAAACCAGCTTTGCAGGAGAAGAATATTCACAAGGGGAACAAAAAGTAACATATAGTGGAAAAGGAAAGAAATTTCTGTTATCCCCCGTGCATCAGGATGCTGTTGGAAACTGTCAATATTTTTTTTTCAAATATATACTTCTATCCAAAGGTAACTGTAATTAAAAGTCAACGAACAAACCCATTCCTGGGAAAACTTGCCTGTTGTATAAAGTAACAGGTATGTTGGCACCATTTTCTTTCAACTCAACATCAATTATGGATCCTTTACACTCTTCTACTACCTGCATAACGATAAAGGTATAAGATTAGTATGGATGGTTCTGCTTTGTTTTCAGAACGCTAGGCATTATGTGCAAATGGGTGAAATATAGAAGTGAACATTTCCCCTCATATTAGTAGGGCTGGTATTTCACATCATTGTCAGACACTTTGGAAAAGGCAGGTGATAACAAGAGAAAGGACCTCATGTTGTATTTGGATGTCAGGTCTGGAATTTCCAGGCCAAAATGGGTTCACTTGAATGATCATCATTCTTAAAGCAGCAAGCTAGCTTCTAACTGCAATTGATTACCATGGCTGTGTGGTTTTGGCAACAATGGTATATACGTATTATCAAAGACGGGCCACAAATGATATACTTGTATCAGACATTGTGAGACAAGTACATAAATGCAAATCTATTGTATTTTGACAGTCATGATTTATTACAAATTCCATCCTGGGTATCAACAGGGAGTTGGTCAATGATGTCAAAACAGCAAACTCGGTTGATTGACCATCACTGTGTGGTGAAAAGTGCAACTCGTGTTATAAAGGGAGGGTTGTTGATTGCTGTGTCAACCTGCCTCTTTGATGCTGACCCCCTGCATGATGGATCTGGATTTCATTGTGGATTACATTTGTAGTGAATTGTAGAATTTACGTTGTTTTACTGCTATGATGTTTATGTCTGTTGTACTGATTTAACAAAACTGGATGTGCCTGTATCTAAGTACATATACAGAGCTACATGTTAACTAGTGCTTATGAAAACAAAAGCTAGCAGAGATTGTCCACCCCAAGGACAAAACAGCGAGACGCAAACTGAGCAAGGTGATAACATTTCCCCCAAAATAACACATCCCCTGATAATAAGCCCAATCAGGCTTTTGAGCGCATGGCAATAAGACCAAGCACTTATTTCAGGGTTCAAAAAAATATAAGACAGGGTCTTATTTTCGGGGAAACACGGTATATGCAATACAATGCAGTGAGATGTGCAGAACCGTACACTGGTGAAACAAAACAACCACTTTGCAAGTGCATGGCACAACATAGGAGAACAAACCCATCAGACCAAGATTTAGGGGTCCATTGCATTTGAAAAACAAAGGTTCACTTTTTTGAAGGCAGCAATGTCCACATTCTGGATAGAGAGGACCGTTGGTTTAAAAGAGGAGTCAAAGAGGCCATCTATGTTAAAAATGAGCAGCCCTCATTTTTAACATAGGAAAGGGATAAGTCACCACCTGTCTCTTGTCTACAATGTAGTCCGTTCAGGAGTTCCAAGAAGGTTCCACACCCCTTTGCATTCTGATTCAGGTGACTCTGAGGGCACAGATAAACCCCCAAGTGGCCTCAAGTGCTTTCAGAGAGTGCTAACAACCAGATTACGGCAAAGAAATATGATTCTTCCATTCCACCCACCTCCCACATCCTGTCAGAACTAATCCTTCCATCCTTTCCACTATCTTGTCAGAACTGATGAAGCTTCTTGGATGAGAAGTGAAATATCTTTTTCTTCATTTCTTCGTCAAGAAAAAACATAGTGCAGTAGACTTTTGAAAAAAGCACCTTTGAGACAACTATGACTTGGATGACTGAGAATCTCCATAGACATTTAGCATAAATTCAGTAAACAATTACATTAAACCATGGTTTGGCCAAATAACAATTGGATGAGCTCAAACAACACTTGAAGTCAAAGAAATTACATTATAGTGTAGCAGTTTTCCCCAACCTGACATTCTCAAGATAACTAGAAACTGCAGAGGATATGGTGAGAATGGAGGTTCGTTCTCCGAGCTTGTGGGTTGATTTCTGAACCTTTTGTTACCAGGCTAGGTAACATCTTCAGGGAATTTAGGGAATGTCAGCATTGATGTTCTTCTGCTTATGAGGGCTTAGTGTGGTCAGTAGGTCTTTTGACGGAAGCGTCATGTCAAGGGTTCAGAGGGTCTAGTGATGGGTCTTCTGAGGGGTCTGGTGTGGTTCATGTCAGGTGAAGGTCTTTTGATGGGTAGGTCACATCAGGTGAGGGTCATTGGGAGGCCCTTATAAGCAGAAGAACTGACATTCCCAAAATTCCACTTAAGATGTTGCTTAGCCTGGTAATGAAACATTAGGAAACCAACCCCCCCTCTCATCCTACACCCGAGCTACAGATATTCACTATTGCAGAGCATACAATCGGGTGGGCTTCAAAAATTTTAGCAAGGGGTTCTCTGCCTGGTTGCTGGGTGGGCGTGGCCATGGTGGGTGTGGCCTAGTTGGCCTCCTGCATCATGGTGGGGGTGGCGTTTTCCCCGGGCTCTGGAGGCTTTCTTTGAGGCTCTGGGAGGGTGAAAACGGCCTCCCCAGGCTCCGGAAGCCCTCTGGAGGCCCCCTTCTTCCCGAACTTCCGGTAGGCCCATTTTTCGCCCTCCCCGAGCCTCCGCATTTGCCCTACACTTACCTCGCATCCAAAATGGGCCACATGGGGACTCCTGGGAGGGGCGGGGCACACAAGACCAGCCAGGAGTGGGATTTGGGGGTTCTCCAAACTGCACAGAATCTTAGCTAGAGATTCTCCTGAACCCCTGTGAACCCCCAGCAGCCCACCCCTGCATACAGTATTATATAACAGTCAGTTCAAGTTATCTTTTCCTCTGAGGCAGTAGAGAAAGGTTGATCTAACCCAGCCAGATTGTCCTACCGTGAAATCCAACATCCAGCCTTTAATGTTGTCATCACTGCGTTCATCCAGTAAATTCTGAAGATTACTAAACGGGAAAAGAATAAAGTAAAACAAACTGCTTCCTTCAAAATTAAAATAATTCGCTTATTTATGCTTATGTCAGTTTTAATAGAAATTGATTCTTAAAAATATTCTTAAGCCTTTTTGTCTCTGTTCAGTTAAACTAAGACTGACACCCAGTTCCTAAATGGAGAAAATAAAGGAGACTTCATGTCAAGAACAATTCCTGGGGTTATATTCCTGCACTTTTCTTGGCAGCATTAAAGAACTAGTTAGGCATTGCCGTCTTCACTCTTCTTTTAAATGTCCCAGTCTAGCCAACACCTGGATTCTCAGATGTCTTTCATTTAAGTATTAACCAGGACAGACTTTGGCTTAGTTTCCAATATCAGCTTGTGTATATCCAAGCAATTTTGGATCACAGAAAAAGAAAAGAAGAGCCTGGTGGCACAGCAGACTAATAGCCTGTTATTAACATTCAGCTGCCTGCAATTACTGCAAGTTTGAATCTCCCCAGGCTCAAGGTTGACTCAGCCTTCCATCCTTTCTAAGTTTGTGGGGGCAATAAGCTGATTTTGTATAAATATACAAAAATATGAAGGCTATTGCTTAACGCATTGTAAGCTGCCCTGAGTCTCCGGAGAAGGGCGGCATATAAATCAAATTAAAAAAAAAAAGAGTACTTGATCTGCCATATCAATTATCACCGCATGGTTCTGAAAAATGTTATGCCATACCGTACAACTGTAGGAGAGAGTTCTTTTAAATCTTCCAGTGTTGGCACCATATTTGCCAATTTCTTGAACAATGCAAGAGGGAAAGGTAAAGCAATTATCTTCAGATTTTGGAGCGCTATTCCAAACAGGTTCCCAATTAAAAAATATATGTCTTCCTGTGTTGATACCTAATTTGAAAAATCAATATGCAAGTACTGAAAAATACACTGTAAAGGAATGAGTGCCTACTTGCAAAATAAATGTTGTATTTCTGAGACTTCTATAGTATTTCAAACTCATTTCCCATGGCTCGACTTTAGCTGCAAGAGGTTGCCTGCCTACATCTCTGCTTGTCAGTTTTCTCTCTGACTGTTCTTTGTTTTCTCCAGCAATGTGGATCCTTATAGGCATATGGACTCTTCAAATAAGTGCAGGATAAAAACGGGTGTCTGCTGAATGTGTATTTCCACCCGATGAAGCATTCTAATCATTGCTCCCTCTATTTCAGCCCTGCTAACTTTAACGAACACTGAAGGATTGTGAGCCCTTTTGTCTATGGCAGGGGTGTCAAACTCAAGGCCCATGGGCCGACTCTGGCTCATGGGGTGCTTAGATCAGGCCCGTGGGGCTGTCCTGGAAACAGCGAAGGACCTGCCCACAGTGCCTCTGCCAGAGAAAATGGAGCTCGGGTGGGCGGCACACAGCCCTCCTGGCCTCCGTTTTCACTGGCAGAGAGCTGCAGGACGCCGTCCAAAATTTATGTTGCTAGGCGAATCATTTGTTAAGTGAATTTTGTCCCATTTTGCAACCTTTCCTGTCACAGTTGTTAAATGAGATGTTAAGTAAATTGTTAACTTGGTTGTTAACCATTGTAACAACATGGTTGTTAAGTGAATCTGGCTTCCCCATTGACTTTGCTTGTCAGAAGGTTTTAAAATTTGATCACATGACCCCTGGACATTGCAACCGGCATAAATATAAGTCAGTTGCCAAGTGTTTGAACTTTGTTCAAATGACCATGGAGATGCTGCAATGGTCGTAAGTGTGAAAAGTGGTCATAAGTCACTTTTTTCAATGAAGTTGTAATTTTGAATGGTTGCTAAACTAAGTATTGTAAATCAAGGACTATCTGTACTAGGAAAGAATGGAAAGCACATGATTCTTGATTCTAAAAAGAAAAGCAAAAGTAGTAAAGGAAACCAAAATCTGAATAGTTCACATTCATAATCTACTTGTGTGATTTCTACCATATTGTTTCTTCACAGTTTTTTAATAGGAATATCTTTTCACACCAGAATAGAGATACAGGTTAATGCAATATCCATGTTACAATCAGAAACTGTTAAGTTTCATCAGATGGTGATCAAATCTAGCATTTATTAAAGCTAACCCTATATATAATAATTCCCTCAACACTGTCAAACTAGTTACCAAGTCTGCATTACTATTAATCTTCTCATCGTTCCTATCACCCATCTCCTCCCACTAATGACTGAATGACTGTAACCTTGTTGCTGGTGTCCTTAAGATTTATATTGACTGTTTCCCTATGAATAGAATAGAATGAATAGAATATAATTTTTTATTGGCCAAGCGTGATTGGACACACAAGGAATTTGTCTTGGTGCATATGCTCTCAGTGTACATTGTACATTGTTTTGTTTTGTAAAACAATGTACTATGACTATCATTACGTGTTGTACCTTATGATTCTTGACAAATGTATCTTTTCTTTTATGTACACTGAGAGCGTATGCACCAAGACAAATTCCTTGTGTGTCCAAACACACTTGGCCAATAAAGAATTCTATTCTATTCTATTCTATTCTATTCTATTCTATTCTATTCTATTCTATTCTATTCTATTCTATTCTATTCACCATTTCCCGATTAATAGAGGAGAAATATATCAACAGCTGCTATCCGCAAAAGCTAAATGGACAACAAATTTCCAGGACTACAGATAATATCTCTCTGAATAGACAATGCCAAAAAGAGGTCAGCTATCACCTCACATCCCTTTTATGGGACAACCATGCATATTTTCTAACCTCTATTGAAAAGTCAATGGTCAAAGAGATCAATTACCTCCAAAGTAATTCCTATTTTTATAGCTAACAGCAGAAAGCATAAATAAATGCAGTACATTTATACATGTACATACCTCATGAGAGAACCAAATACGGTGTGATTTGTCATAGTGCTTAAATACTCCTGCTTCTGGATCACATAGTTGTCTGCTGATGATTGTGAAGAACTCCTGGATCAGCCCTCCATACTTGATGTCAGGTTCTCCTTGAAAATACACCTGAAGAATTAAGTAAAATTAACCAGATATTTACACTAATTTAGACTGATAAACTAAATATAAAAATATTTCTGGTTGCTCAGAAATCAGAACATCTTTACTAGTTTTTTTTCCCTTTCCCCCCTCTGAATTAAAGCTATAACCCTAAATTATTCAGAAGAGACCGGAAACAGCGAAACCTGTTTTCAGACGTGCTAGCCTTTCAAGACCAAAGCCTCTCAAGTTATCCTTAAAATAGGAAAAAATGGGCGTTGACTTACCTGAACGCTTCATCTGGTTGCTCTGGGTCCAGTGGTCAGGACTGGCTGACCACTGGACCCAGAAGCAATGAGATTAAATAAATGCCCAAAGTAAATTGTGACACACACACACACACACACACACACATCAGAAAGCTGTAAAATTCTCAGAAAGAACAAACAGGATCAGGATTTACTCAATTTGTACCTCGTCTTACCAAAAAATCAGCAACAACAAAAAAGAGACCCATGTAAAATCTTATTTGTTTACTTAGAACGGGGTCTCCAACCTTGGCAACTTTAAGACTTGTGGATTTCAACTCCCAGAGTTTTGCTGGCTGAGGAACTCTGGAAGTTGAAGTCCACAAGTCTTAAAGTTGCCAAGGTTGGAGACCCCTGACTTAACAACAGTGTTTTCCAACCTAGGCAATTTGAAGATGTGTGGCCTTCTACATCCAGAATTCTCTAGTTCTCATGTGGCCCAAGGAATTCTAAGAGTTGAAGTTTCCTGACTGAATCTTTTTCCAGTTGCCATTCAGGCTCAATTCAGCTTACTGTGGATATTTTTCTTAATACGGACGCTTTAAAAACCAGGGGTATTCAATCTTGGCACACTTTTAAGACTTGTGAACTTCAGCACCCAGAATTCCTCAGCGATTGTGCTGCCCAAGGAATTCTGGGAGTTGAAGGCTGCACACATCTTCAAAGTTAGAAAAGACTTAGAATGTAAAGGATGTATGTTTGTGTTTTTATTTTTATAGTTATAATGTACATTTAATTTCATTGTACCGTGTGCAATGACAATAAACCAGGGGTGAAATCCAGCAGGTTCTGGAGGACCGGTAGCAGAAATTTTGAGCAGTTCAGAGAACCGGCAAATACCACCTCTGGCTGGCCCCAGAGTGGGGTGGGAATGGGGATTTTGCAGTATCCTTCCTCTGGAGTAGGGTGGGAATGGAGATTTTGCAGTATCCTTCCCCTGCCACGCCCACCATGCCACACCACGCCACGCCCACGGAACCAGTAGTAAAAAAACTTGGATTTCACTACTGCAATAAACTAAACTAAAACTAAAACTAAAACCAAAACCAAAACCGGCAATCCAAACTCCGCCCGGAACCAAAGGCACAGTGCTTAAAAAGCATACCGGAGTTCTATTTTCAAGCGCTCTACTGCCCCGGAAGGAGTTCCCGCAAAGGCGGTTTCCATTTCCAAACTAGTTCGACCTTTCGCGCTCCGCGGCGAATCATGCTCGCCCTGCCCGGCTTGCGGCTTCTGACTCGCCTCCGCGCCAGGGGCTTCTGCGGGCCAGCCGGACGGTTTGCGCAGCGGCGGCGGAGAACGGGGGGAAAACCACCGGCCAAGGACAGCAAGGGCCGCCCTTCGACGCCGGGCTGCTGGAGATCCTCGTGTGCCCCCTGTCGAAAAAGCCGCTCAGGTCGGCCTAGCAGCTTTTTGCCTTTGTTTTGCTATCCGCCCCTCGCTTTTGCCCCGGTTGCCGAGCGGGTCGGGATATGGCCGCTCCCCATGGCCAGCACGCCTTCCCTGGTGGGTTATGGGTTATGTAGTCCAATGCGGCGGCTCCCCGCCAGGGTGGGAAACTCATCCGCCTTTCCCCATTTCATTTTCCAGTAGTTTGGAATTGAATTGTTTATGAAGCATAAGTATTTATATGCTTAATAACATAGGATTAATGGCTTCATAGAAACTATATAATCTATGAAGGAAATAAGATGCTTCTGACAGAGAAATGCTTACACCTCCTCCCTCCCCCAAAGTCTTTGTCTATCTGTTTATCTGTCTATCCATCCATCCATCTCCATCTACTGTATCACCTATCTCCATCATCCATCCATCCATCTACAATCTATCATCTGTATCATCTATCCATCATCCATCTCTCTCTCTCTCTTTCTCTGTGTGTGTGTGTGTGTGTTTTCTGAGGTTTTCAAGGATGTTTGAAAATATATATACACACGCATATACATATATATATATATATATATGTATGATGTGTGTGTATATACATATACATACATGTGTGTGTACATCATCATACATACATACATACATACATGTATATATATATATATAATATATATATATATATATATATATATATATATATATATATATATATGACTGGGGAAAGAGTAATAAGCATTTCTCTTTCAGAAGCATCTTAGCTCCTTCATGTAAGAGCGATCAATTGATGAAATCTCTTGCGTGTTATAGATTATTAAATTCAATCATTAGTTTAATTCAGTTCAACAATTTCCATTTCTAATAGTGGATGCAGAAGAGTCATGGTGTTTTTACAAATGGCCCTTCAGAAATCTTTATCAAGCTAACTTTACATAGATTTTTTTTCTTTCTTATATTGAGTGGTTTCTCCCCCTCAGTTGCTTCGCACTGAGTGACTTTGTCCATCCATTAATTGATTCACAACTAGGGAATTTATGCCTGTGAATTGAAATATTGAAGTCCTGCCCATTCAGAATCTCACTTGCAGTGTATGTTCCCCTTCTCCCAAGTGCTGAGTGTCCCCCCCTCTCCATGTTAACTTACTATTTATGTATATAGTGTTTTTCTTAAATCAAGAACAATAATAAATCTCATGAGTCATTATTTGCTGTATTTTCTAGATATAACGAATCCACAAATGAGTTAATTAATGAAGAACTAGGTATAGCGTACCCCATCATAGATGGCATTCCTAATATGATACCTCAGGCAGCAAGAATGATTGGCAAGGAGAAGCAGGAAACAGAATCTGAACAAACCTAGAAGATTATCCTCGTGGAAGGAAGTTGGAAGACAAGTGGAGTAAGATGTTTCCCTCGTTTCCTACCATGACTGTACTTGTTCCACTGTTGTCTTTAGCTGGCCTCTTCTATTCAGCCAGTGTAGATGAAAACTTCCCCCAGGGCTGTACAAGTACAACAAGCATATGTTTCTACAGCCTGCTGCTTCCAGTTACAATACCAGTTTATGTATTTTTCCATCTTTGGACCTGGATGGGCCTTAAACTTTTTCGCCACAACTAGATTGTGTTTAACTCTAAGAAGCCTCTTAAAATTAAGAATGGAGTGAAGCTTTTTGAAAACTGATTTCTTAGTATTCTGACCCTAACAGTACACCTGAAAAGAAACAGAGGCTAATTATCTTCAGATGCAAGTACATCCAAGCAAATTAAAAAGTCCCTTGCTCTGTTAGGGCATGCCTACAGTACCGAAGTATCATCAAAGCACACAGAAATATCAAACAAGAATTCAAATATGGAAATCAAGGAAGCAATATGAAGTGATGTAGGCAAATCTTCTCTCAGTGAAGGATCTTAGACATGCAACAAAGTCTAGATGTGTCTGCTTATGTAGGAAATATCATTTTTCTAGTCTTTAGTGAAAAAATATTCTGCAGAGTTATTCTAAGACAATTTCATTATCTGATGATTACATGCAATTATTTATATAGACTGTCAGTGCAAAATAGTGCTTTGTCAAATTCATAGATGAAAAGCTCTGAATACTAACATTCGAATATATTTCAGCTCTGAATGTGTAACATGATCACAGGTATACTATATATAAAGTTCTTGGCTTACTGACAATGTTAGACTTGATTTCTCTTTGCTGAAGCTGCACTATTCTGCACAGACCCAGAATTTTGAATTCAGATCCACAAATAAATCAGAGTGTTTTGTCATGAAACTTGACACTAAATGAAAAATAACAAAATTAAATAGGAAATGGTTTCTAATAAAGTATCTGCAGTGCCTATGTATTTTGTAAACTTACTACTGTGTTTTTATATATGCTGCAGAACCTTTGTTTTTTAAAAGCACACAATATTTCTATTCAGGTTTTATCAGGAAAGCATCAAAATGAGGTATCAACTAGAATTACTCCAACACTGCAGTTGGTTGCATGCCAAAATGAGCCTCTACATCACGGGTGTCAAACTTGATCGTGTCACATGACATATCGCGATGGTTTTTTGGTTTTGCAGAGGTGGTGGGTGTGGCCTGCATGTGACACATCCGGCCCATTGGCCACCAGTTTGACAGGCCTGCTCTAGATTGTTACTTCTCAGTTGAGTGGCAAATGCCTGTCACTGTCTTATATGTGTCACCATAGCTTGATTATAGATATACAAAATTGGATGCTTACTTGAAAAAATTGATGAAAGTGAATTTCTTCTACATTTCTTAGATAGTGCCAGGTATCCTGTAGTAAATACTGCTTCCTTACATTCATTGTCGAGGGTGTATTGTATTTCTAAGATACAAACAACTGGGTTACAAGTCATTTTAGCAAATTTTGTTAATGTTGCATTATGTTCCTAGGTATACATACCAAACTGTATTCCAGGTTCAACACCATGCATTTTGATTTATGCACCACAATTTTATCTTCAAGATTCAAGATCCAAGGAAAATGGCTGAACACGGATAAAGCCCACTGAAATAACAAAGAGGAATTATTTATGATTTAAGACATGTACATTTTAAAGTTGACTTATTGTAAACCAAAACCCAACTAATATTGTAGCTCAAGAATAAAAACCATTGAATCCAGCCCACAATAAAGGCAACCATTTTAATATAAGAGAATATCTGTAGCTCATGGCTGAACTATGGGATTGTTGGTGCTCTCTGATCTTAGTTCTTTGCTTGCAGATGTTTCATTACCCAACTAGATAACATCAGTGCAGGTGTGTGGGGTTTATTGCTTGCTTATATAAGCTTACCCTGCCAGTTTGGATGGGGGTGTGATTTTCTCCTTGGCTCCTTGATTATAATGTTTTCTGCCTAATTGGAGTTAATCCCTGCTTAAAACTATGCATTTTAGAACCCACAACTATCTAGCACAATAGGCATAGAGCATGTCATTCTAAAACTTCATGTTTAGTCCACAGTATTGATGTAAATGGCCAGGAAAGAATGGCTCCATATTTCTTTTAAGATACCTCCAGCAAAACACTTCCCTCTCTGATAAAAATGAATAAAAACAGGGATATTTGACCAGAGGAAATACAGACAATGAAATAATATCTATACAATTTACACTTATATCAGAATATGTCGATTCAGACTGTAACAAGAACTGTTCACAAAAACAAAAAAAAGCAAAAATAATTAGTAAGCTACATTGCAATTATGCTTGAAGAACTGTCCCCTTGCTGGAATAAGTACCAACGCTCCCTGGGAGCTATTCTATGCAAAAATTTGCTATCAGTTTCCACTATAGTTACAGATAAATAAGACACATTTACTTTTTATTTAGAGTGGCATTTAAAAATAGTTCACTAATACATTCTGAACATTCTGAAGGGTAAATTGCACTTCAGTCTTGTAGTTTTATATCCAAATTTAGATCTGGTGAGGAAGATGAAGTGGAGGAAAGAGAATTTGAATTTCTTCCTCATGTACACTGTACCAGTGGTGTCAAAGTAAAATTATAAATGTAGGCCACTAAACTATACCTAATACATTCTTTAAAAAAAAATACAACAACCCAATAATCAGGAAGTAGGCATAATTAGTACGTTAAAAACATTACTATGGTTTTGACTTGATTTTCAATGTTTGTGTGTACAGGAAATCCTTGACTTAACAACAATTTGTTTAGTGACAGAAGTTACAATGGCACTGAAAAAAGTGACAACTGTTTTTCACACTTAATGACATTTGCAGCATCACCATGGTTGCGTCATTTACATTTGGATGCTTGACAATTAGTTTGTATTTATGACGGTTGCAGTGTTCATGTGAAAAGTCAATGGGGAAACCAGATTCACTTAACAACCGTGTTACTAATTTAACATCTGCAGTGATTCACTTAGCAAACGTGACCAGAAAAGTCATAAAATGGGGCAAAACTTACTTAACAAATTTCTCGCTTAGCAACATAAACTTTGGGCTCAATTGTGGTCGTAGGTCGAGGACTACCTGGTAGTTCATATATAGGTAGTCCTTGACGTACAGCCATTCATTTAGTGACCATTCAAAGTCACACTGAAACTTTTACCATTTTTCACACTTCAAACTGTTGCAGCTTCACAGCTTATTTCAGCTGTTTCTTTAGAAAGGAAATATATAACAAGTCCCGTCAATGAAATATTGTACAGGAGCGTTGTGTGAATTTATTTGAAGAACTGTTCCTAGTCTATTGGCTAATTTCAAAAGCTTAACCAAAGCTATTATCCAGTTTAATACTATTCTACCACTTTCAGATACCTTATATTGGAAGCAATATATTTTTTTAACTTGAAGACCACCCAGAAACATCAGAATTCAGGCAAGTCTAAATTTAAAATAAAACAAACAAATAAGCACTTACATCGTAAACGATTGGGAAGGTATTCCAATTTAAAATTATTTTCTTTACTTCAGGTACATGAAAATTACCTTCCTGAATTTTGAAGCCAGACCTGCAATTTACCTGTATTTATAAACAGGATTAAAGCAAATGTTAATCTGGGGACAAGTTAATCAGTTAAAATACAAACCAAAACAAGTTCTGCATTTGTCAAACTAGCAGAATTTGCACCTAATTTTAATATAAAAACAAATACACAGATATTTTAGAAGGTTTTTTCCTAGACAAGGAAGTTCCCAAGGGCTATATAACTTTTTAAGAAGTTTTTTCTCAAATCCAATAAAGGTTAGTCTTAAGGAAATCAGTGCCTAAACAGAACTTTTCCAAAGGATTTTTTTTTAAGGAGCTATTTTTGTTCTGCTTCTGTAAAGAGTGCTCTTGTAGTTTTGATGCAACCCAATCAAACTGCAGAACGAATGGCAAAATAACAGGGGTGTGTGGCAAGGAGTCAGCATGGAGGTGATGACCTGCATGGGGAGATAGAGCAGAAGGCAGGAAGCAAACCATCTTGGGGGAAGACAACTTGATGGCTAACACCAATGTCACTTTTCAGCCCCTTGTGCACAGCCTAAAGCTTGGTTTCCGGAGCCTTGGAGGAGCAGCTGTATTCTGGCATATGCTGCTTTGTCAGAATATTCATGACTGGGAAGACATGGTAACAAGGTCAGCCAATGAATAGACATGGCAACTAAGTCAGCCAATGGGAGCTGAAACAGTTTGGAGTCTGGGTGTGGCTTAGCTCTGAGTGCTGGGCTGAGAACCGAAACAAGTCTGGTCTTGTCTGCTCTGAACTGAAAACTGCTCTCTGCTCTCTACCATGTTGGAAGAACCACTATTGGTATTGTACATTTATTCATGTGTTATATTGTATATAAAGAGAAATTAATTAATCCTGCTGAATCGGTTATCTGTGTGTGCTTTCTGGATTTGATTTTGCAGCAAACTCTTGACATGCTTAATGCCAGGTTGTCGTGCAATAAAGTTCACCTTGGTCAAAGCCTGAGAAATGAGCTCTTTGTCAGTCAACAGGAGTGTTACTTACCACCAGTTTACCAGGTACTTAGGAACCAAGGCCAAGGCACAAGGGAACAACAACTAAGGACTCAATAGCCAGCCATCAACACCCTACAACTAAAAGCCACATACAACCAAGCACTATATAAACACAACATGTAGAACAGTGCACACATTCTGGAGAGAGAAAAATTCGGAGCCTGAAAGCTTAGAAAAATAAATCTATGGTGATCATCTCAGTTTGGATTTTGCAATACGTCTATTGGCCTTCATTCGCAAAAACTATAACAGATTAACAGAGTTGGAAGGGACCTTGTAGTCCAACTCCCCGACCAAGCAGAAGACCTTACACCATTTCTTGACAAATGACAGTCCAATCTCTTCTTGAAAGTCTCAAGTGATGAAGCTCCCACAACTTCCGAAGGCAAGTTTCATTGATTTTTCTCACTGTTAGAAAATTTTTCCTTATGTCCAGGTTAAATCTCTCCTTATTTTACCTCTTTCACAATCTAACCTGATCATGGATGAGAGAGCCGAGACCTGGTTGGGCACAGAGGAGGCTCTTCCTGTCTCAGAAATGTGCCCACCTGGTTTTCAAGTGTGGCACTAGCCACGGCTTTGGGGCAGGGGTGATGGGGTGGCTATCATTACAATTCAGGAGTCTCTCGTTGTCCTGAGGGGCACTGCCCTAGAGCCAGATATGATACTCTGTGATCAATCATATTGCTTGTACTGTTTTAATACAATGGAAGAAAGGAAAACGTACTAAGTATCAAAAATACAAAAGGGGGGAGGGGAGAAGTGAAACTAAAAAACAAAACGCACCGTTCAAACTGAATGTTGAAAAAAAAAACCCAATAAAACTACTATTCATTCTTTTCAGTCCAAGTTTGTTTCTTACCTCATAAAGCATTTGGGAGACCCAAAGAGGTATAGGAGATCCACCTTTGTTGAAACAGTACGACGATATGTTACTACCAATAAGCCTTCGAAACATGGACACCAGATCCTTAAAGAAGCACACTTCTAAATTGGACCATAGAGTTTCTGAAAAGAGAGCGGACAATCAAATAATACAGTGAGAACATTTTCCTTTATCTTAACTCCGATTTGCAGTGAAATACACTGTAGCTGGGCTACAGCTACAAAAACCTGGTTTTGATTACAGATTCAAAATCATTTATCAGCCCCTTGGGCTGCTTAATTTTATTTCAGGTGACACCTGTAAATCTTCCTAGAAGGAATTCCTTAGGCAAAAACTACAATTGCCCAACAACTCTCAGAAACAATGTCATCTGAACCAATTACCCAACTTCTGCAAGACCATCATAAATAGTTCAAGGGAAAGGTATGGGTACGGTGGCCTTCAGAGCTGGCAGCAGAGTTGGACAGTGAGGAGGCTGGGGAGGACAATGGGCCAGTCCTGGAGTCTTGGGAAGGCCCGGATGAGGGCTCTGCGTCGGAGGCAGAGATGGGGCCAGGGCCATCAGGGAGTGATGCACGGACTCCGGAGCCTCTAGAGCAGTGGTGGGTTGCTACCGGTTCTGCCTGGTTTGCAAGAACCGGTAGTGGAAATTTTGAGTAGTTCAGAGAAATACCATCTCTGCCTGGCCTCTCCCCCAATCTATTCGCTGCCTCCTGACTCCCAGCTGATCAGCTAGAAGGAAAAAATCAGGGCTCACTTGACAAAGAAGAGGGGGGGGGGGAAAAAGACACCGTCGCTTTAAATTGACAAGCCAAGACGCAGCTGCTAGAAAGAAGTTTTTGCTTGCAGAAGCGATGTGACATTCAGCAGTTCGTTTCTGGATCAGCTGAACAACAAACTGGATAAGAGGAGGGATTCTTATATGGTTCTATGTTCTTGAAGTTTTGGGGTTTGTGCAACATGGGCTTTGTGTTTCTAAAAAGGTTTGGGCAATTTCCATTGTGAAATATCCTGTCCTGAATGAGTTTTCTGCCTGCTTGCAAATGGAGCCAAACTTCCAGTTTCCACTTTCTATTATCTCTAAGCACCAGTAGCTGTTTTCTTCTTACAAAGTTTCCTTTATGCAGCTGGCAGGAATGTAGAATGAGTATCAGGCAGGTTCTTTCTTAGCAGCTTGATTGTGCGGAGGGAATGGGGATTTTTCAGTAACCTTCCCGTCACGCCACACCCACCAAGCCACACCCACAGAACCAATAGTAAAAAATGTTGAAATCCACCACTGCATAACTCCATGTTAATATGCTATTCCTGGTATGTGATGTTTTGTATACATACAGAGAAAAAAGCACTCCTGTAATCTTTGACTTTTAGGCTTTCTGTCAAACATTAGCCATGATACTAATGACTGTTTTGAACAATAGGCAGGTTGTATTACACGAATGGCTATGTGAAATTATGACTGAAATATTTCTGCACCTATATTGGTTCACATTGTCAGGAAGTTTCTCCTTAGTTTTAGATTGCTTCTCTCTTTGTTCAGTTTCCATCCATTGCTTCTTGTTTTGCCTTCTGTTGCTTTGGAAAATACATTGCCCCCCCCTTCTTTCTGGCAGCCCCTTAAAAGCCTGTTGCCTATCATATTCTTGGGCAAAGCATGTGAGCCATTTCCTCCTTTCAGTGGTCCATGAAAGTGCATCTATAGTATGTAGATAATAAAGGTGAAAAAAGGTGAACAACATTTTTACAGAACTATAGATATGTTGAGGCTGGGTGTCACAAGGAATGGATGGGAGGGGAGGGGCCAGGCGAGGCACTGCTTGATGTGACATTGAATTGGCCTACCCAGTCCCATGACCATCAAGCCACGCCCACAAAATAAGCCACACCTAGAGAACCGGTAGTAAAAAAATTTAGAACCCACCCCTGCTCCAAAGGCGGATAGCAGAGAGGCAGAGGAACAGGAGGAGCCTGTTCCTAGTGCATGCATGCGAAGAGCTACCAGAAGGCAAGAGCAGCTAAAGCAAAAAGGACAACTCTGGAGTAAGGCCAGGAGATGATTGGCCCCTCCCAGAAGGCTTAAAAGACTAGCAACAGCTCTTGGGATCTTTGTGGAAAGCAATGTTGCTACATTTGTTTCTTGTCTTGCTACATTTGTTTCTTGTCTCTTGCTTCTGAACTTTTGCTAAGAAAAGCCTTTGGCAGGGTGCCATAGTAGACAAAGGTTGGTGATAAGGCTGAAGGACTGTTTATGAAGAATTTGTTTTGGACTTAATTTGGACTAAGCTGAGAATGAAGTAATTCTCAGCTGTTCTAATAAAATATGTTTGATTAGGACTGATTGTGTCTGGTAATAACTACTTGGGCCTAGGTCGCAACAGGGTAGTCCTGTTCATTTAATGACTGTTCACTTAGTGACTGTTCAAAGTTATGTCACTGAAAGAAGTGACTTATGACCATTTTTCACACTTATGACTGTTGCAGCATCCCCATGGTCCCCACGATCAAAATTCAGATAGTTGCCAACTGACTTCTATTAATGACGGCTGCAGTGTCCCAAGATTATGTGATCACATTTGTGACCTTCAGGTCGCAAAGTCAATGGGGAAGTCAGATTTACTTAACAATTGTTACTAATTTAACAACTGTAGTGATTCACTTAACTGTGGCAAGAAAAGTCATAAAATGGGGCAAAACTCACTTAACAAAAGTCTTGTTTAGCAACATAAATTTGGGGCTCAATTATGGTCGTAAATTGAGGACTATCTGTACTTGGATGGGCTTCCTATTTTTTTTAAAGTTTTTTATTAAGTAAACATTAAAAACATTGGACACAATGTGACCATCCTGGTCTTGTCATATCCATACATGTTTTTAACATAACAACAAACTATTACTATTTAACATTCATTGCTACTTTGTTGTTATATACATATCCCTTGTCCTCATTTATATATTTATCTAAACATTATCCAGTATTAATTCTACAAACCCTAATGGGCTTCCTATCTTGATGCATTTAATGCATCAAAGAAAATCATATTGTAATGCCCTCTCCTATGCACTATTATGAGGAAGACACTGTACAAGTAGTCGTCGGCTTACGACCACAATTTAAGTCCAAAATTTCTGTTGTTAAGCGAGTTTGGCTCCATTTTATGACCTTTCTTGTCACAGTTGTTAAGTGAATCACCACGGTTGTTAAATTAGTAACAAAAGTGGTTAAGTGAATGTGGTTTCCCCACTGAGTTTGCTTGTCATAAGATCAAAAAAGGTGATCACAGGACCACAGGATATTGCAACCGTCACAAATATGAATCAGTTGCCAAGATTCTGAATTTTGATCACGTGACCATGGGAATACGATACCATTCCAGACACATGGCTGTCCAATCTCTTCTTTGAAACCTCCAATGATGGAGCAGCCACAACTTCTGGAGGCAGAATTTCTGTTTCTTTCAAAGAAGGGCTCTGCTGTAGAGATCAGATGTGTTGGGACTGCAGCGGAGATGGTGGTTATGAGATTGGAAAACCTGGTTACTAACAGGAGTTTAACAGGAGTTATTGGGAGTAGCTCTATTACCCAAGAAAATCTTAGAATTACTACCTTGGGTTATTTGGGTAATATTTGACTTGTTTATCAAACAGATGCAACTATCCATCTCACTAATGTGACTTTGAGTGGTCTTCAATCAAACAAACTATAAAAAACATTCCTTAAAGCAACCATTAAAACAAGAAGACATACAAATAAATAAGAGAGAACATTTAAAAGATTCACATATAAGGAAACCATCTTACAGGCTCCTTAATTCCAAGAGATCCAGGGGTGCTATTCAGCAGGTTCTGACAGGTTCTGGAGAACCGGTAACGGAAATTTTGAGTAGTTTGGAGAACTGGCAAATGCCACCTCCGGCTGGCCCCAGAGTGGGGTGGGAATGGAGATTTTGCAGTATCCTTCCCCTGCCACGCCCAAGCCACACCCACAGAACCGGTAATAAAAAAAATTGAATTCCACCACTGAAGAGATCCCTAGGACTGCTGGAAAAACCACACATGAAGGGATTTCTGGGAGGTTCCTCGGGGTCAGAACTGGTGGGAAGAAGGGAATGATGTTCCTAAAGATGGGTGCCATGACAGAAAAGGCCCACCTCTTGGATCCCATCAGATGTAACTCCTTAAAAGATGGAGTCTGCAATAAGCCCCTCCTGGCTGGCCTGATAGGATGGGCAGATGTCATTGGGAAGAGGTGATTTCATCAAATACTCTGATATTTCTCTGGAAGTTTGACGTTTCAGTGAAATTAGCAACTGAGCGCCTGCCTTACCAAGTGCTTGCTTGCCTTTCTGTGGGAGTCTCCAGATTGCTTCTGCCAATTGATTAAGGAGATCCAAATCCAAATCTTGATTTTGTAAAAGTACGGGCACAATGAGGAAGAACCTGAGTGCTTCTGGCGAGGTTGGAGAGTAAAGGGGACCACATAGAAGGCTCTTCAGAGCCTTTTTCACCTTGAAGAGAAGAAAGGAAGAAGAAAGTCTGCATTTAATGCATTTCTTGAGCCCAGTTTTTCTTTCCTGCATGCGGCCCTCCAGAGCTCCATTTTCAGTGGCAGAAGGTTGCAGGAGGCCGTCCCAGCTTGGGAGGCCATTTTCGCTGGCAGAGGCACAACGGGCCACCACCGGCGCCCCTGACATGAGTGACATCAAGCTGGCCACACCCACCCTGGCCACACCTACCCCAGCCCCCCAAGGTCAATCATAACCCTGATGCGGCCCTCAATGAAATCGAGTTTGACACCCCTGATCTAGAACATAATCTCTTCTCCAACCGGTGGTTTCCAGGTGTGCTGGGATTGGGAGCTCCACTCAGAGCCTCTGGAAATCTTCAGAATCATCAAGAATTTGAATGCTTGTTCTTGCATTTGATTTGTTTTCCTCCCGAGAACCAGTTTGAACAGAACCAGATAATCAAAGAAACTAACCATGCCTTGCATTATATAGTCTATATTTTCATTATATTGCCCCACTGCCTGGGCATCCATGGTGGTAAAAGATAAAATGACATTGATGCTGTCACCGCGCAAATGCCACGACTTAGCTACCTTCATCAGACATTGGGATGCAAGTATATAATGGTGGTATTTGTATTATGCACTTGTTTTTTGGTGATGCTTTAGTTTGCTGTGGATGGCTGCCATGGTCCTGGTTAGTCTATTAATTGTTTCCTAAACTTTCTGAGCAGCCACACTTAGCTGCTAAAAATGTTCATCATTTGTTTTGTCTATGAAACTGATGCAGATTTTTTTAAAGAAGTTATTGCAAAATAAATTAGGCCTATGGCTTGCAGGGATATGCAGTCTTGACATTTACATTCCTTCTTTGGAACATATTTATTCCAACTGTTCCAGTTTACTGGAAATTAATCCTCCGAATTGGGATTACTTTATGGTGTTCCAAATAAAACATACCTGTTTTAAGGCAACCAAGGGTAGGAGGAAGAAAAGAATGTTCTGCTCCCTGAATGTTCAGTTTTGTTATTTCTAGCGGCTTTATTAAACAAACAAATACATTAAATGATTTCTCCAGCAATTATTAATTGATCCCCTAGGTAAAAGAATTGCTGGCCATTGAATAGAGCCTGCTTTCTGCAGCATCCATAAACTAGAGAGACAATCTTGGTATAAAAAGCTTTCTTATAAGCTTCTTGGTCCACTCAGAATTATTTACTTGGGATTGACTCAGAGGTGGGTTTCAGCAGGTTCTGACCAGTTCTGGAGAACCGGTAGTGGAAATTTTGAGTAGTCCGGAGAACTGGTAGTAAAAATTCTGAATGGACCCGCCCTCATCTATTCTTTGCCTCCCAAGTCCCAGCTGATTGGGAGGAAATGGGGATTTTACAGTAACCTTCCCCTGGAGTGGGGAGGGAATGGAGATTTTACAGTATCCTTCCCCTGCCACGCCCACCAAGCCATGCCATGCCCACCAAGCCACACCCACAGAACCGATAGTAAAAAATTTTGAAACCCACCACTGTACTGACTCCCCAAAGACAAACACTAGGAAATAGTCTATTATATTCTATATGTGAAATCTTAAGGGCACGTTATACCTTTGTGAAGATTTTAGGCTTAGCGTCAATCTTCTTAAAGAAAAGAAGAACAGCTGACATATCAACACCAACAGTCTCCTCAAATGTTCTGAATTTTTCCTCTCTGCAGGAAAGATAAGGATCAATCACCATCAGTCTCTTCTCTACTTCATGGAAATTTACACATTGTGAAAGATTTGGATTAGATTTGGGTATGAAGGTTACTCTGTTTATCACAAGGTTGTAAGTAACTAGACCCCTTTTATAATAAGCAGCATGGTCCTCAAGACTAATAGCAGTAGCACTTACTTATATACCACTTTATAGTGCTTTACAGCCCTCTCTAAGTGGTTTACGGAGTCAGCATATTGTCCCCAACAATCTGGATCCTCATTTTACCGACCTTGGAAGGATGGAAGGCTAAGTCAACCTCGAGCCGGTCAGAATTGAATTGCTGGTAGTCAGCAGAATTAACCTGCAATACTGCATTCTAATCACTGCGCCACCACTGATAAATACACCTCCTTAGTTTTGCTCTATATTAAACATGTCTTCCTTAATTTATAATAATAGCGTAGAAAATATATTAATATATTACCTCTGTTCTAGAAAGCTGCCATTGATGCAAGCTGCCGATGAGAAGATCAAGTTAATATTCCTGTTTATGGAAAAGAAACACAAGCAGTGTTTTTTATTAGTTTGATTTCAGAAATTCTCAACTAGGATGGAATGGACAAGAATCTTTGACATATATAAAGAGGGGAGAAGCTTGAACTTTTGCCTACTAAATCCCTTTGAAGATTCTGTCTCCTTGGAGATGGGAGAGGGGGGGAGACATCCCTGTGATCTGACGAAGAAGAGATCAGGAAAGTGACTTGGAAGATAGCCAATGAGAAGCAGAGAATTGGGGATCGGAAAGGGAGGGATTGGGGGGCAAAGGTCAGTACTGACCACGAAAGAGCCAGGATCAGATCGCTGTGCTCAAATAAAGAGAAAATTTCCTTAAAGATCAGCAGTTTGGAAATTCATTTATTTTGAGATAGCATCGAAACCTGACACTTTGATTATAAAGCAAACTAGCTGCTTCCAACTTCCTTTTGAAAAATGAATTTGTGGAACCTTTCCTCACTTGCAGAAAGTCATATAGCACTGAGATCTTTGTAATAAAAGGGCAAGAGAGAAACGACAACAGGAAAAAACCACTTCTATCACATTCTCTATTATAGGACAAACATAAAAGGCCTGTTCTTCCATCAAAAGCCATACAATTACTCTCTGCAGTTGATAGATCCAGGAATCCAGTAGGCAGAAGTTACCATTTTGCGGGTGAAGTAATGTCAAAAAATGTCTATAACAATCTCCTCCAGTTTAGCATCTTCTAGATATATTGTGAACGCCATAGTTAGGTAAATAATTGCCTTTTGGCTCAAAGACAGTAAAGAAAGTTTTACTTTTAGGAAATTAAAAATGGAAAGAGAAATATTGAATGCTCTTGAAAGGTGGTAGTTTTAGATTGCTCCTAGTTATAAGGAGGTGGGGACAATTATTGTTGTTTCTGTTTGACATATCTATTAGGAAGTTGTTTGATCACATACATTTATGTGCTCTTTGAAATTTTTATCTCAAAAAGAAATAGTGGAATGTATGCATGTACCGGTACTTATGCACATATTCTTATATAAAATATATTGGTGGCTTTTAGGCTAGAATTAAGGACCAATGATTCAGGGGTGTTAAACTCAAGGCCCACGGGCCGGATCTGACCAATCGGGTGCTTAGATCTGGCTCACAGGCCCTGGAAACAGCAAAGGACTGGCCCACTGTGCCTCTGCCAGTGAAAACGGAGCTCAGGAGGGCAGCACGCGGCCCGCCTGAGCTCCTTTTTCTGCCGTGACAGCCTCCTGCAACCCTCCGCCAGCGAAAATGGAGCACACGGCCTCCCCAAGCTCCGTTTTTGCTAGCAGAGGGCTGCAGGAGTCCATCGCGGCTGAAAATGGAGCCTTGATGAGTGACATGGAGCTGGCCAAGCCCCCCCCCCAACCCCCCAAGGTCAAACATAACCCTAATGCATCCTTCAATGAAATCGAGTTTGACACCCCTGCTCTATTTTAAACCAAAAATCCCTAAAGAATCCCTAAAGGAATACCATTAAATAGGGAAACACACCTATTTTCCATTGACTGGATATTGCCCAGTTGCATTTGACTCTGGATTTTGAGACTATTTCACAAACGCTAACTTATGACAGAGAGAGATTGTCCTCATTTAATGTCTACTCATTCAGCGACAGTTTGAGGTGCTGAACAAACGGGGGTTACAGCCAGTCCTCGTAGCTATGGCTATTGCAGTGTCCATTTGTGGCCTTCATTGTTGACTTCCGACAAGCAAGTCAATGAGAAAGCCAGCAGAAGGTCACTAATGATGAAAACGTGATTGCAAGAAGCTGCATCCACATGGGATTTAACTAACGATGGGAACTGGGATTTGCTGGAACTGCTGTCATAAGTCAATGAGGTCACATGATGTCACAATTTATGACATCATTTAGCAATGGAGTTCCCAATCTCAATTACTGTTGATAAGTGAGGACTACCTATCTATTTGTTTGCAAGAACTGCAGAAATCAGATTATCCATGTGGTATTTACCATTTTATATTATTCCAGCAGCTGGGATCCGAATTGGACAACCACTTAGCAACCTTTTCCTCCTCCACTGTGGCCAGTGTTTGCGTTACTTTAGTGTATGCATTCTGCAAAAAAAAAAAAAAGAGATAAAAATGTATTTTCACATATCTTTTATAATGTATATGGCTTCATGTTTAAACCACAGATCAGGAGAAGCTGTACATAAAGGTACTTTCTCTAATGCAGAGAACAGCATTATAAAAATATTGAAACTGTTGCGTGAGGAACCCATAAAGTGCGAAGTTGACCTTTCAAGCATGCCACTAATATACATTGGCGGTTGTGATGCATATTTTGAGTGACAGGGAAGCGCAGCAGAGGGGTGAAACATGCCACAGGTTGCTGACTCCTGGACTAGACCAATGTTTCTCAACCTCCACTACTTTAAGAAGTGTGGACTTCAATTCCCAGAATTCCTCAGCATGGGTGGCTGGGGAATTCTGCAAACTGAAGTCCAGACTAGACTGTGAATTTGAAAAAATATTAAGGAAGAAAACCATGTTGAATTGTGTCTACATATTACCCTGAACCTAAACAGCCTAATTGTATTCACCTGTTCCTAACACATAAAACTTGACTCAACAGTATTGTTATCTTTCTAGTGATAAAGAATAAAATCTGATTGTGACAAGAATTTACTAACTGCCTAGATCAGGGGTGTCAAACTCACGTCCCACAGCCCAGATGTGTCACGTGCTGGCCATGCCCACCCTCAGTTTAGCGAAGGAGGGAAAAGTCGCAATACGTCATGACAACGTGATGCCACGAGTTTGACACCCCTGGTCTAGATAGACAGTGAGTAAGACATTTTGGAACAATAACATTAACCCATGAAATCACTCAGCATTTAGGCTCATCATGTGAGTGAAATAGGGCATTTTTTTCAAAGCATTAGGCAAGCCCTGTTTGACTCATAACAAGGCCAATTCTGGAAGGAATTAAAAAAAAATATTCAAGTAAATGTTGGCATTTTGTATTACAAATTACACATGTTTATGGCCAAGTTCCCCATTTGATTACCTTTTCTTCCAGGTGAAGCACAATACTTTGGTTGTTTCCGGCAATGATTTTAACTACCTTGTCCAAGCTACTTCCTTTAGTAAGAGACAGAAAAAAGAGTGACTTTTCCCTTAAGATTAAGAAAGATTTCTATCTAGAATCTGATTAGTAGAGGGGTGTCAAACTCATGGTCTAAGAGCTGGATGTGTCATGCGCTGGCCACACCCACCCCCGGTTTAGCAAATGGGGGGGAAGTCCCAATACATCACGTGACATCGCTGGTTTGACACACCTGGGTTAGTAGAACTTTGACTAATGCCAATTATAGTCCAAGCTACTTAACAAAAAGAAACTTCTCACTATCTCATCAGAATCAATCACTGCATGTCAAGAATCATCTCGGCACACTGAATTAGAATTTGATACTCATTTGAGAACACATATACTGCCAAAGCTGGATTGTCTATTAAGGCAACATTAATTATAATCACAAGCCAATATCCCATCTCAATCTCATGTTCTCTGACATGGCCTTTTATTTGTGTCTTGGTCACATTTTTCCCTACTAGCCGCATCTCTCTGTCTGTATGCATCCGTTGTTTATCATCATCTTAAAATCATTTTCGGCCTTAGGATTTAGCTCGTACTTTGCATATAACGTTCAACTTGAAAAATGGGGTGACTTACTGTACTTCATGTGTTTATTATGAATAGCCAGATTAAGCGGAAGAGGAACCAGCTGGTCACTTGTTCTTCCTTCTCCAAGTTGCCCTGCTGCTCCATAGCCAAATGAATATACTTCCCCAAGAGCCGGGGCATAAACCAAAGTGTGCCATCTGTTTACAAAATCATAGATAATTCATAGGTAAAACTTTTACTGATCGCATCAGGCCCTTATAAACTGAGACAATATTATGACTGTTGACCACAACATGTTCCTGTTCTGTTGTTTCTTTTAAGATTCTGAAGCAATACAGGTAGTCCTCCACTTAACGATCACAATTGAGCCCAACATTTCTGTTAAGTGACCTTTGCCCTATTTTATGGACTTTCTTGCCTTAGTTGTTAAGCAAATCACTGCAGTTGATAAGTTAATAACCCGGTTGTTAAGTGAATCTGGCTTCCCCATTGATTTTGCTTGTCAGAAGGTCTCAAAAGGTGATCACATGTCCCTTTGCAACCATCATGAGCCAGCTGCCAAGTATCCAACTTTTGATCACAGACACCGTTTGAAATGTTGCTACAGGGCAGTGATGGCTAACCTTTTTGCCATCGCGTGCCAGGAGGGGAGGGGTGGGGGGGTTGTGTGCGTGTGTGCCCACACCCATAATTCAGTCCGGTGGGACTGGAAGGCCCATTTTTTGCTGTCCCCAGCCTCCATGGCCTCTCTAAGAGTCTGGGGAGGGTGAAAGCAGCCTTCCTTGTCACTGCATTTTTGTATTTGCCAGATGAGCTATTATTTTTGGACTTTCAGACTTACCGTAACTTGCCAAGTTTTCTTATCACTAAGCTAACTGCGCATGTCTACATTCCATTACTTTCTTCTAAAACTTTCTTTGTTCTCCTGCCAGGAGAGGTCCAGCAGGAACGTTGCCAAGATGTAACTAATTAGACTAGTGAGATGTTTTATTTTCTTTATAACAAATAAATGAGTTTTTCTTAGAAAATATATCTTCGGGTTTACTTTCTCGCAAAAAGCATACACAAGGAAAATGCCACGATTCACCTCTAACTCAGGTAATTACCCCAGGAAGGTAACGGGGCTGATTGCCACTCTGACATTCCTCACTCCCAACCCCCGGAGGTCCTGTTAGTTTAGAAGACCCCCTAAGCAGTGGTGGGATTCAAGTAATTTAACAACCGGTTCTCTGCCCAAATAATTTCTTCCAACAACCAGTTTGCCAAACTACTCAGAAAGTTAACAACCGGTTCTCCCGAAATGGTGTGAACTGACTGAATCCCACCACTACCTCTAAGCCTCCCAACTCTGATATTTTATGAAATCTAAGTACTGTCAGGACAGGCCATTGACCATCATCCTGGCCAAATGGAGGAAGGGGTCTAAAACTGCAAAAAAAAAAAAGATTTATTTTTAAGCCAGCTTTATTTGCATCTGGTTTTACCCATTGGATTCCAGGCAGTTCATAATATATAACAAGCCAAATAAAAACAGTATTCAAAATATATAGACAAGATAATAGCCAATCGCTCAATACAGTTCATTTTTTAAAAAAAAAAACACACACACCATCCTACAGAGAGTTCCATCTACGCTACCTCAAGGCCTGGGAAAACGACCAGGTCTTCAGTGCCTTCTTCAGGATGGGAGCCACATGGATTTCAGAAGGAATCTCATTACAGAGCAGTGGTCTCCAACCTTGGCAAGTTTATGCGCTGGCTGAGGAATTCTGGGAATTGAAGTCCACAAATCATAAACTTCCCAAGGTTGGAGACCACTGTTCCAGAGAAATGTCTTTGATCATCATACAATTGTTTCACTGGAAGGACTTGGAGTACACTGACTCTGTTGGCTCATACTGGGTGGGAAGAAAGCGTGGAAGATAGGTGGCCCCTCAGTTAACCTAGGGGCCTGTGCTATGTAGGTTTTATAGGTAATAAGTAGCACCTTGATTCAAACCTAGAACAATACTGGCACCAGTACATGAAGTTCATAAAGCAGAGGTATCAAACAGACATGCCGAAGCATCACTTCTGCTTCTGTAATATAGACCCAGTTGAAGCTTTCAATTGGTCTTCAAGGGCAGCTGAACAGCACGTATTGATATACGTACTTCTCGTGCTCGTTGTTGCCTCTGTTCCACTGATGTGCAACTTTGGAGGCCAGGAACCTTTTCCTGATTTCACTTGATATTACTTGTTCTCCATCGAATATTTGGAAGGAAAAGGGATTTCTTACCTCCCGCATGCTACCTGGGTCACCTCTGCACCAAACAGCTCTGCCACAAGACGTGGAAACAGCTCGTTGCAGGTAGAATTGTGGCCAAGCTGACCGTAGCAACCAGATCCAAAGGTGGAGACTAATCCATCCTTAATGGGAAAGAAAAAAAAAACATGACATTGTTCAACACAAAGCCTTTGTCACTTGGCTGGGAATATTAAAAACTGCACACATTGTGAAGGGAAGGAGGAATGATGGTACATAGTAGAAAGTATATAGTTTATATTCTGCACCACACAGGCATCAATAAGGAAACTTAAATCTATATTAAGGAGAATGGTAATTGCAGCCTGTACAAACCATGCATGAGTTTACAGATAGTCCTTGACTTATAACCATCTGTTTAGTAACCGTTCAAAGTTACAATAGTACTAAAAAAGTGAATTATGATCATTTCACACTTACGATCCTTGCAACATCCCCATGGTCACGTGATCAAAATTCAGACACTTGGCCACTGAGTTGTCTTTATGACGGTTGCAATGTCATGCGATCACATTTTGCAGCCTTCTGACCAGCAAAATCAAACGGGAAGCCAGATTCTCTGAACAATTGTGTTACTAATTTAACAACTGCAAGCATTCCCCGAACAACTGTGGAAAGAAAAGTCAACAATTTCCATTGCTAGGTGAGGCAGTTCTTAAGGGTGTTTTGCCCCATTTTACGACTTTTCTTCCCACAGTTGTTAAGTGAATCACTGCAGTCGATAAGAGAGTAACCCGGATGTCAAATGAATCTGGCTTCTCCATTGACTTTGCTCGTCAGAAGGTCGCAAAAGGGGATCACATGACCTTAGAATATAACAACGGTCATAAATATGAATCAGTTACCAAGTAGCTGAATTTTGATCATGTGACCATAGCGATGCTGCAGTGGTCATTCAGTGTGAAAAACGGTCATAAGTCCCTTTTTTCAGTGCTGTTGTAGCTTTGAACGGTCACTAAATGAACTGTTGTAAATCGAGGACTACCTGTATAGTACAGGTAAAATTCGACTTAGGATCATTCGTTCAGAGCAGTGTACCCTGCCCTTGTGACCATGGCAGCCACTGCAGTACAAGAGACCTCTGCTGGGGGGGCCCACCAATGCACAGACTTTCCCTCTGCGCCACCATTCCTGGAAAGCATCACTCTGTCCCACTACTCCTAGAAGGCTTGGGCCTTCTACCCACTCCGTGCAGGTCCATTCACTTTCCCTTTCTGTACAGTTGCTGACAAGCAAACCAGGGGTGAAATCCAGCAGGTTGTGACAGGTTCTGGAGAACCGGTAGTGGAAATTTTGAGTAGTTCGGAGAACCAGTAAATACCACCTCTGGCTGGCCCCCGAGTGGGGTGGGAATGGAGATTTTGCAATATCCTTCCCTCAGGAGTGGGAAGGGAATGGTGATTTTACAGTATCCTTCCCTTGCCACGCCCACCAAGCCACACCACACCACGCCCACCAAGCCACACCCACAGAACCGGTAGTAAAAAAATTTGAATTTCAGCACTGAAGCAAACCCAGTCAATGTGAGGCACAATTACTGTAGAAAGCTAGTCAATGTAATACTTCCAAAGGTAGAAAGAGCCTCAGAACATTGTGTAGGCCAGTGTTCATCTCGAGAGGTTTCTGAGACTCTTTCTAGCCTTCAGAAACATCATGAGGGCTGGCACTTGTCTCACTAGTTCTGAGGCAAACTCCTAGAAGTGCCTGAATAGGTGGCTCAGTGGCTAAGACACTGAGCTTGTCGATCAGAAAGGTCGGCAGTTCGGCAGCTCGAATCCCTAGTAAAGGTCTCCTGCGTGAGCAGCGGGTTGGACTAGATGACCTCCAAGGTCCCTTCCAACTCTGTTACTGTTAAAATATCATGCAGATCAGATGAAAAGTTTAAAAAATTAGTCAATATAAACCTTTGAGAGAACTGCAGTGTGCTCGCCACCACATGAAATAAAAACTGTCTTCTTAAGCTCCAATGCCTTCACGTTGGCAGGAATGTATCTGTCTGAAAGGTAAAAAGGAAAATTAAATATAACCACTTCCAGACACTGACAATGTTTTTTAAAAAAGGTGAAATAAAAATCTGTTATTGTATTTAAAACATTCAATAACAGATGGTTAACAGAGTGATTTGAAGATTAGTGTAATGTTTGGACTAACCTGTTGACTTTTTAAATATATATATATATTCTATGATCCTGATGTTGGGCCGATTTGATTAGCAGATAAGAGATCCCCTTACTTGGAATATTTGTTTATTTAATTTAGTATTTTTGTTAAATCAGGGTGGGAAAGCTTATACCTATTTGTAGATCCGTTATATAAAGTGGGGGGAGAGAATTTATCATTTTTTTCTTATTTTTTTCCTCAGCATCCAGTTGGGGTGGATTCTATGTTTCCATTTAATCTTAAATTGATTTAATATTTGGGTCATTTTTCCCCTTTTTTGTACACATCCTTTTCTTTTTTGTTGTTAGTGTTGGATGTATGTCTTTTTGTTTTTCTGTTTTTCATTTTATTTTATATATATATATATATATATATATATATATATATATATATATATATATATATATATATATAAACTTAAGAAGACATATATATACACATATATGTAGGTCTTTGGTTATTCGGGTTTTCTCCCGTGTAAGAAAGAAGAAAACCCGAATAACCAAAGACCTACATACAAACACCCGCGAAAACTTCAGAAAACAATACATACATACATATATATATATATATATATATATATATATACACACACACACATACACGGTGAAATTAAAAAAAAAGTGTCAAGTACTGTGCTTCCTTTCTCTATTTAGGAACATATAGCTAGTTCTCAATTTACAACTACAATAGGGACCCTGAAATTCATTGTTAAGCAGTGTGGACATTAAGTGAGACATCATGGGACTGCATCTGATTTTATATTTTTTTCCCCACAGTCATTAAGCAAATTACCATGGTCATTAACTGGGACATCACATAAGTGTGACTTGTAACTTTCCTTGCTGGCTTCACCACTGAATTTGCTTATTGGGATTTGGCTGTATGGGTTGCAAATGGCGATCACATGACCACAGGAATAATTGTAATTGCACAATGGCTGTGAAGGGCCCAAATCACAATCATGTAATTATGTGGCAATCATGTGAGGGCCAGTAGTGATTATTTTTTAGTGCCATTGTAACTTTGGTCAATAAATAAATAAATACCTGTAAGTTTTATTTGAAAACCAAATCAGAGCTTTCCATATGTGTTTATCTAAATTACCCTCAGGACCATCTTCTCCTAGAACAGGGGTGGCAAACTGGCGGCCCACGGGCCAGATGCGTCACATGCAGACCACGCCCACCCCAGCTCCGCGAAGGGAAAAAATGTTGTGAAACATCACATGACAGCAATGTGACGCCGCGAGTTTGACCCTCGTGTCCTAGAAGATGCATGGTTCTTGGTGCTCTCTGATGAGCTTGGTTGTTTTTTGCAGACGTTGCATTACCAAACTAGGTAACATTATCAGAGTATGGATGATATTACCTAGTTTGGTGAAGAAATGTCTGCAAGAAAACAACCAAGCTCAGAGACCAATGAGTTTAGGTGAGCCATTTCCTACGATTATAAACCAGCGTATCTCAAATGCCTCCTCCACCCCATTTCCAGAATTTCTCCTTACCTTCTGTGTCTCCAAGGCCAAGTTGTCCATACGTATTCTTTCCCCAAGAGTAAACAGTCCCAAAGATAGAGACGACCAAGCTGTGAGCAGATCCAGCTGCAATGTTAACCATAGGAATGCCTTCCAATGCTTGTACCAGCTGTGGTTCCTTAATGTGACCCATCACCTTTCCCATTCCAAGCTGGCCGTGTTCATTCTCACCCCAGGCAAAGAGTTCTCCTCCTGAGTACAACACACAAAAGGAAGCCATTAATACGGAACTTTCTATATTTATCTATATATTTCTATCCCATTTTGCCTTGAGCAAGGGTCTCCAACCTTGGCAACTTTAAGACTTGTGGACTTCAACTCCCAGAATTCCTCAGCCAGCTTTGCTTTGCTGGCTGAGGAATTCTGGGAGTTGAAGTCCACAAGTCTTAAAGCTGCCAAGTGTGAGGAGACCCCTGGCCTTGAGAGTTCAAAATGGTACAAGTGGAACCTTTTTCCTTGATTTTTTCCCTACAACAATTGCTTGTCAGATAGCTGGGGCTGTGCCTATAAGCTGAGACATCCCAACCGAAATAGAAGACAAGTAAGAGAGTTGTTAAAGAAAAGTGCACAAGCAGCCAATACCTTTTGAAAGAGCCAAGGAATGATGGTCACCACATGCAATCTGAACAATTTGTTTGTTTCCTAATTCTTTCAGTAGTCTGCCAAAAAAAAAAAGAGAGAGAGAGAGAGAGAGAGAGAGAGAGGGAGGAATACATGTTGCTCAGTTATCAATACTTCTTATATAATGTCATAAAAATATTCCAATAAAAGAAACAGGAAACAGCAATACATTACTAATTCTAACTTTAAGAGTCAGAGGTTTATTTCATGAGCAATTTGGAATATGAACAGCCATCATAACACAATTTATATCAATAACCCAATGAGGCAGGGGTGAAATGCTCCCGGTTCAGACCGGATCGCCCAAACCAGGAGCGACGGAGGCGGGTGGTTCGGAGAACCGGTAGCAAAAATCCCTGTCCCCCCGCCCCATTGCCCAGCTGAGCCGTGCAATCATCAGAGGCTTTTTTTTTTATTTTTAAAAGCATTTTTTCTACCTCTTTGGCCGAAAAAATGCTTTTAAAAGTAAAAAAAAAAGCCTCTGATGATCGCGCGGCTCAGCTGGGATCATCCGAGGCTTTTAAAAGCATTTTTTCTACAACCTCTTCGGCCGAAAAGGTTATAGAAAAAATGTTTTTAAAGGGAAAAAAAGCCTCTGCCGATCAGGCAAGTCAGCTGGGATCGTCAGAGGCTTTTAAAAAAAAAAAGAAAGCCTTTGCCGATCAGGCAAGTCGGCTGGGATCGTCAGAGGCTTTAAAAGCATTTTTTTACAACCTCTTCAGCCGAAGAGGTTGTAGAAAAAATGGCTTTAAAAGTAAAAAAAAAAAAAAAAAGTTGGCCACGCCCATTCAGTCATATTACCCCCCACCAAGCCACGCCCACAGAACTGGTAGTAACAAATTTTACATTTCAATACTGTCACAGCTGAGTCCAGCAAGTAGTAGCTATGGCCAGTGGCCCTGGCCTCATCCCAAGACATTTTTTAATACTTTTCTGCACGCATTTCACAACTTCCTTCCTTGTTCTTTCTTACTGACAGACAGTCTCCACATATACCCGTGTACATCTCAAACCTCTATCCATCGGCTACTTTCAGTTCTCTATGTCTCACTTTCAGCGTTCTGATTCCAAATATATTTCAAAACTACGTACTTGGCAAAATCACATTTCACACCAAAATCTCAGCAGGATGACAAATGGTTCTGATACACTTTGAAATCTTCCTATCTAAAACTTTGGTTCATGTAGCTTTTTAGGGCCTGCTATCCTTTTGAAACTTATGGACTCTGCTACTCCAATAGGCTATTTTTCCGTTTCTCACAATAAGAAGTAGACAAGAAAGTCAAAGATAAATACACCGATCATTGAAACGTGTGCTTCACAAATAGCTCTGTATTTTCATATTATTCTACCAGTTGTTCTCACTTGAGGCATAAATGACCAGATTCAAACTGTCTTATTTCAGACATATTATGTCAGGGGTCTCCAAACTTGGCAACTTTAAGACTTGTGGACTTCAACTCCCAGAATTCCTCAGCCAGCAAAGCTGAGCTGGCCATGCCCCAGCCTCTGAGGTCAAACACAACCCTGATGCGGCCCTCAATTAAATCGAGTTTGATACCCCTGTTCTATCAGAACTGAAGAAGCTTCTGGAATGAGAAATGAAATGTTTTCAAGGAAAAAACCCCCCAAGAAAGCCCACCTGCCTTTTGAAAAGCACCTTTGGGACAGCCATGACCTGAATGACTGAGAATCTCCCATAGACATTCTTCTATTAAGTTTATTTTTAAAAACATCTGTTTCTTTGTATACAAGTCATAGAATCAGCAAATTGAATGATGATTATTCTCTCACCCATGAGCCTTGTTCATTCAGGGTTTTTTTTTTTAAAAAAAACAACAACTAATATATAATAAGAAAATTTCTACCTTATTTGTGGGGTTTTGGTTGTGATATCATACTCTGAAAGTTTTCCATTTGATGAGAGAATAAGCAGGTGAGATGCTTCACAATCCAGTGAATTTATCTTCTCTTTTAAGTAGATGGGTCCTGCAAGACATAGCAAGAGAATGTCCACCGTGATTTTCACCAATGATTATCTTAATTGGTACTAAGCCACACTAAGAATTCTGCTGGACTGAAAGGCTGGAGTCATTGTGAACTGGGAGTTAGACAGGAGCCGAGGCAGTCACATTTCAATCTTTATTCACCTATGGACTTAATTAGATGATTATGGAGCAATTCATGTCTCAGCTCAATCTAATTCCTTAATGGCGAACCTATGGTGGGATTGGAAGTTGGCAAACGGGCCATTTTCGGCCTCCGGAGGGCCTCCGGGGTGTGTGTGTTGGGGAAGGCCTTTTTCACCCTCCCCAGACTCCTAGAGAGGGTCTGGAGCCTGGTGAGAGAGAAAAACGGGCCTAAAGGACCATCGCATGCCAGGACTGGGGGGGGGGTGGGGGGGTCAGAGAGCCAATCGAGTGGCTAGTGTGATTACATCTGTTCCTGCCATGGTGGAGGCAGGTTGTCTGGATAGAATAGAATAGAATAGAATAGAATAGAATAGAATAGAATAGAATAGAATAGAATAGAATAGAATTTTTTATTGGCCAAATGTGATTGGACCCACAAGGAATTTGTCTTTGGTGCATATGCTCTCAGTGTACATAAAAAGACAAGATACACTCATCAAGAATCATAAGGTACAACACTTAATAATAGTCATAGGGTACAAATAAGCAATCGAATCATACTAAGAAACAATATAAATATAAGGATACAAGCAACAAGTTGCAGTCATATAGTCATAAGTGGGAGGAGATGGGTGATAGGAATGATGAGAAGATTAATAGTAATAGTAATGCAGACTTAGTGAATAGTATAGAAACATATTAGTGAATATGTTGTGGGTTTTTAATGCTATAAATTACCTTGAGTACAGTTAGTCCTCAACTTACAACCACAATTGAGCCCAAAATTTCTGTTGCTAAGCGAGACATTTTTAAAAATTTTTGCCCCATTTTAGACCTTCGTACCTTTCGCCGCGCCCTTAAAACACTATTATTCCATCAAGCAGGGCTGACCTAAAATATTATTTTAATGGGTTATTTTATTTTAGATTATTGGCCAAACTATTTAATAATTTTAAATTGTTTTTAACTTTTATATTGTTGGTTTTTTATCTTGGCTGTACACCACCCTGAGTCCTTCGGGTGAAGGGCGGTATAAAAATTTAATTATTATTATTATTATTATTATTATTATTATTATTATTATTATTAATAATAATAATAATAATAATAATAATATGGTCAAGTGAATCCGGCTTCTCCATTGACTTTTGCTTGTCAGAAGGTTGTAAAAGCTGATCACATGACCCCGGGATACTGCAACTGTCATAATTATGAGTCATTTGCCAAGCTGTAACAACAACAACAACAATAAAATGAAACACCAAGGCTACTGGCTAAATTGGAAAGTTGGAAAAAATATCCCAGGAGGAGTCAAAACTTTTCATAAGATGGATATAAGTCACCAGGCTTAACTCCACAGGATCTCTTTGCCTTTGGATCAGCCAAAGGTGCCAGATTGAAAAAGCCTCAAGTCTTACCAACTTTTCTGTTTTCTAGGAAGGCTGAAGCATTCAGGAGACAAAACTAATATGCTGATAAACTTGCAATTTGTTTTGATAGGAGTTGTCATTTTTAACAAGATAGGAGACTGCAAACAGGCTGGAGTGATTAGAACAGGGGCTTCTAAACTTGGAGACTTTTTAAGAGTTGTGGACTTCACCTCCCAGAATTCCACAGCCAGTCATGCCAGCTGAAGAATTCTAGGAGTTGAAGTCCACAAGTCTTAAAGTTGTCAAGTTTGGGGATCCCTGGATTAGTGTTGGACTAGGAAACCCCCCTGGGTTAAAAGTTTTGAAAGACCCAGGTTCAAATCCGCCCTCATTCACAAAACTGACAGGGTTACTCTCTCACCTTACTCACTGATCGATCCCCAGAGGGCACACCAAAGATATACATACATAGTACACTAAAGAAAAGAAGAATTAGGGGTGACATGATAGCAGTATTCCAGTATTTGAGGCAGTGGTGGGTTGCTCCCGGTTCTGTCCAGTTCTTGCGAACCGGTAGTAAAAGCGACGGAAGGCTCCGCCCATCCGCCCATCATAATGGACAATCTGCGCATGTGCAGAAGCTTCTGTGCATGCGCAGAAGTGCGCACGCTCCCGTTCCGAACCGGTAGTAAAGGTAAGTAGAACCCACCCCTGATTTGAGGGGCTGCCACAAAGAAGAAGGGGTCAAATTATTCTCCAAAGCACCAGAGGGCAGGACAAGAAACAATGGTTGGAAACTAACCAAAGAGAGAAGCAACCTGGAATTAAGGAGAAACTTCCTAACCGTGAGGACAATTAACCAGTGGAATAGCTTGCCTTCAGAAATCATGGGCGCTCCATCAGTGGAGGTTTTTAAGAAGAATCTAGAGCAGGGGTGAAATCTAACAGGTTCTGGAGAACCAGTAGCGGAAATTTTGAGTAGTTCGGAGAACCAGCAAATACCACCTCTAGCTGGCCCCAGAGTCGCGTGGGAATGGAGATTTTGCAATATCCTTCCCCCAGGAGGGAAGGGAATGGAGATTTTGCAGTATCCTTCCCCTGCCACGCCCACCAAGCCACACCCACAGTAACCGGTAGGGAAAATTTTTGGATTTCACCCCTGATCTAGAGGTCCCCAAACTTGGCAGCTTTAAGACTTGTGGACTTCAACTCCCAGAATTCTCCAGCCAGCTGCTGGCTGGAGAATTCTGGGAGTTGAAGTCCACAAGTCTTAAAGCTTGCCAAGTTTGGGGATTTCTGGTCTAGACAGTCACTTATCTAAATCGATATAGGTTCTCCTGCTTGAGCAGCGGGCTGGACTAGAAGACCTCCAAGGTCCCTTTCCAGTTTATTTTACATTCTAACATAAAGGTGGGTTGTTTTTTTTTTTTTTTTGTTTTGTTTTTTTGCTGCCATCTGGCGGCCGTCCGGATTTGGAGGCATCGGATTACGGTTACTCACTGCGACTTTCCACGAGGGGCTGATGCGGTTGGTCTTGAGCCCAGCCGAAAAGGAGGACGGTTTTAGATGCCTGCGCCATGGCTAAGTAACTTTGCTTACAGCTGATCTGGCAAATGGCTTCAGGATCCTCTTTGAAGATGCTGCGGGGGTACCCCGCCATTGGGAACAAGAGCAACGGGGCTCGGAGTGGCGGGGAAGAGACGGCGGCAGAGGAATCCAACCCATCGCTGTCTTGGGATCGCCGCTTGCGCATCTTTTTTTCGGCCACTTGCTCTCCAGGCCTCCGGGGCGCGGGTTTGGGAACCGAGCCTGCCGGGGAACTACTACTAGGGGCTCCGCGGGGGCGTCTCTTCCGCGCGGAGGGCATGACTGCAGGATCCTTCCTCGCCTCCGATCGCCTAAGGGAAAAATGGGCAAGTGCTCCAGAACGACGCGCGGTTTTGGTCCTCTCCGGGCTGCTTTCGGGGCGGCTGGACTTTGCAAACGTAAGAGAGGGGGAAGGCGTGCCTGGCGAGGAAATCGAAACTGCGGCGCGATCCGGGGCAGGGGAAATTGGCTTTGGGTGGCAGGACGGAGGGCACCGGCTGGGAGATTAAGGGTGGGAACTCCCACGCGAGTTGTCACTTCTTTGGAAGCCTCTCCGAAGCATTCACGTTGGCGCTTTGTGCAGAGGACACACACCAGCCGCGGCTCCCTCAGCTTTCGGTCCCAGAGTTTCGGTTTCGTTTCATCACTGACTGACTGCACAAAAGGGGCTTTTTTTTTATTTCAGGAGGCAACTGGCCTTCCTTGGTTTGTTGTTGTTGTTGTTGTTGTTGTTGTTTTTTAATTTGATTTATATGCCGCCCTTCTCCGAAGACTCAGGGCGGCTTACAATGTGCTCAGCAATAGCCTTCATCCTTTTGTATATTTATACAAAGTCAGTTTATTGCCCCCACAAACTGGGTCCTCATTTCACCCACCTTAGAAAGGATGGAAGGCTGAGTCAACCTTGAGCCTTGGCGAGATTCGAACCCTGGAGTAATTGCAGGCAGCTGGTCTTAATAAGCTTAATAACAGGGTGCCTTAAACCCCTGTACTACCAAGGCTCTTTTTCCTTTGAAGACGTGTCGCGTCTCACCCAAGAAGCTTCTTCAGCTCTGACAGGATAGTGGGGAATGGAGGGATTTTTTTTTTATTCCTTGCAGACAGCTGGTCATTTTGCATCCTTTTTAGAGCAGGGGGATTTCATTGAGGGAAGCATCAGGGTTGTGTTTGACTTAGGAGGGGCGTGGCCATCTCGACGTGGGGGGGGGGCAACCTGTGATGGCCAAGGCAGGATTTCCCTCAGGCCCTCCCTCACTCTCATTATAATCTTCCTTCCTTCCTTCCTTTCTTAAATAATAAATAAATAACTTTATTGTCATTGTATGTGTATACCAGGGATGGGTTCTAATTTTTTTTACTACCGGTTCTGTGGGCGTGGCTTATTCTGTGGGAGTGGCTTGATGGTCATGTGACAATTCTTTAGTATTTAGCAGAGGTACTGGTCTACCAGGCTTTTAACCACTTGCAGAGCTGTACCAGTCTACCCATTTGTTTTTGGAGGCACCGGTCTACCCATTTGTTTTTGGAGGCACCGGTCTACCCATTTGTTTTTGGAGGCCCCCGTCTACCCATTTGTTTTTGGAGGCACCGGTCTACCCATTTGTTTTTGGAGGCACCGGTCTACCCATTTGTTTTTGGAGCGTATGGTCTACCACTACACTGCCTTTTAACACTGATCAGCTGTAGGGCGGCCCTTTGAAGCCCTGCGGCAAGAGTTTAAACAGTTTTTTCCTCTAGCTGATCAGCTGGGATTTGGGAAGCAGCGAATAGATTGGGGGTGTGGCCAAATAAAAGGTAAGGATAACGTGAGGGCGGGCGGGACAGCCCAGCTCCCGAACAAAGAAAACCGGTTCGGTGACATCATATCGTCACCGCTACCGACTCGGCCAAACCGGGAGGAACCCACCACTGGTGTATACCCAGTATACCCATACAACGAAATTCACTTAACACCCAAAGACCAGGTCCAACACACATAACAATCCCCAAACACCCACCCACCCACCACAAATTCCCCGCCCCTAAACCACCCAAACATCCACACAACAGACCAAGTAATACTGTCCAACAGGTCACTTGATGGTGGCCCTTTAGTTCATTGTTGAGTGCAATTATAGCTTGGGGATAAAAACTATTCAGAAAACGTGTGGTCCAAGTTTTAATTGTTCTGTATCTTCTGCCAGAAGGCAACAGTCCAAAAAGATTGTAAGCAGGATGGGAAGAGTCTCCTTCCTTCCTTCCTTCCTTCCTTCCTTCCTTCCTTCCTTCCTTCCTCTTTCTTCTTCCTTCCCCTCTTTCCTTATTTTTCCTTCCTTGCTCACTTCCCATCTTTTCTTCTTTTTCTTTGTCTTTGCTCCTTCCCTTTCTCCTTTCCTGTCCCTTCATGGATGCTCAAAAGCAAAAGGGGAAACATTTCTCTTTTCGTTTTCTTTTTAGTTTGTTTTGCTAGCCCTCTGCCAGAGAAATCGGAACCTGGGGGCGGGCACGCACTGCCCCCCTCAGCTCCATTTTTGCTGGCAGAGGGCTGCAGGAGGCCATCGTGGCCAAAAATGGGGCCCGGGAGGCCTCCCAAGCTCTATTTTTGCTGGCAGAGATACCACGGGCCAGTCCTTTGCTATTTCCAAGCCAGCCCCACGGGCCAGATCTAAGCACCCTGCAGGCCTGATCCAGCCTGAAGGACTTGAGATTGACACCCCTGTTTTAGAGGGTTGTTGAAGCACTTGGAGGTTTCTCTGTGTGCCAAGTGCTTGTCAAGAACCACTATCCAAGGGCTTCAACAACCCTCTGAAAGGATGCAAATGACCAGCTCTCTGCAAGGAATATAAAATCCCTCCATTCCCCACTATCCTGCCAGAGCTGAAGAAGCTTCTTGGATGAGAAGTGAAATGTCTTCAAAAGAAAAAACAAGAAAGTCCAGTTGCCTCCTGAAAACACATCTTTGGGACAACGTAGAGAATCTCTACAGACTGTTATAACTGTGTGCATTTTCTCGGAAGCTCGGGGGAAGTTACATAGACATCCGACACGCTGGGTTAAGATCTCTTTCAAGATGACAATTAGGCTTTTATCTTGGAATGTTAACGGATTAAACTCACCACAAAAAAGGAACAAGTTATTTACATATCTGAGACAATTTAATAATGACATAATTTGTCTACAAGAAACTCATATTCGAACTCAAGATCACAAATATCTGATAAACTCCAAATTAGGAACACATTTTATAGCTTCAAACTCGGAAAAAAAGAATGGTGTGGTTATTTATGTAAATAAAAGATTGTCTGCTAAAATTATAGAAGCAGATGAAGGTGGTAGGTTTATTGCAATTGAATTGTATACAGCAAATGGCCAAATTCTTCTGATTGGAATTTATGCTCCGAACCAACAACAGGATCATTTTTATAAGACTTTACATAATAAAATATTGCAATGGGATTATAGATCTATTTTAATAATGGGAGATTGGAATGGAGTAATTGATTCTAAACTAGATAAAAAGAGTTTGGCGAAAGTAAGGATCAGACTACCACAGACTTTTTTTGATATGAAAGAAGATTTGGAATTAAAAGATATATGGAGAATTTACAACCCAAAAGAATTGGACTATACTTTTTTCTCTGACAGACATAGATCTTTTTCCAGGATTGACTTTATCTTGTTATCAGATGATTTACTTGTTAAAACAAAAAGAACAAAGATATTTCCAAGAACTTTAACTGATCATAGTTCTGTATGGATAGAAATTGAGATGGGAAAAACTGAGAGAAGGTCATGGAGATTAAATGAAAATTTGTTTAGATATGAAAAAAATATAACAGAACTTAAAAAACAGATGAAAGAATTTTTTGAGATGAACTTGAATAAAGGTACCCCAATTGAAATTGTATGGGATGCGAGTAAAGCGTATATGAGAGGGGTACTCATTTATATGAACTCTAAACATAAACAGAATCGACAAAAGAAAAGACTCGAATTGGAAGTAGAAATAAAGAATAAGGAACAGCTACTCATTAAAAACCCAACAGATGAAAGAATATCTGGTGCTATAAAACTTTTGAAAGATCAATTTCAAATGCTCTTGGCGGAGCAAGCTGCAACAAATTTACAATATGCGAAGCATAATACGTTTTGTAATGCTAATAAACCGGGAAGATGGTTGGCCTACACCTTAAGGAAGAAGCAGAGTATACGGACTATTGAGAGTATTGATATTGGAGGGAAAGAAATTTCTCAACAAAAATTGATTAAAGAAGTCTTTGTAGAATACTATACTAAATTATATGCCAAAGATGATATACAGAATGGACTTATAGAAAAATATCTAGAAGAGAAAAGAGTCTCAAAAATTACTAGTCAACAAAAAGAAAGAATGAACTACCCTATAACAGTTGAGGAAATAATTGCAGCAATTAAACAATTGAAAACAGCTAAAGCTCCTGGAACAGATGGATTGACTGCAGTGTATTATAAAACTTTACAAGCAGAAATGGTGGAACAACTTAGAGACTTATTTTGCAATATACAACAAGGGGGTAAATACCCCCATCATGGAAATCAGCATATATTACTTTGATACCAAAAGAACATGTAGGTCCTAAAAAACCGGAAAATTATAGACCAATATCTCTTTTAAATAATGACTATAAAATTTATGCAAAAGTATTAGCCAACAGATTGATGCCAGTAATTCAAGAGGTGATTCATGATGATCAAGCGGGATTTATCGAGGGCAGATATATGAAGGATAATGTAAGGCAAGTAATAAATTTACTGGAATATCTTGAGAAGAATAAACAGATCCCTGCAGTGCTGGTCTTTTTGGATGCAGAGAAGGCCTTTGATAGAGTGGATTGGAATTTTCTAGTAAAGACTTTGAAAAAGATGGACTTTGGGGACCAATTTACACAGGCGATTTCGGCAATTTATCAAGAGCAAAAGGCACAGATTATTATTAATGGAAGTTTGACAACAGAGTTTAAAATTGAAAAAGGAACAAGACAGGGATGCCCGTTGTCCCCACTTTTATTTATTTTAACACTAGAAGTCTTGTTAAATACAATACGGGACTCTAATATCTTGAAAGGTATAAAGATTAGGCAAGAGGATTACAGAATAAAGGCATTTGCAGATGATCTGGTTGTTACCCTATCACAACCAATGGAATCAATAATCTTGATGAAGGACATTATACAAGATTATGGTAAAGTTTCAGGTTTCAGATTGAATCCAAAAAAGACTAAAATGATAGTTAAAAACATGACACAAGATCGCAAACATGAGCTTGAAAGGAGGGCAGGTTTTGAGATTGTACCTAAGGTAAAATATCTAGGAGTTCAGGTTGCAGAATCAAACATGAAATTGTTTCAAAATAATTATGAGGTGTTGTGGCGAGAGGTGCAGAAAGATATGGAGACTTGGAAAAAACTGCAGCTGTCTCTACTTGGAAGAATAGCAGCAGTTAAGATGAATATTTTGCCAAGATTTCTTTTTTTGTTTCAAATGATTCCGGTGCTTAAAAGTGATAAACAATTGAAAGTTTGGCAATTTGGAGTGAATAAGTTCGTCTGGAACGAGAAGAAGCCAAGAGTGAAATTGAAAATTATGCAAGATGTTCCAGAAAGAGGAGGTCTTAAACTTCCAAACCTACAGCTATATTATGATGCAGCAGCTTTAACTTTAACAAGTGATTGGTTTGGAAGTAAAAAGGCTGGAATATTGAATGCAGAAAGTTTTGATCTTGAATTTGGATGGCACGCTTACTTATTTTATGATGACAAAGTTGATAAAATATTTAAAAGCCATATACTTAGAGACTCTTTGATGAGAGTTTGGAAGAAGCACCGACTCAAATGGGATTATAAAATACCGCTATGGTTGGATCTTGGTCATACTTTGTGGAATACAAATATAATGTCACTCGGGGGGTTTTTATACAAAGAGGTTCTTTTTACAGATGCGGGCAGATGGCAGCTGAAGAATTTGCAGACACTGTTGGACGAAGGGATTAATTTAACTTGGTTACAATATAATCAATTACAATTGAGATGGAAAGAGGACCAAAAAAATTGGTATTATGTTGCATGAGGAAGAATTGGTTAGACATATAAGAGAGAAAGGTCCAATGCATATTAAAAGGCTTTATAATGTTTTGCTAGAAAGGGATTCAGAAACTGAATTAGTTAAAGACTGTATGATTAAGTGGGCACAAAATTTTGAAGAACCAGTGAAGTTGGAAACATGGGAAAAAATTTGGGTCCAGAATGTTAAATTTACACAGTCGCAGAATTTGAGGGAAAATTTTTACAAAATGTTTTATAGATGGCATCTAGACCCTAAGAAACTGTCGTGTATGTATCCTAATGTTCAGCCAAAATGTTGGAGGTGTGATTGTACAGATGCTACATATTTTCATATTTGGTGGACCTGTAAGAAAGTTAAGGCTTTTTGGATAAAAATTTGGTGGGTTATGCAGAATGTTTTGAAGAAAAAAATTCAATTTTCTCCACAATTGTTTTTATTGGGTATAGCTAAGGGTTTTACAGTGGATGAAACAAAGTTGATTTTGTATATGATTACAGCAGCGAGATTGTTGATAGGTAAATATTGGAAAAATGTAGCTTTGCCCACTGTTCAAGAATGGACTTTGAAGATGGCCAGTTTCGCTGAGATGGCGAAGATTTCAGCATATTTAAAAGACCGCTCACAAGAGACTTATGAATGTGAATGGAAAAAATGGATAGATTATGTGCAGAACAAATATCAAACTAGGAAGTATCAAATAGCTTTTTATTGATAGTATTATATTACATTAAGATAGAAATATTTGAACTATGTGAAGATGAAAAATGATATGGGGGTTGGGGGGGGTTTAAAGTTCAAGGTTTTTTTTTATATAAAGGGGATAATGATGGGGTACACTCTATGGAAGTCCGGGGGGGAGGGGAGGGTTAGGGGGGGTTAGGGAGGATGGGTTGGGGAGCTTGGGGTGGGTTAGGGGGGTAAAAACGGGGTGAAAATGTAATTGTAAAACTTTTACAATAAAAAAAAAAAAGATCTCTTTCTTTGGACTTTGGTATCATCAGGACAGATATTCCTCACTTAACAACCATTCAGTGACTGAAGTTATGACTGCTGAAGCAATGGTAGTTACAACCAGTCCTTGAAGTTACAACTGTTGCAGTGCCCCTGTGACCAAAATTCAGGCATTTGGCAGCCAAGTCACGCTTAGGACTAAAGTCCTATCTTCCTCCATCTCTGCCTTCTTGGCTTCCCTCTACCAGCTGATCTTAACCATCTTCTTCCTCCCACTGCTGATGCACACCTGGCCAAGGCAGCTCCTGGCCCATCATGAAGCTGCCAAAACACTTGAAACCTTTGATCTTGAAGGACCGGCAGTCTTGAAGGACTGACAGTCAGGCAAAGAAACCAGAAACAACACAAAGAGCTGATCAGAATGATATGTTTAGTTTACTTTATTGATTAGCCCTTAGGTCATATCAAAATGCAGAGTTCCAGACACAAATTATTACTAAATCTGATAAAAAGAATTTAAAATGGAATTGGATAAAATACAATTTAAAATGGAATTGGATAAAATATAATTTAAAATGAAATTGGAATAAAATAAAATACAATTTAAAATGAAATTGGGTAAAATACAATAGTTATAGGGTAAGATACAATATAATTTAATACATAAAATATATAAAATAGAATAAAATGACATAAAATTGTATTTCGGTGTCACCCTTACAATCTACCCCAATCAGTCCCACGTATGCAGATCTCAGCCGAACCATTTTAAGTACTGTGCTGTGTTAAATGTTATTTTCAGGTTCTGGCTGCACATAAAGTATGTTTATTGCTACTTGCCTATAGACAGGTATCTCATCAGATAAATGCACTATTTACCATATAAACACTGAACTTTTTGGGGAGATCTCTTCTCAGCTGCTTCCTTCTCACCACCAACTCAAGATTAGACAGGTTTTTTTTCACTCCTCCCCTCAACTCACTCCCAGATTCCACCATATTAACAGGAATAGAAAAATTCAGCAACAATTTGTCTACAATTGTTTCTTACAATCCGAATGACAAAATGGCAAATGGGTGTTTTTAATAAAATTTTAACTTTTCACTTCAATATCCGTCAGTAACCAAGATGTCAGAAGATACCTGTGGTCAGGTTTGAACCAATTCTTGGCCACTGAGGTAGTTAAAAATATTCTAAAATACTCTTTAAAAACTCTTTTAAGATTCAGGAATAAGATAATCTATTCTAGGAGTATTTTCAGAAATAACCAGATTCATTCTTTCATTCTCTCATCTCCCCGCCCCTCATCTTAATTCAATCTAATTACACGGCAGACAAAACAGCGTATTTTCAACATACTATATATTTAGGCTGTACACGATCACTTTATTTCTAAATAAACCAAGAAAATCACTCAGCAGTCATCTAACTAAAATGCCTTGTGACAATCTCTTCTCCCATCTGAGGTCAAAAGAAGGCTACAGCTTCCAAGGTGACGTCTTCAAGTTCTGTTTTAGACTCTGGGCGCAAATCTACCAAAGCCACGATTGCTGCTGATAGCTTGAAGAAGCTTCTCTTCCAGTTTTTGTTTGGTTGAGTAAATTGGCAGCAATAAATGATGCCAACATGTCCGGGCCTCAGGCATATGATCCTCTGAGGTCAAGACACATGGAGAAATTGTTATCTTCCAAAATTTCATTCCTTTCACAGGGATCCTGTCATTTCCTACCACAAACACTAGAAAAATGGGAAACCATCAGTTAAACAGAAAATACAGACAGATCTAAGAACATGGGATTCTTTGGCTCAGGGTAATATTGCCTCCAAAAGGATTTAATAAAACATCTGTTACCCTACTTGGATCAATTATAGTGATCCAGCCCTATATTACAGGTAGTCCTCAGCTTATGACCACAATGGAGTCCAAAATTTATGCTGTTAAGTGAGAAATTTGTTAAGTGAGTTTTGCCCCATTTTACGACTGTCCTTGCCTCATTTGTTAAGTGAATCTCTGCAGTTGTTAAATTAGTAACACAGTTGTTAAGTGAATCTGGCTTCCTCGTTGACTTTGCTTGTCAAGACGGTCACAAAAGGGAATCACATTACCCTGGAACTGGCATAAATATGAAGCAGCTGTCAAGCATCCAAATGTAAATCCTGTGATCATGGGGATGCTACAATGGTCTTAAGTGTGAAACATGGTCATAAGTCACTTTGTTCAATGTTGTTGTAACTTTGAACGTTCATCAAATGAACTGTTGTAAGTCAAGGACTACCTGTATAGAGTTGCTTCTCAATTATCATTTCAATTCCTTGACTATCTGTATTAAAAGAAGCTTTTGGAGAGAGATGAATGCCTTCTTGCTAACATTCGTAACAGCTCATAACGCAGAAAGAAATTCACCTTCAAGATCTTTAGAAGAGCAATGAAGTACTCGCATGTAGATACTTACCCAGAAAACGTTTTTTATCCTCCAAACTCAGCTCATGAAAGACTTCCCAGAACATCTTTATGGTTGGGTGCGTTGAGCTGTATATGTCCCGATACTCAGCATTCTTCAGTGCAAAAATTATCAATCAGACAATGGGGGAAAAAATCAAGAACCAATAAGAATAAACAAACTAAACTACCTATCAAATTATATATATATACATATATATCATTCTATAAACCACTCAGAGTCACTTGAACAGTGAGAAAGAAAAGAAGGAAGGAAGGAAGGAAGAAAAAAGAAAAAGAAAGAAAAGAAGGAAAGATAGAAGGAAAGAGAAAGGCTTTAGCAGCTTTATCTGCAGCCATGCCATCCAGGCAATTCTATCATTCACTTATTTGATAAGCTATGAGAGTTGCCGATGGAGAAAAATTAATTCCATTTACCAAACCCTACCCATGCCAATTGAAAATTATGCTGTAGCTAATGGCATAGTTCCATCCCTCCAATCATGATCTGCTCATAAAGATGCTTGTCATAAAATACATCTCTCCATCCACTTACCCGTTCGTACATATCCCAATCATAATTGGCATTTCCAATTGCCACTTCCATCAGTTGTTCAGGCTCAAAGATGCCAACTAGCTGTTCATCCAGGACTTTGTAAAATCCTCTCCTGAACTCACTGAAAACATCATCCACTGATTTGTTGAATATGTAATCCACGTATTTGTCAACAAAGTCTTTCCTTTAAAAAGTAGAAAATAAGCCTGATTTTTTTTCAAGGTGGTCAAATTCTTGGCCTTTAAATAAATTCATCAGGGTTCAGAATCTGATCTCTTCAGTTAATGTTGCTCATAAATCTAAAACTATATGTTTACATTTATTTGTTAATATAGTAAATGTTCACTTTGATATTTACAAGAATTAGTTGAGACTGGAGGTAAGTCTTTGTACCACAAGGCAAAAAATGTATATATTACTTAACATTTAGGCCTTTGAAAGAGAACAAGACTGAAATTTTATAAATAAATAAGAATTAAAAGACTGGACTTGTTGCATTTTAGTTAGCTATGTTTCTCTCTTTTCTCCCCATTTCCTCACCTTTTCCCCAAATTGTCACCCTACAGTAGTCCTTGAGTTATGACAGCAATTGGGACTGGGATTGCTGTCACTAAACGCTGCAGTTGTAAAGCATAATGTCATATGACTGCATTGCTTAGCAAATTCCATTTGTTGTCGTAATCCCAGCCCCTCTTGGGTCTTTAAGCAGGAAGAATACCGGGTAAAGAGTGTGCGGATGGGTGCCACAAGCAAGCTGGCATCGGGCACAAGTGGGTGCTGGGGAGCATGGGCAAGCTGGCAACGGTTTTGGGTGTGTAGTGTGCTGGGGTGGTGAGGGATGTGGGCTGGCACTGGAGAGAAAAAGTGGGAGAAGCATAAGTGAATTGCAACCTTCTCTGCTATCCCATTGACTTTGCTTGTGGGAAAGTGGCAATTCCTGATCACCTGACAGTGGCTGGCTGTGATGTAAGCATCAGCCAAGTGCCCGGATCATGGTCACATGACCACAGGGATACTGCAACAGCTTGTGAGTGAATGAGCGATCATAAGATTACCTGTAGTTTAGATCTGAAGAAATTTTTTTAAATCCCATAGAAATTCAAGATGTTTGGGGATATCAGTAACTGAAAGTTTAAGAAGTTATCTGATTCCTACATGGTGCTTTAGTAACGTCTTGAACTATGATCTCCCTTTACTTCTAACATCACTGGTCATTGTGGGTGGGAATCATCTGAACTGTAACAAAAGCACCTTTGGAGAGGTCATTTTAAGAGTCATTGATACATACTTATTGGCATTGTTTACAGCTGTCGAAATGCCATTTTCAATCAAGTCTACATCCATGCTGTCCCAGGAAATCTGAAAAATAAAGTTGCTGCATGTTAAGCAAATCTGTTAAAGCTACAATTAATGTATTAGTAGAGTCTCGGGATAGTAGGCATCACTAGTTTCAGCCAATGAAGCAGTGTGAATAATGCTTTGGCTGGTACACACACGGTCTCAAGCCATGGTTTCCCATAACTGTGTTTTACTGAATAAATAAGGAGACTCGGACAACAATCAAACTTTATACCAAGGTCGTGAACCATAATGGCTGAATTCACATAGCATACCAACCATAAACAAATCCTTATGACTTAATGTGTGAATGAGATTTCAGCCTTTAGTGGCTCTTCTCTGGAGGGCCCAACTGTGCCTGCAGGATGTGGTAAAAAAAAATGTGATGCATATAAAAAAAACTAAGCTGAACTTGGACTAAATGATCATTGATCATCATCTTCTTTTAATGACTCCATAATCCCTTGCAGGATAGAGTCTGTGCAACTGAATGGAGCTGAAAGTTTACTGGCCGAATGCCCTTCCTGTTGCCAATGTGGAGTTTTGTTCAGCAGAAATATTCTCATTGTGCCCAGAGAAAGAAATATCGGCCTCTATCTAGAACTCACAGCCTCCTCATTGTGAGGCGAGAGCTCCACCTCTAGGCCACCGCACCACTAAACTATCATTGATGCCATCTTGAAATTTCTGATGACACCCCTGAAGACTCTCTTCTCAAGACAAGATTCAGAATGATGTCTCTAGCATCACTCACCTATTTATTCCAGTTTATTTGTTCACTCACAGAAAGATAAACTTTGCCATCTTTTAACTGATTTTACCACTCTGGATTTCTTCCATTTTTAGCCTCTATTCCAGATTATTAAGCATTTGAGAAGGTATCATAAAAGAATGCAGGATACTCACAGAGTAGCATAGCTGAAACCTATCTTCAAGATCATCTAGTTCACACTCAAGAACTGTCTGCAAACTTCTTCATAACAAAAAGAAATAGAAAATAAAATATTATATGAAGTTCTTTCAGCAGATATTAAAACATTGCCAATCAAAAATACATCCTGGAATGGTTTCACATTTTTATAAGCCTGAGAACATAAAGAAAATCCCCAGACTGGTCCATGCAACCATGAATAGATTCAAGCTTCCCTCTTTTGAGTCATCATATCTAGTGCTGGAGTTAGAATGGCTAACTTGATCCAGATAGTCAAGTACTTGGTGAGAAGATTCAGAGAAGATATATGTATGACTGCTCCAGAAAAACCTTTGGATCCAGATAATTTAAAAAAACTAACTTAGTGGGTAATACCCTCTCCCCAGGCCAAATAGTATACCCAATTTTAAAGGGGACATGCTTCTATTGGGATTTGGGTCATACTGGGATTTACTAAACTAGGCTGAGACACCAGTTACATTGGGCAAAAGAGAATGTTCCTTCTCCTAGACCAAAGGTCTCAAACTTAACGCCCGTGGGCCGGATCTGGCCCACTGGGTGCTTAGATCTGGCCCGTGGGGCTGCCCTGGAAACAGCGAAAGATGGGCCGTGGTGCCTCTGGCATCAAAAATGGTGCTCGGGAGGGCTGCATGAGCTCCGTTTTCACTGGCAGAGCGCTCGGGCCGCCATAGGCTCCCCCACTATGAGTGATGTCAAGCTGGCCACGCCTCTTGGCCACTCCCCCCCCCGAGGTCAAACACAACCCTGATGCAGCCCTCAATGAAATTGAGCTTGACACCCCTGTCCTAGACAGTTCAGAAGAAGTGTGTGATGGCTACTATATTTCTAGACATGTTTTGGAATAAATACATTTTTGTCATAAATCTGTGGCTTATTATCCTTGCTTCTGCTGAAAAATTGAACAAAATCTCTATGCTTACAGAGAGCACAAGCTAGTGCTTTTAAAGGACATTTAATAAATCATTTCCACACGAATACAGAGATGGGAGCCTAAGGAGATCCCATAAAGAGAAAAAAGCAGAAAAAAGCAGATAGACCTCAGTCTTTTTCTTCCCCTTAACTAGGATGGACTTCTTGCCTTTGGTTATGCATAGAGAACACTTTCTCTGTCAGCCATTACAGCTATGTAACTGGAGGTCTTCTACTCCACGGGTGTCAAACTGGTGGCCCACAGACTGGATGCGTTACACGCAGGCCATGCCCATCCCAGCTCCGCGAAAAACATCACAAAATTTCACATGACGGCGTTAGTTTGACACCCGTGTTCTACTCTAGGTTACTCCACTATGACAACTCAAATCAAGAGAAGGGATGTATCCCTACTGCAGAAGGGATGAGGGGAGAAATGACAAATGATTTGCTGATCTCTACACCTACAGTCATCTTAAACCACATTCAAATGTTAGGATTTCATTACTTTTGGCACATCCTTTGAAACAGAAACATGGTTTTGTCAGTTGTAGGGAGAGTGCAATGACTGGATAAAATCAGTTAAGACTCAATGTCCCTAGTAAGTTGATAGGACTGAATTCATTTACCTTCCTAGGACAGGGCTTAGCTCTTTCACATCACTGAGAGTTGGCTTTTTGTTAAGCAGCTTTTTAAAGACGGCAAGTGGGAAGGGTAAGTAGGCAGTGATTTGGTTGGCTATTGAGAGTCCACAGAGAATACCAAAAAGGAAATATTTATTCTTCTCCACAGAAGGCTGCAAGAACAAAACAGCAAGAGAACATCACCACAACTCCCAAGAAGCACAGTCAATGAGAAGGAATACAGATTACTTTTGCAACATTTAAAGGGACACATGTTTGTACAATGGGATAAACAGCCTAGTACAGTGATGGTTAACCTTTTTGTCACTGTGTGCCGAAAACGCGCGCATGCCGGCACCCATAATGCAATGTGTGCATGCCGCCCCTGCCCCGCCCCCTGCGCATGCACGCCCCACCCCTGCATATGCGTGAGCGACCCCCCCTGCGCTCACCCCGCACATGTGCATGCAACCCCCCTGCACCCTGTTTTGGGCCTAACAGGCCTCCCTGCAGCCTCCTGGGACCAAAAATGGGCTGTGGGGGGGAGGGCGCCCCCACGCTCCCATTCCCCGTACAATCACGCACGAACCCCCCCATGCATGCGCGAGTGTTTCCTGTATGTGCCCTGGGCCTCCCCGCGCATGCGTGGCAGAGACCCGAAAATCAGCTGGCCAGTGGGAGGCACGCACGTATGCGCGGTGGAGCTGAGCTGGCGTGCCCGCATAGAGGGCTCCGTGTGCCACCTGTGACACACGTGCCATAGGTTCGCCATCCTGGGCCTAGTAAAATGAAGAGTAGTATTAGGCCACCTAGAGTATGAATCACCAACTTATTTAGTTGCACTTTAATATTCTACTAGAGCCTACTTTATTTTTATCCTGACTTCCTTATTTTTATAACTAAATCAAGATGATGAACATACCTACTCCTTTCTCCTCCTCTTCTTCCCACAAGAACAACCCTATGAGAGTTGTTGGACTGAGAGAGAGTGACTGGCCCAAGATCATCCAGCTGGTTTTCAGGCCTAAGGCAGGACTAGAACTCACAGACTCTAGATTTCTACGTGCTACCTTAACTAATAGACAAAATCGGCTCTCTTGTTTTTTTCCTGCACCTAAGAATTAGTCTGCATTTTCCTGCAGCTAATGGTGAAATAGTATGACCTTATGAAAAGTCTTATCTCTTCCTGACAGACTTCTTATATTACCCTGTAAGACATCATGAGAAAAAATATTTTCAAATTAGTGCTCTTTATCAATGTGCAAATTGCGGAGTGGCTAAATACTTCCTTTCATTCAGATCAAGTTTTATAGTCCTATTGGAAGTTAAAACCCACCCCTCTCCTAGAAAAATGAAATATTTTAGGAAATATTAAAAAGAGCTGTAGGAAGTTAGTACCCACCCCTTTCCTGGAAGAGTGAAATATTTTAGGAAATATGAAAAAGGCAGAATATTATATTTCCCTGGATGAGAAATGGATAAGCATGTTTTGAAGCAGCTCCCATCTTCCTGCCCCCACCCTTTGTCAATGGGCTATTAAGGCCTGGGCCAGTCTATTCTACATAACAAAGATCTACCTCCTTCAGGCAGAGCCATAGTAGGAATTGCCAAAGATCCAACAAAGGTAGGATTAGCCCCCTACACAAAGCAGCAGAAACTCACCACATGTGACCTGGGAAGCACATGTGACCATCAGCCAGCAAGGCTAGCTAAGACCCCCACCCCCTGGGAGTCTGACAACCAATCAGGACACTCTTTCTGGGCCCCAGGAAGTTCAGAGCCAGGGAGAGCATAAAAACCCGAGGATTTACTGTATCTGCCCTTTTCTGTTCAGGAACTCAAGCCATGTTTTTTCAAAAAAAAAGAAAAAAAAAGTGATCCTGTCCACCATTAAACCATCTTTCCAAGCAGTCTCCATGTTTCCAGTGTCTTTTTCCCCACTTGGAGCAGAACCTAGAAGGAGATTTCTTCCAACAGAGCAGAATATTTCCTCCTAAAAGGGAGACAGAAACTCATCCCCCCCACTTTGCCAATGGGCCATTAAGGCCTCAGCATCCCATCTGCAACACAAAGGACCCATCTAGCAGCAGAAACTCATCACATGGCACCTGGGAAGATTACATTAGCCAGCAAGGCTAGCTAAACCCCCGGCTCCGTGGGAGTCTGACAACCAATTAGGATATATTTCTTATACAGGAAGAGGAAACACTAAGGTGGGGCCCAAGAGGGTATAAAACCAAGGGACTCTCAGCATCTCGCCCCTTTTTCTCATTTTTTCTTCACCCAAAATCTTCAAGGCATATGATCCATTAAAATAAGGTGACCAGACGTCCCGCTTTTGGCGGGACAGTCCCGATTTTTAGCAATTTGTCCCGTGTCCCGCGGTGTTTCAAAAAAGTCCCGATTTTTCATTCTGCCTCCTGAGTCCCGCTGCCTCTTAAGCCCCAGCTGATGGCTAGAAGAAAAAAAAACTGTTTAAACTCTTGCCCGGGGCTTCAAAGGGCCGCCCTACAGGCAATCAGTGTAAAGAGTTCCTGAAGCAGTTTTTTTTCCCCCTAGCTAAGCTGCAGAAACGAAACCGAAACCAGGATCTTTGGTGCAACGTGACAAAATGAGGCAGAGAGAGATTTATTTTTATTTTTATTTTTCCTCCCCAAAAAAGGTAGGTGAAAAACTGCAAACAATGGGAAATTTAGGAGGAGAGTTCAAGATTTTAAAACACAAAAGAAAAAAAAGCTGTATTTAACTAGGAAATTGTAATAATTGAGATACTATTAATTGTATATTGTGTTGAAAGCAGAAATGGTTAAGTTGTGGTTCAGAGGAATATATGGGGGAAATTATTTGGTTTATTATTATTGGTAAATATAATTAATTGATTTGTAAGAAATTGGATTGCATGGAAATAATTGGAATATTCATGTTCATATTGATTAATATACAAAAAAGATAGTTATATAACTAATTGATTTATATTAAAATGTTGAATTTGTATTAAACAACTGTATTACATAATTACATAATTAAACAATGTGAGGATGGATATAAAAATAGATGACAATGGGAAGGGGTATAATATAGAATAGAAGGGAAAAATTGAATTTGATTAAGATTAGAGATGAGGATGAAGGGTAATATTGGTTTTTTTAAAAAAATAGATGAGGAATAAATATGGCAAAAAGGAAATATAGAAATTGTAAATTTAATTGAAGTGACTAAACACTGTTTAAATTTGTGAACCGGCCAAATACTCTGTTCAAAGAAAATACATTGTATGTTTGTATGTGTATTTCTAATTATTGTTATTTATTCATATTTGTTCTTTTTTATTCTTTAAAGTTTAACAATTCATTCTTTATCTTAATATCTTTATATTTGTTTGGGGTTGGCTTTCTTCCCTTTCATCTTTTTTATTGTACAGCAATCTTTCTCCTCAAACCTACCACCTCTCTCTTTTCTTTCCTTCTTACTTTCTCTTCCTCCCCTTCTTCTTCTCCTCCCTACTTCCTCTTCCTTTCTCCTTCTCCTCCTCTCTTCCTCCCACTCTTACCTTCACTCCTACTCTAATTTCCCTTCCCTTCCTTCATCCCTCTCTATTGCTGTATCCTTTTATGCATATGGACTACTCAGAGGGCTGAAAAAGTTATTTTTGACTGGTCCTCGCACTTTTGACCAGTCCTCGAACTTACGACTGTCCTCACATTTTACATTTTTGCCCTATCTTGTCATCATGGTGAAGAGAAGCAGTTGTGAAATGAGTGACATGGTTGTTAAGAATGCTGCATGGGCATAAATATGAGGATGGTCATAAGTGTGAGGACCAGTCAAAAGTGCGAGGACCTGTCAGAAATGACTTTTTTCAGCCCTCTGGTTAGTCCTTTTGTGCATATGGACTACTCAGAGGGCTGAAAAAGTTATTTTTGACTGGTCCTCACACTTTTGACCAGTCCTCGAACTTACGACTGTCCTCACATTTTACATTTTTGCCCTATCTTGTCACCATGGTGAAGAGAAGCAGTTGTGAAATGAGTGACATGGTTGTTAAGAATACTGCACGGGCATAAATGTGAGGATGGTCATAAGTGTGAGGACCAGTCAAAAGTGTGAGGACCTGTCAGAAATGACTTTTCAGCCTTCTGAGTAGTCCCTATACACATAGCCATGGCCACCCGGTCACATGACCAGCTAGCCACGCCCACCCAGTCACATGGCCTCCAAGCCACGCCCACACAATAAGCCACGCCCACAATGGTGTCCTTCTTACCAATGTTAAAATCTGGTCACCTTACATTAAAACCATCTTTCCAAACAGCCACCATGTTACCAGTGTCTTCTTCCCCACTTGGAACTGAACCCAGAAGGACATTTCTTCCAACAGTCCCTTAAGACAGAGGTCTTCAAACTTGGCAGCTTTAAGACTTATGGACTTCAATTGCTAGAATTCTCCAGCCAGCTGTGCTAGTTGGAGAATTCTGGGAGTTGGAAGTCCACAAGCCTTAAAGCTGCCAAGTGTGAGGACCCTTGCCTTAAGGCATCTTTCCCAAACTTTGGGGCGTCAAAGAGGTTTCGGGATTACAAATCCTCATAATTCCTGAGTTAGGTGTTTTGAAGTTTCCCAGACTATTTTTTCAATGAACAAAAGACCAGGTGTAGAACTTCACAAATCAAACTTGCACATATTTTCCCCCCATTAAGATCCCATATCCCACCTTGGGTTAATGGGGGTGGCGTTGGTAGGTATCATCTTGATGAATTGAGTTCATTTGAACTGGAGTTGGGTCTGATAAACTTACCTTGGGAGGGAACCACATTGGGGAAGTGGGTTTAGGATACATAAACATCCCATATTCTGGCTGTACCACTTTCTCAAACACCTCTGAAAAGAATTCCACCAGGTAACCTGTACCTCCATAACTAGACATTTCATTTTCAAATTGAACCTGCCAAAACAAGTAAAGAAGAAAGGAAAAGTAGTCCAAATAATGTCTATGGAGATTCTCAATCATCCAGGTCATAGTTGTTCAAAAGGTGCTTCTCCAAAAGGCAACTGGACTTTCTTGGTTTTTTCCTTTGAAAAATGAAAAAACAAAACAAAACAAAACGAGGAAGTCCAGTTGACTTTTGCAAAAGCACCTTTGGGATAGTTCAAGGCATCTGTTGACTTCACTGAACGAAAACAATTGAGGAATCAGTGTCCGTAAAAGCCCTTAAACAGAGGTTAACAATTGTGCTTAGCCTTCATCCAGCAATCTCATTTGTGCCCCGTTAGAGCAATGATGAAGCAAATCTCAGATAGTTACATGACGCAGCCTCTGAATGGTTCCCTACCATAATCCCCCTCCCACCTGCTTCAAAATCTTCTTTACAAGGGTCCCCAAGATTTCTGAACAGACCTGGAGAACACCCAGGCAACTCAGGATTCTGCAAAATTTGAGGAAAAAAGTTGTAGTTTTAAGAATTGCATGAAAGAATTGAAACACAAACATCCTTCTTCAGATGGACAAAGAAAGCTGAAAAATGTTGAATTCCTTTAGTAAATAGCAGAAAAGCTCTGAATTTGTAGAAGGTCAAAAGGATTTCATGTTTTTTGAACTCTTTGGCTGGTTTTGGATGCTGTTAGCTGCAGAAAAATTTAAGAGCGACCTTCAACCTGTAAATTGTGTCTAGTTTCTTAGAATTAAGGCAAAATACAGGTAGTCCTTGACTTACAATCATTCATTTAATGACCATTCAAAATTGTAACTTATGACTATTTTCCACATTTATGATCATTGCAGCATCCCCATGGTCACGTGATGGAAATTCAGTTGCTTGGCAACTGGCCTTCATTTATGAGGGTTGCAATGTCGGGGTCATGTGATCACTTTTTGCGATCTTCTGAGAAGTCAATGGAGAAGACAGGCTCCCTTAACAACTGTTACTAACTTAACAATTACAACTGTGGCAAGAAAAGTCATAAAATGGGGCAAAAGTTACTTAACAACTTAGCAATAGAAATTGTGGGCTCAGCCGAAAATGAATATGTAAAACATTGTATGATTCAGTGGCCAAGGAATTTTGGATATAATGTGATGCTTGAACAAGGAGAAAATATGTGGATGAAGGGTTTAAAATTTACATTAAATTATAATCTTAAAGGAGAATTTCTCTAAGATGATGTATCGTTTTGGAGTATGATTCATATTTTAATACAGAAAATTCTGAAAATGGAGATAAAAATGAAACCAGAACTTCCTTTTGGGTCTAATGGAAAAAGAACTGGAGAAAAAATTTGGAACTTTGTCATGATATATGTTGACAGCAGCAAGACTATTGTATGTGCAAAAATGGAAGAACACTTTAATTCATGCCATGGAAGAATGGTTGCAAAAGTTGATGGAGCTGGCTGAAATGGCAAAACTGACCACTTTGATTAAAGAAAAGAACGTAAGTACTTTTGTTTCCACATGGAAACCGCTTCTGAACTTCATGCTTGATGTAGAAAAGAATGAAACTCTGACTTGGGTTTTACAGATTAGATTGATAGATCTTTATAGAAATGACTTCCATACTAATATGGAAAAGCAAAAAGCTGTGATTTGATGTTAATGCCTTATTTTACTGTAACAGAGAGTCAGAAGTCAATGCTTTTTTTCTCCCCCCCCATCTTTCCTCATTTTTTTATTTTCTTATTTTTTTACTTACTTACTTACTTACTTACTTACTTACTTATTTACTTACTTACTTACTTACTTACTCAGGGCGGCTTACAATGCGTTAAGCAATAGCCTTCATACTTTTGTATATACCTGCTTAGTAGGGCTTTCGACCCCCCCAAGCGGTGTTCTTTGTTTATACAAAGTCAGCTTATTGCCCCCACAATCCGGGTCCTTATTTTACCTACCTCAAAAGGATGGAAGGCTGAGTCAACCTTGAGCCTGGTGAGATTTTTTCCCCTTTCCCCCTCTCTCTCATTGTTTTTCTATTTACTTTTCTATTTTGTACTTTATAATACTTTATAACTTAATAAAAAATGGGATTAAAAAAAATTGTGGTCTCAGTTGTTGTTGTAAGTCGAGGACTATCTGTATAACTGTGATAGAAATAAATAGTGAGTAAGCAAACACCTTGTGGATAGATTTTTAAAAACGCAGTTCCCATTTTGAAGGCTACACCAGTCAGTTCTCAGATTCAAAGCTCAGGTAACTCTGTATCAGCAGACCACAGGTAGCTCACCAGCAGTTGCTTTTTCAGGTAGGTGTCCTCCAATATACTAAGCTTGTGCCAGGTGTCTTCAAGGAGAAAGTGGCGTCGTACTTTCAGAGTAAAGGTGGGGCGTTCTGGAAGGTCACTATTTCTCAGTCCCCAATTGACGAGCCATTCAAGAGAAGCTTTGCATTTTAAATCCTGGAGAAGCCCAAGGGGAAAAGAGATAAAAACCAATAATCAATTTTCACATTTTATCATAGAAGAAATGTAAGCAAATCAAAGGAAGCCTGCTTTTAAGGCAATTCTGATGATGGCGTTTATATTTAAGCATTTTCTCCTCAAATAACCTAACAGCATTCAACCATAAAGATTCTCAGTCATCCAGCTCATGGCTCTCCCAAAGACGTTTCTTCAGCTCTGACTGGATGGAGGCTTCTTCAGTTAGAGCTGAAGAAGCTTCTTGGATGAGAAGTGAAATGTCTTCAAAGAAAAACCAGAAAGTCCAGTTGCTTCTTGAAAAAAAAGCACCGTTGGGACATTTCCTCAAATCTCCATTCTCAAAGTGCTAGCAGAGAAAGATGGTAGGGAATGAACTAAAATATGATTTGGAATGGTAACCAATTGGGCCTTTAAGAAACTTTACTTATTTTCTTCAAACCATTTGTATGCTGCGTCCAGTCTCCAAGACAGATTGTACCATTTACAAATGCTTCTGAGGCCAAAGTACTGCAAGAAGTGGCAAGAAAAAGGGTTGCATGGAGGTGCCTATATTATTCATTATTTGCTTGCTTCTTTGTGTTGTCTTTACAGTTAGTCCTCGACTTAACATTAGTTCATTTAGTGACTGATCAAAGTTATAACGGCACTGAAAAAAGTGACTTATGACTGTCTTTCCCACTTATGACCATCACAGCATCTCCATGGCCACATCATCAAAATTCAGATGCTTAGCAATTGACTCAAATTTATGACGGTTGCACTGTCCAGGGATCACATAATCACCGTTTGTGACCTTCTCACAAGCAAAGCCAATGGACAAGCCAGATTCACTTAACAACCGTGTTACTAAACAACTGCAGTGATTCACTTAACAACTGCGGCAAAAAAAGTCAAAAGGGGGCAAAACGTCCTTAAACAAATGTTTCACTTAGCAGCAGAGATTTTGGGCTCAATTGTGGTCGTATTACTGCTGATTATAGGGGTATGGGAGTTTACTCCCTATCATATTTTGAATGGTGCAAACATAAACAAACAAATAAATTGGGGGTCTCATCCATAAGATATAAAGGGGCTCATTGCCAAGTCTCAAGTCAGGGGTGTAAAATTTGATTTCGTTGCGTTTGATCTTGGAGGGCTGGGGGGCGTGCATGGGCATAGTGGGTGTAACGGGCCATGGTGGGCAAAATGCTGCTGGAGGCCGGGGAGGCCAAAAATGGGCCGCGGGGGACCTCGCAGGGCCTCTGTGCGGCCCATCTTTGGCCAGCAGAGGCACAGTGGGCTGGTCCTTTGATACTTGCAGGCTGGGCCCGTGGGCCAGATTTAAGCACCCCACGAGCTGGATTTGGCCCACAGGGTTTGAGTTTGACACCCCTGCTCCAAATCAGCCCTTGGCAACTTTAAGAGATGTAGACCTCAATTCCCTAGCCAGTATGGATGGCTGGTGAATTCTGGGAACTGACGTCCATACCTCTTAAAAGATGCCAAGATCAAAAAATACTGCTCTACACAAATGGTATGCCACCTTCCCCAAAGCAAATTCCCGATTAGTCTTTTCCCAGGCTGACACATTTCCGCTCCTCTATTCGAAGCCCAATTTTTTTTTTTGCACTGGAAAAAAAATTGGCACATTCTCTTGCAAACAAGAGAAACCTCACCAGCTCTCCAATAAGCAAGAATATTTTTTTTAAAAAAAGATTCTTTACCTCTTGTACAACAAAGGACCCGTAATAAAGTATTTCCCTCTTGGTTGGTACATTGTAGATGAAAGGAAAACGGCAGAAAGAGATTAACCTCTCTTCTTCTGGGATATTCTGCATATTGCAAGGGGGAAAAAAATGGAAATCTTTTGAAAGAAAGGAATATCTCACAAAACTTCCTTCGCTTCCCAACTGCCTTTGCCCCTTTGGCTTCCAACCTGCATCAATATACTTTTTTTGCTCTTTCCTGGTAAGAAAAGGACTTATGCAACAGCTAAACTACTCAATGTGGAATTCAAATGTTTTCAGATTCGCCTCAAAAATAAAAATAATGAACCATCTCTCTCAAAGCAAATGTTTATGCTTGGGCACAATTACATAACTGCCATAAAGGAAAAATCACAAATTCCCCAATTCCCTAATTTAGAACTTTTCACAATTCCACAGCAAAGCAGTCCATTTCACCTCTTAGGCAAGCGAATATGTCAGATATAGATAGTCCTTGACTTACAACTGTTCGTTGCTGTGTCCCATGGTCACAGTGTGATCATCTTTTGTGACCTTTTGATAAGCAAAATCAATGGGGAAGAAAGATTCACTTAACAACCATGGCAAGAAAGGTTATAAAATGGGGCAAAACTCACTTAACACATGTCTCACTTAATAACAGAAATTTTGGACTCAGTTGTGCTCATGACTACCTGTACTCAGAGAAAAGCCCTGTTCAAGCATTAAGAAAATAAATCTGCGAGTTTTCACACAATGATAAAAACACAACAGCAGATCCAATCAATGCGAAATCTAAATGCGAAAGAGAGACAAGCAATTGCTTAGATAGGATGGGAAGAAAGAAGATACACAAGAAGTTTTGATACTGTTTTCTTTATAGGGAACTTGCTCTTGAAATTCAGGAAATAATACATATTCGTAGTTTTTGAATTTCCTGTTAGGATTCATAAGTGGTTCTAGTTCAGCCTGCAGGGTGAAAGCTAGCAACTGGACTGTACACGCAATAGCACTTTATTAAGCCACATCCTTTGACACCATTCTTAGCCTTGTCATGAAATAATCAGAGCTTCTCGCAAAGAGATAATTGCTCCACACTCCAGGCTCCAGAAGAAAAGCTCGTTGCATATCCATTGGTTTACATGTGAAACAAGCCAGAAACCTAGCAAAAATAAGAAATGCATAATTCCTGTCTTAATTCAGGAAAATTATGGGATTAGGAGCTACAGGGAAACAATCTAAAAGTGTCTTGGAAAAAAGGTTTAAACATTGATCTTTAATAATACCATTTTTGTTCAATGAAATGTTCTCCTCATAAAATGCATTAGATTCCTTAAAATGATAATTGTTCTATGCACTATCTTGGTCAAACCCACTGCTGTTTTATAAGTACTTGCTCACATGGTTCTCAAATTTTCAAGTCAACCCTAAGGTAAGAAACTTCTCGGTGTACTATGAAGCAATATACTGAATAGATTAAAATTAACTTAGTTTGAAGAATTTGCTAACCCCCAGGCTAACCTGGGGATTTACAAACCGCAATGCTAGAGTTCACCCAACATGAAGTGTTAGTACCACTTTATAATACCTTGCTAAAACCACACTTAGAATATTGCATCCAGTTTTGATTGCCATGATATAAAAAAAGATGTTGAGATTCTAGAAAGAGAGCAGAGAAGAGCAACAAAGATGATTACAGGACTGGAGATTAAAACATATAAAGAACGGTTGGAGGATCTGGGTATGTCTAGTGAAAAGAAGGACCAAGGGTGACATGATAGAAGTGTTCCAATATTTGAGGGTCTGCCACAAAAAAGGAGTCAACCTATTCTCCAAAGCACCTGAAGGCAGGACAAGAAACAAGGATAGAAACTAATCAAGGAGAGAACCAACCTAGAAATAAGGAGAATGCTCCTGACAGTTAAAATAATTAGTCAGTGGAATGGCTTGCTTCCAGAAGTTATGGGTGCTCCACAGGGGTGGGTTCTAAATTTTTTTACTACCGGTTCTGTAGGCGTGGCTTATTTTGTGGGCATGGCTTGGAGGTCATGTGACTAGGTGGGCATGGCTAGCTGGTCAGAGTCATTTCTGGAAGGTCCTCGCACTTACGACCAGTCCTCGCACTTACGACCCGACTCATTTGTTTGCTTTTAACACTGATCAGCTGTAGGACGGCCCTTTGAAGCCCCGCGGCAAGAGTTTAAACAGTTTTTTCCCCTCTAGTCATCAGCTGGGACTCAGGAGGCAGCAATAGATTGGGGGTGGGACCAAATAAAAGGTAAGAATAACGTGGGTGGGGGGGTGGGAGTGTGGGGGGGAACCGGTTCGGTGACGTATATCGTCACCGCTACCGGCTCGGCCGAACCGGACCGAACCGGGAGGAACCCACCACTGGTGCTTCAACACTGGAGGTTTTAAGAAAAATTGGATAGCCATTTGACTGAAATGGTATAAGGTTTTCCTGCCTGGGGAGGGGGTTGACCTAGATGTCCTCCAAGGTCTCTTCCAGTTCTTTTACTCTGTTCTGTTCTAACATGGTAAGCAAAAACCAAACCACATTATGGATTAGTGTGATGTTTTAACCCAGGTTTCTTGGCTAAAATACTTTCAACTGAGGAGAAATGGTGAATAAAGCAAGAATATATTCCAATTACTATATGCAAGGACATTTCACCTCTGTCCAAGCTTCATGAGCTCTAATACTTTCCTTCTACACAAGGCCAAGAGACCATGTAAAATGATACTTACATCACACAACTTCCATCTCCAAAAATCTTCTTGTAGGTTAATTTTTTGAGTAATTTCATCTATGCAGAAGGTACTTGTTTGCAGTCGGGATTTAGCCTTCATGTTGACCTTGAAGGAAGATATTTATAGGTCAAAGCCATGGATTTTATATCAAGAGGCAGCACAAACTCTCCACAATCACTTCCAAGTCACCAGACATACCTTATACAGCATTTTAAGCACTTTGAGGGTATCAATCCATGGCTTCTCTTTGGGATAAAGGTTATAACAAGGCAACATGGATGACACATATGTCTTCAACATTTGAACTATTTGCTCTAAAAATGGACGTGGCAGCAAGGACCAATAATTTTCTGAAAGAAAGATATTTTCAAGTCATTAAAAATACAGACAGAATCAATTGTATGCTAAGTAAACCAAACTGAGGAAAATCCTTGATGAGGCTACAGAAGAAATAAGCAATATTTTGAGGAGTAGAAAGCCAATCTTAATTGTAGCCTAGATTCCAAGATTAATGTCTAGAGGTGAACAACAATGAAGAAAGTACTCTGAAGTAACCCCTTGTATTCAGATAGTCCTTGATGTACAACAGTTCATTTAGTGACCGTTTGAAGTTACAACGGCACTGAAAAAAGGTGACTTATGATCGTTTTTCAGCTTACTACCATTGCAGCATCCGCATGGTCACGTGATCAAAATTCTTGGTAACTGACTCATATTTATGACGGTTGCTGTGTTCCGGGATCATGTGATCATCTTTTGCAGGCTTCTGACAGACAAAGTCAATGGGGAAGCCAGGTTCGCTTATCAACAGTGTTACTAATTTAACATCTGCAGTGATTCATTTAATGACTGCGGCAAGAAAGGTCATAAAATGGGGCAAAAGTTACTTAACAAATGTCTCATTTATTAACAGAAATTTTGGGCTCAATTGTGGTCATACGTTGAGGGCTAACTATAGCTCTTGGTTTCTTTGGCGTGGTATTAATTTTGCCAGACTAAAGCACTTACCTGCGTAATTATTAGATAATTATTAGACATACCTGGTAAACTGCCAGGAGGGGTTCATCTTCTGTCTTTTTCTGCATACCAAAAATTCCAAGCTATGTTATCCCTTTGCTCCCTAGAAAAGAGCCCCTCTCTTGTGCAACTCTGGACTACCTTGTGCAGCTCTTGTGACTAACTTGTACCTAAGCCATTTGAGGCTTTCTATAGCACTGAAAGTACATTGTAGGTCACATTTTAAGTTTGCTGCAAATTTCTTTATGTCCTCAAGGGCTGTCCTATAAAGCATGGTTCTGACAACCACTGAAAACTTGGCTTTGTTCCCTGGTCTAGGTTGGAAAAAGATGGCTGTGGAGCTCTTGTTTGTTTTTCCCTTCTGTGGAATTTTTTAAGGTGTTGAGTTTCTCTTTCTAGATATTCAGAATTTCCTCATTTTCTTTCTTGCTTTATTTTATAATGGAAGCGACACGACGCTGGATGGCTTCAACATTTAATGAAACAAACAAACAAACAAACAAACAAACAAACAAACATTTAAGGTTTGTCACACAGAAAATGGAATTGTTCTGACCCAGCCTTAGCAGAACCAATAAAAGACTCCTTATCCCGAAAAAACCCTCTTTATTTATCTACTATGAATTAATGGCATTCACACACCGAAAAGTTCAGGCAATAATCCTTCAAAGGGTTATCTGCAGACCTTATCAGTTCCTTGGGATACTTGCCAGGCCAGGAGTTTCCAGCCAAAAGCTGTAAATTAATTCCTGGCAAACAGTCTCTGAGGCACGAACCACAATAAGCAAATCTTCCGAAATAAATCCGAACGGTTGTCTCCTACAACCACCCCTCCCCTTTCCTTCTATTTATTCCACAGCCAGGGAGGGGCCATTCAGCATCCACGTTGCCTTTCTTCTCGAGTCGACTCCTTGTCCTCAGTTGTTCTCCTCTCCTAACAGCTCTGCGCACATATGCATCTGGAAAAGGCCCCAGCTGTTCTTCCTCCCCACTTATCTCTGACTCCGAAGACAGCTGGGAAATGTTGGATGGCCCTTGCTCTATCTCTGCTTCTGATGCAGAGCATCCATCAGAGCCTTTCCCAGACTCCAAAACTGGCCCAGGTTCCTCCCCAACCTCCTCATTGTTCGAGTCTGCTGCCAGCTCTGTTGCCAGCTCTGCTGCCAGCTGGCGAGCCACAACAGCAGTAACTAGTAACTAGGAATACACTAGTTCTGTTACCCTGGAGGGCAAGATCAGAACCAGTGAGATGAATCTAAAGGGAAGCATTACAGTCAATCAAACAATGGAATACATTTGCCTTATGAAGACATAGATTCCCCTTCACTGGAGGGGTTGAAACATAGACCGGATAGCTATCTTGGATAAAATGATCTCTCTGATATCTTCTATCTTATGGCTCTATTGCTTTTGCTGAGAAAATGTAGAATTCTCCTGAGCTGGGAGACTGAGGAATGTAATATATGAATGGGGGCACACAGGATGTGTGAAAAGAGAAAAGGAGAATTGTTCCAAACTCACCTAGAATGTTGGAAGAGCTCTTGCTCAGGCCTGTGACAGCTTCAGCAAACTGTAAAGCTAGCGACGGTATCCTGTGTGCTCCAAGAGCAACACAGCACTCAGGCACCAGAAGAAAAATAGCAAGAGCTTCTTGGTGACGAGAACTCCGTGGAAGAGCAGGAAATAGGTGGTTCAATAGAGAAGAACAGATCTGTTTAAAAACAGTAGGGATGGTTGGCTAAGGATCTATCTAGTTTCAGAAGAAAAACAGATATGTAAAGACGAACTATTGTTGCTCTGCTCACTCCTGAATTGCATCCCATTATGGTGAGGCACCAGGTTGCATGATCAGATATTGCTTTGCCAGGACTGAACTTGTCTTAAGTGGGAAGATATTGAAAGGGCCTGCCAAGAGACACTATTGTCCCATGAGGTTGAGGTTGAATGGATCAGGTAGCAAGCCTTCTCTGTGTAACTCCTATGTTCTAGATAATTCGACTCATAAAGCTTCGTATAGTCACCTCCTGCTTGGCTTCCCATAATTTTATTCTGCTTTGTTTTTAATCTTAGCTGGGCTGTGGCATCTGTTGGAGTAGGGAAAAGTGGATGAGCTTTTTCTTAATGTTATTCGTTGTTTTTACTCTGTGGCACTCTATGTTGACATGGGCTATGGATGGAATGAGTACATCAGGACAGGATTTCTATGTAACTGGAACTCATGAAGAGGCAGAGCTCCCAATTCCCAGGAAGATCTGCAGCGAATTCTTACAGAAGTTGCATTCCAACTGTAGATAATGATTATCCTAAACCTTAGGACCTAAGGCATCCAAAGCTGGGGTGGGAAGCCAGATGTTCTCCCTGTGTTCTAGATTAGAATTTTGGTTTTTTTATCCTCTACTATTAGGACAACCTTCACACAACTGGAAGTACCACTTGGGGGATCAGGATTATATACCAGTCCATCTATGGATTTTCTCATCTGATCACAGAACAATCAACAGACTGTCTAATGAGGAATAATCCCTATATTGAAAGAATTTTTTTTTCTTTACCTGCTCAGCAATCCAATCTTTCTCTGTAAGTTCGTTCAAAACTTCTCTTGTTTCTTGCAGATTCACTGGGATATAACAGTCCATTGACACATCAGATCTAGGAGGAAAAATGGAATGCCCCTTTTCTGAGGAATGTCCAAAGCTCAATCACATGTTTCTTAATGCTACCATTCAGAAATTTTATACAGTGACCACCTACATTATATTTCCTAGCTTTGGGCATCAGATCTTCCAAAGAGAAAATTGACTTATCAAGATTTCTGCAGATGTTAAATTCACTTGGGTTACACTAGTATAGTGATCTCCAACCTTAGCAGCTTGGTGGCCCAGCTGGGGGAGGAGAGAGTGGTGGGCCAGTGCACACATACATACAGCTCGATCTTGCACAAAATGAGCTGCACCACACATGCTGCCAGAATGTCAACTGCATGAATCGAGCTGCGTGCTTGCATGCACGCCAGCCCACCACTCACAAAGCCTGGTTGCAAATGGGCCGCAGAGAGGTAGTAGGCTGTGGTTGGGGATCCCTGCACTAGTGAGTCAGGACTTGTTATTCTCTCCTGAGAATCCAACCGCACTGCTGCATACAATGCAGGCTACTCACCTTGTTTGTAAAAAGCTTGCTGTTAAGCAAGGAGGCGAGGAAAAAATTTCTTCTATCTCCCTACCAAAAAGATAAAAAGAAAAGCAATTAATAAAGCCATAGCATACCAACCCAGCTTTATACTTGCTTGGAAATAACTGTGTTCAACGTGAGCCACAGTGGCGCACTGGTTAGAGTGCAGTACTGCAGGCTACTGCTACTGACTGCCGGCCGCCTGCAATTTGGCAGTTCAAATCTCACCAGACTCAAGGTTGACTCAGCTTTCCATCCTTCCGAGGTGGATAAAATGAAGACCCAGATTCTTGGGGGCAATATGAGTTGTTGTTTTTTTTTGCTTTAATTTGTATGCCGCCCTTCTCCGGAGATTCAGGGCGGCCTCCAATGCGTTAAGCAATAGCCTTCATACTTTCGTATATTTATACAAAGTCAGCTTATTGCCCCCACAAACTGGGTCCTCAATTTACCTACCTTAGAAAGGATGGAAGGCTGAGTCAACTTGAGCCTGGTGAGATTTGAACTTGCAGTAATTGCAAACAGCAGTTCTTAATAACAGTGCTTAGTCCACTGTACTACAGGCTCTTTGTTCATCAACTTCCATGCAAATCTTGACAAAGATTACTTTCCACATATGTTGGTGTACAAATCTGACATCTTGTATTTCTTTTCTTCCCTTTGGCTATAAAATTTACCATATCTTTTCTTTTATGTACACTGAGAGCATATGTACCAAGACGAATTCTTTGTGTGTCCAATCACACTTGGCCAATAAAAAATTCTATTTTATAAAATTTACTGTCAACTATTATATCAGAAGCAGTCAATTATGTCACACTGTGGCACTGAATGAAATACCACCATTGACAGGGACCAAAATTATAGGAAATCACCGCCTTCCAGATGTTGCTGAACTACAATCTCAAACAGCTCTCTTGATATGGCCAATGATGAGAACTGCAGGAAACTTAAGATACAATGACATCTGGAGAGCTATAAAGTTCCCTGTAAAAAGAATGAATTTTTATGTCCATTCAGAAATAACATTGGTCTTTGTTTGGAAAACTTGCACAGTGCATAAGACCTTAATTGATCTCATTAACATCTGTTCAAGCTCCAGAAACTTAAATCTTATCCTTCCCTGATCAGCTATCTGCTGGTAGGGTGGAAACAGACAGAACTTTCTCTATTTCTAATAGGACCAGAATGTTGACCCATTCATCAGCTGGAGAACAGTTTTCAAGTTCAACTATAAGAACAGAATGGAACATAATAATTTAGAGTATTTATATGTTATTCATCCCCTTGATGGCTCAAGAGTGCTGTAATGGTATGTGGGGATGAGAGACAGGAAGAGGAGTTGCAATCTAGACAAGAGTCTAGGGAGCTGACTTTGCAGAAGGAGTGGGGGCATGGCAAACAGAATAACAAAGTAGCAGAGTTGGAAGGGACCTTGGAGGTTTTCTAGTCCAACCCCCTGCTCAAGCAGGAAACCTTGCAGGAAACAGCTAGGGACCTTCCCTCACTTTGAGAGTCTAAAGGCGAGGATGAGGGAGAGGTTTACTTTAAGATATGCAAAATTCTGCTAATGTAGCTTTACAATAGAGATACTTCTAGTCGTGCTTCTTGCCTGGACTATCACAAAGGGCTGATAGATGCTTACAGAAATACAATTTTCTCATTAGACACAGGCAATACATGTAGCAACCTTTTAGCATTCTGCTGTGCTTCACTTCCTATTTCTGCTGACTTCCATTTCTCAATCAGTCCTCTGTCCAGCTGGCTGATCCTAGGCAAGACTTCCAAAGAGGTGGCTGCATTAGCGCACGCAGAAGCCTAAACAAAGAAAAACCCTAGTGAAAAAGTGTTGTTGCTATCTCACATAACCGATGCTTCATAGTATAAACCTTTGAGAAGGCAGAGATCTATGGTCACTTCTCATTCATGTCTCTCTAGAAACTGGGGATGCAACTTTTGGGAAATTGGGTTTGCAAATATCATTGCAAGTTGACAAATCATCCAAATGTCTATGTAAAGAGAAGAAACTTTTGTATGCAGTCAAAGAACACATTTCATTTAGGCAAGTTAGTACTCATTAGAATAGCTGTATTCACAAAATGCAGGTAGTCCTTACTTATAGCATCTTCTATAATCTATTTGAAGTGCTACACAACCTACTAGTAACTAACTTAGCTTACTGATGGTTTGATAATGATGTTGAAGTCAAAATAGTTTACAAAAGAAATAAAAAGATTACCTGAAATATATTGACAAAGTTGACAAATGCTCCAGCAAAAACTTTGACTCCCAACAATTCTACAATATGAATATAAGTGTATTATTATTATAGTTCATCTCAGTCAGACAGTTGTTGTTATTATTGTAATAAGTACAATATTTCTGTAATTTCTCCTCCTTCCTCTTGTGATTTACACTGCAACTTTGTGAGGGTGCTTCTGAAATTTCCAGAAGGAATTCAATCGCAGCTTATAATTTCTTTATCCCTCTAAAACCCTTTTCTTCATTAAATTTTCTAACATAAACATGCAGCAGCTCTCTTGTTCTCCACTGACAGAAATATACATTTTCTTTTCATGACAAACAGAAGAATTCTGTCTTCACTCCAATCATACATTAAGTTTAATTTTGCAGCCACAATGTTGTGCATATTAGATTAGAATATCAGAATTCACTGTATTAAAAAAAACCACACCTTTATTTTGCTTTCGCTGGTCAAGGAATTACATATCTACCCAATTCTCTATTTCTACACTCCTGCCAACTGATTAAAACGTGAGACTCTTAAAATTACCTCAGGTAGTCCTCGACTGACAACCACAATTGAGCCCGAAATTTATGTTGCTTAGCGAGACATTTGTTATGTGAGTTTTGCGCCATTTTACGATGTTTCTTGCCACATTTGTTAAGTGAATCATTGCAGTTAAGTTAGTAACATGGTTGTTAAGTGAATCTGGCTTCCCCATTGACTTTGTGAATGAGATGGACAACTATCTAAATCTGACAAATCAAATCAAATAAAAATGTAGGTCTTGATTTAGGGTATAATCAGTTTTGAGTCTAGCCATTAAATCTCAACCCAAAATTTTTTAAATTTTGTATTTCTTGTGTTTTATCTGTTGGCTGTTCACTGCCCCGAGTCCTTCGGGAGAAGGGCAGTATATAAATATCAACAATAAATAAATAAATACATAAATAAATAAATAAACCACTTCACAAAGTTTCAGGATAATCTTAGTGATTTAAAAAATGGGGGGGGAGTCTATCACTTTAGACTTTTAGAGTAAAGCACAACACAAAAATCTAGAAAGATTTAACTCTAAAAAACCTCCATGAATATTTGATCAGAATGTCAAAAAGATCAGCGATCAAACATTGGATAAAATATACTCAAATCGAACCTGACTTTTAGGTGTCACTTTTCAAAGAGAATTAACCATCTGTTTTCAAAGCCATGGGATGTCTTAAATGTGCTTAGATGTGGCTGTATGTTGCCCCTTTGCATTCTTGTATTAACACAATTTTGCATTCAGGATTTGTGTTTACAAAAAAGGTACCATTAGGGGCCAGAAGAGCATTGAGGTCAATACACTTTCTTTCTTCCTGTCTGCTCTCCAATGCCGAACTTTCCGCCTGCTGTAGGAGACCACGTCCAAAAGACCACAACTGCCCGGACTCAGAGACACAAAGAGTGTGATAACTGCAGAAAAACCAAAATACTGTCAGCTTTCCATATGGACAACTCTGCTCTCTATCTTTTTGGGATGTTATGGTTTAGAATCAGTGGTGAAATCTAAAATTTGTTACCACCGGTTCTGTGGGCGTGGCTTGGTGGAGGGAGGGTAATGTGACTGGGTGGGTGTGGCCAATTTTTTTTTTTTTTACTTTTAAAACCATTTTTTTCTACAACCTCTTCGGCGAAGAGGTTGTAAAAAAAATGCTTTCAAAAGGCTCTGACGATCCCAACTGAGTTGCCTGATCAGCAGAGGCTTTCTGCTGATCAGGCAACTCAGCTTCGATCGTCAGAGGCATTTAAAAAAAAAAACCCTTTTTTTCTTTTAAATGCCTCTGACGATCCAAGCTGAGTTGCCTGATCGGCAGAGGCTTTTTGTTTTTACTTTTAAAAGCATTTTTTGCCTGAAGAGGTTGTAGAAAAAATGCTTTTAAAAATAATAATAAAAAAAGCCTCTGATGATTATGCGGCTCAGCTGGGCATGGTGGTGGTGGGGGTATCAGGGATTTTTGCTACCGGTTCTCCAAACCACCCGCCTCCATCGCTATCGGATCGGGCAATCCAGTCCGAACCGGGAGCATTTCACCCGTTTAGAATAATGACATTAATACAAGTTCCCTAAATATGTCTCAGATGTATAGTCCTCTCTCATCATCAAAAGTTCCTGGTAAACCAACAGCCTCCAAAATGTTAGAAGGGCTCAATGCACTTTGATTTTGTTTTTGTTTTTACATAGATTTTGTTTTTACATAGGCTATATTAATTTCCCTTGAAAACTCAGGTACAATCACTCACATAGATGTGGAAGGAAAGAGATGGTACATACCTTCCACAGGAAATGTGGGAAACTGGATCATCAATCTCATCGATTTTCTGAGGACCAGTCTTTGAAGAGTTGTGTCCTAGTTGTCCAGCACTATCATCTCCAAAGGTAAAAACACTGCCACTCTATGAAGGATGTTAACAAATCAAGCACCATCAAGTTTTTTTCCATCCATCTACATTAGTTTTATTATATATTTCTGGGACTATATGTTGTTGTTTTGAAGAACAAAGGTTATATTTGCATGCAGATGTGCCTGACTCCAACTGCAGCCATCTAATTTTGCAACATTGACAGCAAGGAAAAGGAATCAATCAAAATAGTTTGAAGATTCCCTCTTTTCTTCACTTCCAGATGTGAAAATTTACAGAGCATGTAAACTCATCTCTCTAATCCAGCAGTTCCTTCCTAATTCAGGAAGTTAAAACAGCAATATGAAAGCTTAAAACAAAACTAAAAATGCTTCCGGTCAAAGAGAAAAACCAAAAATATTCACCTATGAGCAAATTAGGAAAAAAAAAACTAATTCAAATCCTACCCACCACAACGACCCATTTTAAATAAAGTCCTTATGGAGAAATATAATTGTTCTAATTGTTTAAGCAAATTCTAATTGTTAAGCAAATCTAAGTTCATAAATTCAATAATATAATTTGGTGGCTTCTGGACTGAACCGATCCCTGGTACCCAAAAATTGGGGGCCACTGCCAGAGAAACCACACCAGTTCCATCATTTCTTACATTTAGTATTCAAAGACTCCAGAATATTCTACAAAACAATTCCCAATATCCAGTTAACAAACTGCCGCTAGCAGTATGGAAACTTCTTTTACGAATTTAATACCTTGGTGAGAACAGCTGTATGTTCATCTCCGCAGCTAATATAAGTCACTTCAAGGTTTCTCAGGGCACCTATTGAGTAAGGTTTGAAGATCTGTTCTGCTGGAAAAAAAAAAAAAACCACCAGAATATTGTAGCATTTTATATGAATATTCCAAGAACCATCTCCAAGTTTATTAAAATACGCCGTTATTTATTAAGTGTGACTAAAATCATTACTGTAGCTGAAGTTGAATTAAAGTAGTTACAGTAAGCTTTGAAAAGCCACTCTAGAAGGTTCCAAAATGTAAAGCTTAGAATTGTCACGGTCTTTGAAGTGAGGAACAAAGAATTTGGCTTCTGAAAAGGTTGTTTGTTTTCACCAGGGGTGGGTAACCATGGCAACTTTACAATCTGTGGACTTCAACCCCCAGAATTCCTCATGGCTGGCTCAGGAATTCTGGGAATGGAAGTCCACAGGTAATAAAGTTGCCATAGTTACCCACCCTTGGTCTACACTATGCCAGGACGCATTTTGAAGATATTAAATGGGCTGAATGTACATTTTCTAACAAGGGGGACAAACACGTGTTCAAGCCATCCTTACCATTTTTGTGCTCATATTCTACTTTGAACCTATCAAATTTATAATAATTTTACAAAAATAACTTTGATGAATTGTTTAATAATTAATGATTATGTTGGTTATATATTTTATATATTTTAATGATGTTAAAGATTGGACATGATAAACAGTTCTCTTCTATCCTGGGCCAGGCACGCTTTTCCTAAACAAAAATATATAGTTAAGGGATCAACCAGAGTCAGCCTGTCCTGTTAGGTCATCTAGGGAGAAACTGACTTTTTTAGGACTAATTCCTATGCCAAAGAAGACCTATAACAATCACCTAAGAGAATCAAACCAGGTCATCTGAAGTACCAATTGATTGTTTCCCACCCTATTCCCTACCTTCAAATAATCTTTTGTTGAAATTTAATTCCCACAGATTGGCAAAAAAGATTTCATAATACTGCAGAGTCTCAAGGAGTCCCTTTGTAAGTTCCCCAGAGTTAAGATCTCCAATTTGTTTATACATCTGAGTCTTATTTTAAAACTCATTCAAGAAGCTTCTTCAGAAGAATTGCTGAAGAACTGTTCTGCAGAACTGAAGAGGCTTTTTGGATAAGAAGTGAAACGTCTTCAAGGAAAAGCAAAGGAAGTCCAGTTGCCTCTTGAAAAAAACACTTTGGGACAACCATGGCCTGGATGTCTGAAAATCTCTAGACTCAGGTTTTATTTTAAGTGAATCACCATTTCTAACCCATCTGTGCTGATTTTCAGTCAGTCTATCGATGCTTTAATACATTAGTTTAAAAACTTTAATTTTTAATTAATTAATTTTTTTGCCCAGTTCTATCCAGATGCAAATCTAGAAGTATCTGTCTTTTCCTATACTTAAGGAGGCAAGGAAAAGATCTAGGATGGGATTTCTTCATCTATATACAGATGCAATCCTTAGGTTTGGATCCGTTTGCTTTATAGGCTGAGATTATGATCATGATACAAAGGAGTCAGTGTCTCTCTCTCTTAATTTAAAATCCTTCACAGATTTCACAGATAATCCTGGTTATCTCTCTAAAGACACCAATCAAGCCAGGTTTTCCTTATGTTTTATTAAATGAACCACAAATGGCCAGACAAGTGCAACATACTGAGATAGAAACCATGTTTACAATACACAGTGGCTGGGATATCTTAACATTAGAACCAAATCAAACATATTTTGGCTTAGTGTATTTTTAATAATGCTGATATCTGCAGGTGTCAGACAGATGAAAGGATTTTTTTTTACTCTAAAGACATGAAACCCCAGTTTTACTTAGTCACTGTCTATCATGTACTTAACAAGGTCAAGCCTGATGTGATTTCTGTTTGAAAGAACAAAATATAGACATTTAGCAAAGGATTTATAATTTTTATTCTTAATATCCCCAAAAAAATTTCTCTTCAGTAAAAGAGACAATTAAAAGGAAGAAACCAAGCAGCATGGACATTTTTTCCTGGGATAATTTGAAGACAGACTTACCTTTTGAAGTTTTCTGGCTTAAGCCCAACTGATGCACATTGTTCCTTCCCCAGCCATAGACTACTCCAGAATGAGACAAGACAAAGCTGTGTGACCCACCAGCAGCCACCTGAGCCAAGGGGATGCCAGCAAGAGAGGAAATGTTACACGGAGTAGCCTGGGATGAAACTTCTTTACCAAGACCCAGCTGACCATGGCTGTTCTGTCCCCAGGAAAAAAGCCGGCCATCTTCATTGGGGAAAAAAGTGGAAGGAAAAAAACACCATTACGTTGATTAGAATATGAATTGGCAACTTGTTCAGGTAGACCAGGGGTGTTAAACACAAGGTCCGCGGGCTGGATCCGGGCCACGATGTAGTCAGATCCAGCTTGCGGGGCCATCCTGGAAAATGCAAGTGGCTGGGCTGCGTCACTTCGGCCCAGTCTACCAGCATCACTTTGGCCTGGTCCACCCAATGCGAAGAGGAAACATTGGGCCAGTGTAGCTTCGGCCTGGTCTACCCACTGCGAAGAGGATACATGCCAGGGATGTATGTAGTGGCATACATTGGGAAGTGGCATCAAGCTGGCCACACTCACCCAGTCAGCCACACTCACCCAGTCAGCCACACTCACCCAGCCACCCCAAGGTCAACCACAGCCTGATGCGGTCTTCAATGAAATTGAGTTTGATACCCCTAAGGTAGACAAAAGTAGCCTTCAACGTTTACGATGACAAACATCTCACAAGTTTGCCAGATTTCATGAACAATCGATCATCACGCCCTCAAAATTGTATCTGCTCCCTCCTGGAATCTTGTAGGTTCATGGAATGATTTTTGGTGGAATATCACAAAAACCATACAGCGTTAACCATGGATGCTTTTATGCCCGCAAGCTTTGCATTGCCATTTGTTCTAAGTAGGAGAGCTGTAAAGCTTTCTATTTTATGAAAATACCTTCCATGTCACATTATCTTCTCCCTACACACGGTCACTCATGCTCTCGTCACCTCTCGTCTGAACTATTGTAACGCTCTCTACATGGGGCTCCCCTTGAGGTGCACTCGGAGGCTCCAGCTGGCGCAGAGTGGGCCGCGCGGGTGGTTATGGGAGCAACGTGGAGCTCCCATGTAACACCTCTCCTGCGCGAGCTGCACTGGCTCCCGGTGGTCTTCCGAGTGCGCTTCAAGGTTCTGGTTACCACCTTTAAAGCGCTCCATGGCTTAGGACCTGGTTATTTACGGGACCGCCTGCTACCACCAATAGCCTCCCACCGACCAGTACGCTCCCATAGAGAGGGGCTCCTCCGGGTGCCGTTGGCCAAACAATGTCGACTGGCGGCCCCCAGGGGGAGAGCCTTCTCTGTGGGGGCACCTACAGTCTGGAACGAGCTCCCCCCGGAGATACGGAGGATCCCGGATCTGCACACCTTCCGCCGCGCGCTTAAAATGTTTTTATTCCATCAAGCTGGCCTGGCCTAAATCTTCTCCTTTTTAAAATTTTAAAATTTAAATTTTAAATACTAATTTTAATTTGTTTAATTATGGGATATTTTTAAAATTGAGCCAAATTGTTTAATCTGTTTTAATTTATTTTAAATTTTGTATTCTTGTGTTTTATCCTTTGGCTGTTCACCGCCCTGAGTCCTTCGGGAGAAGGGCGGTATAGAAATCTAATAAAATAAATAAATAAATAAATAAATGATCGCGGCAATAGAATTCAGAGTCTAACTTGAGCTGTCACACATGACAACTACCAGGTTGACACATGAATGCACAGATCTGCATTCTCCTTGACTGGCATATTGGTAATCCTCGACCTACAACAGTTTGTTTAGTGACCGTTTCTTTTCTTTCTTCTTTTCTTTTATTAGATTTATATACCGCCCTACTCCCGAAGGACTCAGGGCAGTGAACAGGCACAGAATAAAATACATAATACAAAAGTTAAAACCATCAATAAAACCAAATTAAATAATTTAGCCCAAATAATTAAAATCCCAATAATTTAAAAACAAATTAAAAATTTCAATTTAAAAAATTTAAAAGAAACGAGGAAGTGGTTAGGCCAGGCCAGCTTGCTGAAATAGGAGAGTCTTAAGCGCACGGTGGAAAGTGCGCAGATCCGGTATCCTCTGTATCTCTGTGGGGAGCTCATTCCAGATAGTGGGTGCCCCCACAGAGAAGGCCCTCCCCCTGGGGGCCGCCAGCCGACACTGTTTGGCCGACGGCACCCGGAGGAGCCCCTCTCTGTGAGAGCGTACCGGCCGGTGGGAGGCTGTTTGTGGTAGAAGGCGGTCCCGTAAATAACCGTTTGAAGTTACAATGGCACTGAAAAAACAACTTCTCTCCATTTTGCACACTTACAACCATTGCAGCATCCCCATGGACATGCAATCAAAATTCAGATGCTTGGCATCGTATTTATGATGGTTGCAGTGTCCCAAAGTCATGTCATGACGTTTTGCCACCGTCTGATAAGCGAATCAATAGGGAAGCCAGATTCACTTAACAACCATGTTAGTAACTTAACTATTGCAGAGATTGACTTAACAAATGTGACAATGTCATAAAATGAAGCAAATCTCATTTAACAAAAGTCTTAGCAACAGAAATTTTTTGGCTCAAAAAGGAGGACCAACTGTATTTCAGATTAACATCACTGATAGGAGACAGGTTGCCTTAACAACGGCTTCTTGCAATTTATTGCATTTTATAACTTTGGGTCTGATCCTGCAGCTACTCAAAAAGGAGTTTTGCATCGTGGACCACAGTTCACTAAATACATGATTTTTGATAAATTGTCCTAATTTTATCTTTAGTGAAGAGAGTAGAAAAAATTGTCAGTTAATGGGAAAGGTTTCAAAGAATAGCATAAATCAGCAAGTTGTCAAGGAATTTATCAGTAGTTATATAACTGCATTGATGCAGATAATCCTTCTCGGGATTATCTGTTTGCACGAAGCTTTGCCTTCTAAATTCTGTATCAAAACTAGATTTATAGTAATTCCTAAGGAATCTAGTCTCTGCCTAGGAAAATCTTAATCTAAGAAGAAGCATTTGTGTAGATGCACAGAAATACCGGTAGCGGGAAAATGAGCTCCTGCCCCATCCAAAATATAAGCAAGAAAAAGGCAAAAGTTATTGCAAAAAAATTAAAATCAGTTCTTACCTTTGGTAAGTGCTATGGAGTGATAATGTCCACAAGCAACTTGTATAACATTGTACATAGATAAAGAATCTATTTTCCTATAGAATTTACCGAACAAGGTGAGAAATAGTTCATTAGCATTCCAGATACAGAACCATATCATGATATAAAGATTATTGGCAGTTTTATCTACTTAAAATGAAACTGAGTATTACCATTAAATTTTTTTGTGTGTGAATTAATTAAATAAATAATAGGATAAGCATTACAAAAAATTATTTTAATCAATGGTAATGATTTCAAATCTTACACTAGACACATAAATTAATTAGGGACAAAGTACTGTAGCTTAACATTAAGCAACATTTTTTAGAATAATCCATTAAATCACTTCTTTCTTTAGCTTCTATTCTAGGATGATTTTGTGCCACATTGACACTGTTCAGTTATTTGGACTGTAATTGCCATCATCGTTGGCAAGGTATAATGGGAGTTGTAAACTAAAATATTTGAGGGTACCAGATTAGAGAAAGCTACATTAAAAAAAAAAAACCAAATAAAAAGATAGAAGCAGACTATAGAAGCACACTGTACACTATGAAAGCTTATGCAAGAATAAATTGGTTACCCTTTAAAGGTGTTTGTTTGTTTGTTAAAGGTTAACATGACTAGGAGTCATGGTGCCACAGTGGTTAGGATGCAGTATTGCAGGCAAACTATGCCCAGAACCAGAAGTTAGATCCTGACCAGCTCAAGATTGAGTCAGCCTTCTATCTTTCCTGAGGTCAGTAAAATGAGGACCCAGATTGTTGGGAGCAATACGCTGTAAATCGCCCAGAGAGTGCTGTAAAGCATTATAGGACAATATATACGTCTAAGTGCTACTCCAATATTGCTATTGCTAGTTTGCAATTCTTCCTCAACTGTCTAACGAAGCAGCGCCTACATCAGTAAGCCTCCCATTCCAGCTATGGGAGGGATGTAGACCTGTTGCAACAGCTCTTCCAAACTTTCTTAGCCAACAAGAAAGGAAACACCCAACCTCTATGAAAAGGAACATGGAAAAGGTCACAAATTCATCCTGTAACATCTCCCGCTTGGATAGCTACCCATTTATTCCAAGTCAGAAATGCAGCACAGATCACAGCTAGAAGAATGTCCCAAGTACACAAGTCAGGATTCAAACCTGTGTTTTCCTGACTAAAGGACTGCTATGGCTGAGACAAGATTACTTGGCAACAATATGAATCAGTTACTTACTTTGGAGTTGAAGAATCCTTTAGGTTTCCAGTGCCAAGCTGTCCAAAACCACCAGCTCCCCATGAAAATACCTTCCCTTGGCTGCTGATGGCCAATGAATGCTCCTTTCCACAGCTTATGGAGATGATAGTTTGGGCTTCCAAGGCTTGGATTGGTTCTTTCCAGGAGAAAAAAAAGACATTAATTTGCATGGTTATTAGAAGGCTCTAGGACAGGGGTGTCAAATATGCAGCCCATAGGCTGAATCCAGCCCACAATAGCCCAAGTTGTCCCATGGGGCCGTCCCTGAGACGGTTAGGGACAAGCTTGTGCCACCCTGGCCAGTGATTAAATCCAAATTTTTTTACTACCAGTTCTGTAGGCGTGGCTTGGTGGGCGTGGCAGGGGAAGGATATTGCAAAATCTCCATTCCCACCCCACTCTGGGGCCAGCCAGAATTGATATTTGCCAGTTCTCCGAAATACTCAAAATTTCCGCTACTGCTTCTCTAAACTGCTCAAAATTTCCTCTACCGGTTCTCCAGAACCTGTCAGAACCTGCTGGATTTCACCTCTGACCCCAGTCCTGGCTCACCCAGGCCCCGCCCACTCAGTCAGCCATGACGACCAGCCCAGCCCAGGCCATGCCCACCCCAGCCCCACAAGGGCAAACAAAATTATGATACGGCCCACAATGGGATCAAGTTTGACATCCCTGACCTAGGATCAATGAAAAACCTGAAGCTGATCCTCACCCTGTTTCTCTGGTCTTCCCACCTTCTCTCCAGGGTGGACACAGCCCAACAGATTTCATTCCCTTTGAGCCTGCTCTTACTTAAGTCTCAAAAAGGGTAGAAAACATGACTTTCACATTGAGGTAGCTAAGGATGAGCTGAACCTGGGTCACTCAGAGGTTGGGAATGAGAGTGTCATGGCCCCGTTGGAGCCTGGGTATGAGGAGGATGACAAGACAGTCATCACAGAGATGAGGGGACATGACAGAATAGAATTGAGCCTTGGTAATACAGTGGTTTAAAGCACCCTGTTATTAACACAGCTGCCTGCAATTATTGCAGGTTCGAATCTTACCAGGCTCCAGGTTGACTCAGCCTTCCATCCTTTCTAAGGTAGGTTAAATGAGGACCCAGTTTGTGGGGGCAATAAGCTGACTTTGTATAAATATACAAAAGTATGAAGGCTATTGCTTAACGCATTGTAAGCTGCCCTGAGTCTCCGGAGAAGGGCGGCATATACATCAAATTAAAAAAAAAAATTGCTGACAGAAAGATGCAAGTGGTGACTTCCATCATGTATGTCAGTGTCAATTCTCATTGCTTTCCTCTTTTCAGCTGAAGAGATGTGGTTGTGCAGCAATTAGCCATTTTCCCCTACTTGATAGACCTGTTATCCAAGCACAGCTGAGTCTGTTTCCCCTCCTCTTTGGGTGTCTTCCCATTTGTCCTGGTCATGATGACTCAGTGATTAAAGTTGCTGAGCTTATCAGCTGGAAAGCTGACAAGTCCAGTTCCAGACCTGACCCTGACACCCCAGGATACAGCAATCCTCATGAATACAGGCCCACCTCCAAGTGCCCGAATTGTGACCACAGGAATGCTGTGGCGGTTGTAACTCTGAGTTACAGGTTGTAAATCACTTTTTATGAGCCGCGGTGGTGCAGTGGTTAGAGTGCAGTACTGCAGACTACTTCTGCTGATCACCGGCTGCCAGCAGTTTGGCAGTTCGAATCTCACCAGGCTCAAGGTTGAGTCAGCCTTCCATCCTTCCGAGGTGGGTAAAATGAGGAGGACCCAGATTGTTGGGGGCAATAGACTGGCCCTGTAAACCACTTAGAGAGGGCTGTAAAAGCACTGTGAAGCACTAAGTGCTATTGCTATTTCCAGTGAGATTGTAATGTTGAAAGGTTGCTAAACGAATGATTGTAAAACAAGGACGAGCTGTACGTGACAGGTAAGAAACAGGTCCTTCTACCGTATGACAGTGCATTCAAAATGTGCCCTCTATAACACTCTGCCCGGAAAGAAATGCTTCTTGATACATTCAACCCATTTTATACAAAAGCACTTGCCTAAGTACAGATGGTCCTCGACTTACGACCACAATTTAGCCCAAAATCTCTGTTGTTAAGTGAGCCATTTCTTAAGTAAGTTTTGCCCCATTTTACCACCTTTCTTGCCGTAGTTGTTAAGTGAAACACTGAATTGACAAATTAGTAACACTGTTGTTAAATTAATCTGGCTCCCCCATCGATTTTTCCTGTCAAAAGGTTACATGACCTTTTATATTACATGGTAATATTACCGATTTAAATATATATATATATAATAAAAAATGTTATTAGATTAGGGAGAGGTGAAGGAATATATCATAAGTAGAATTGTAGAATGTCACTCTGAAAAAATGCTTAAGAAGAAATTATACTCTTTTTGTGTATATGTTGTATAAATGTTTGTTGTGTATATGTTACGTCTTTTTTAATATTTATATTCAATAAAAACTACTTAAAAAAAAAAGGTTACATGACTGTGGGACACAGCAATGATCATAAGTATGAACCAGTTGCCAAGCACCTGAATTTTGATCACATGATCATGAGCATGCTACAAAGGTCTTAAGTGTGAAAAATGGTCAGTCAAGTCACTTTTCTCAGTGCCATTGTAACTTTGAATGGTCACTAAATGAACGGTTGTAAGTCGACACAACAGAGAACTCCTATGGTTTATTTCAGGGTTCTGTATAAAACAAGTGGGACAAAAGGCTGCTGCTATGACAGACCTTTTGATAGGTAGTTTAAGAAAAGGGGTGAGAGAAATGCAGGAATAAAATTGCTCACTTTTGCCTGTCTTTTCTTTTCTTTTCTTAGAGAGATAAAAAGGGCAAAAGAGATAATTGAAAAAAAAATGATGTAATAAGTCACTTTCTATATTTATTTTATTATTTATTTATTGGTTCGATTTATATGCCGCCCTTCTCCGGAGACTCAGGGCGGCTTACAATGCGCTAAGCAATAGCCTTCATACTTTTGTATATACCTGCTTAGTAGGGCTTTTTGGCCCCCCCTAAGTGGTGTTCTATTTTATACAAAGTCAGTTTATTGCCCCCACAATCCGGGTCCTCATTTTACCTACCTTGGAAGGATGGAAGGCTGAGTCAACCTTGAGCCTGGTGAAAATTGAACTCGCAGTAATTGCAGGCAGCTGGCAGCTAAGTGCTACTTTAACAGCAGCTAAACAGCAGTTTAGTCCGCTGCACCACCAAGACTCTATCTTTTGATAGGTAGTTTAAGAAAAGGGGCGAGAGAGATGCAGGAATAAAATTGCTCACTTTTGCTTGTCTTGTCTTTTTTTTTTTTTTCTTAGAGAGATAAAAAGGGCAAAAGAGAGAAATGAAAAAAATTCCCTACCAAAAAACACACAACCCACTGGCTGCATTATCCATAACCGACCTTTTATAGAAATGAAATTACAACAGAATTTAAATGGGGTGGGGGGTTTAAGAGCAGGGGACGAGAGCAGGGAACATTTCATTTTGCGACCCATAGTTTAATTTCTTGCAACGAAAAATGTTCTTTTACAAGATTGGTGCTCCATAGCAGGGGTCTCCAACCTTGGCAACTTTAAACCTGGCAGACTTCAACTCCCAGAATTCTCCAACCTTGGCAACTTTAAGCCTGGCGGACTTCAACTCCCAGAATTCCCCAGCCAGCAAAGCAAAGCAAAGCTGGCTGGGGAATTCTGGGAGTTGAAGTCCGCCAGGCTTAAAGTTGCCAAGGTTGGAGACCCCTGCTCCATAGCATTCACATTCATCCAGGTAAACCGGGTATTTCTCAGGACACCGTAGTCGCAAAAGTGTCCCTTTCGGAGGGGGGGGGGATGTTGGTTGATAGAAACCCCCCCTCCGCTCCCCTGTTGGAACCCCCAACCTGGAGGGGAGCCACACCCACCGCATCACAAACGAGGAAAGCGAAAGCGATCGCGGGGAGATTCGTTTTCAGCAGCGATACTCTAGAAAACGAAACTTAAAACGACGGCAGCGGCTGTGGGGGGGGGGGGAGGATCGAAGGATCGGGTGGCTGCCGATCCGCTGTTGAGGGACCGAGCTGGTTTGGTGTTGAGTTGGCGGTGGGGTTCAACCTTTAACGAACCACATCTGGACTTAAAGCCACACCTGGATTTAAAGTCACATCTGGACTTAAAGCTACACCTGGACTTAAAACCACATCTGGACTTAAAGCCACACCTGAATTTAAAGCCACACCTGAATTTAAAGCCACATTCTGAACTTAAAGCTACACCTGGCTTAAAGGTACACCTGGACTTAAGCCACATCTGGACTTAAAACCACACCTGAATTTAAAGCCACATTCTGAACTTAAAGCTACACCTGGACTTAAAGGTACACCTGGACTTAAAGCCACATCTGGACTTAAAACCACACCTGGAATTTAAAGCCACATTCTGAACTTAAAGCTACACCTGGACTTAAAGCCACACCTGGACTTAAAGGGCCAACGCGGTGAAAACCAGGCTCGGCGCGTGAAAAGAAGCCCACCTGGAAAGAAGCGGCTGGGTCTAAACTTCCGCTGCCGTCCCGCGGGGAGCTTCCTCCCCAGCTGTCCCTGGGCGTTGTCTCCGCAGGAAGCCAGGCTCCCGTCGGCCAAGAGGAGCAGCGTGTGCCGCTCCCCGCAGGCCACCAGGACCACTTCTTGCCCGCCAACCGCTGGCAGAGCCCGACGGAGAGGAACCGGCTGGGAAGCCCCTTCCTCGCCCGAGCCCAGCTGCCCGTAGGAGCCGTCCCCCCAACCGAAGAGCATGGCGATCCTTGGTCTCCGGCTCCTTCACCCCGAGAATCCCTCCCAGCGCGGAGTTCAGCCTTCCTCCCAACTGGGTATCACCTTCAGGCGGCTCAGCTTTGATAGACGGGTATAACCTCCCCCCCATGCTGCCTTCCTTGCCCAGCCCCGCCCAGTTGTTCCAGACCCTTCCCAGTCCTGATGGATGCGTTGCAGAGGAAGGAAGGAAAGAAAACCTGACTAGGTGGCTCAGTGGCTAAGACGCTGAGTTTGTGCAGTTGGATGGTTCGAATCCCTAGTACAGTCTCCTGCGTGAGCAGGGGGTTGGAGTAGATGACCTCCAAGGTCCCTGCCATCTCTTGTTACTGTTACACCTGTTACATCAAAGAAAGAAAGAGAAAAGGGGATTGCAGAGAAAAAGAAAGAAAGAAAGAAAGAAAGGCAAGCTTCCTCTGAGCAGGCCTGGCTCTCTTAAGAGAGATCTGGATAGCTGCTTCTGAAAAGTTGCTGGCTGGTGCAGGTATCTTAAAAATAGAATAGGGAAGTTGGAAGTCTATGGAGAATCTCCGCCATCCAGACCTGGTTGTCCTAAAGGTTCTTTTTTTCCCCCATAAAGTTTTTTATTTTATAACATATAAAAATTCCATTTTCAGTTAAACAGTGTGTTGCCTGGGTACAAATAGTTTTAGGAAATAATACATTACATTGGTATTAGTTCTATAGTAGTAATGATGATAATATTTGCTTATCCATTTTAACAAACTTCCCTTGTATCATTAGTCCTTTTCTTATATTTCCATGTTTTTAACTTCTGTTTTTATTAGCGAACCATTGATAAAATAAATCCCGTGTCAAAAAATATTCAGTTTCATTCTTTTCCTTAATTGTAAGTAATCTGCACATTCTAATATTTTTTAAATCACATTTTCATCTGTAAAGATGAAAATGTGATTTAAATCTTCACTTTTCCATTGTTGTGCAAATACAATTCTGGCTGCAGTTAATACATGTAAAATCAAATATGTATCCCCCTTGTTATACTTATCCAGTAAAATGCCCAACAAAAATATTTCTGGTTTTAAATCTATATGTTGCTTTAAACATTTTTTCCAAACATGTATGTATTTTTGTCCAATATATTTTTGCTTTTGGGCATGTCCCCCATATATGATAGTACGAACCAGGTATCTGATGACATTTCCAACATTTAGTGGAACATCTTTGCCAATCTTGAGGGTGAAAAATGTCATCTATAAAACATAAAGATTTTCTTTATATGCAGTTGACATCGTTAATTTATAATTCCTATTCCACAATTTCTGCCATTTATCTAACTCTATTTTATAACCGAAATTTTTAGCCCATACTATCGTCTCCATTACTTGCTCATCTTCCATTTCAATACTTAGTAGATAGTTATATATTTTCTTTATTAGTTTTTCATCCGTCCCTGTTAATATCTGATCTAATTCTGTTAATTCTTTATAAAAATCATACAATTTAGCAAGGTGCTTTTTTCAGGAGGCAACTGGAATTTTTTTTCTCCTTGAAGACGTTTCGCTTGTCATCCAAGAAGCTTCTTCAGCCCTGATTGGATTGGTAGGGAATGGATTCCATTCAGGATGAGTCTGTGTTGTCTGCAACTCAAACTGCAAGAGCCGAGGTGGCGCAGTGGTTAGAGTGCTGTACTGCAGCTACTTCAGCTGACTGCTAGTTCAGCAGATCAGCAGATCAAATCTCACCGGCTCAAGGTTGACTCAGCCTTCCATCCTTCCGAGGTGGGTAAAATGAGGACCCAGATTGTTGGAGACAATATGCTATTTAGTATACTGTCGATTGTTGTAAGCCGCCCAGAGTCCTTGGAGAGTGGGTGGCATAGAAATGTGATTAATAAAATAATAAATAAATAAACTGAAGCGCAAATAGTTCCTGTCATCCTGTGATGGCAAACCTATGGCACGCATGCCACAGGTGGCACACAGAGCCCTCTCTGTGGGCATGCCAGCCGTCACTCCAGGCCAGCTCCATTGCGCATGCATGGGCACCTCCCGCTGGCCAGCTGGTCTTCGAGTCTCTGCCATGCATGCATGGGGGGCGGGGACCATGCGGGGAACGCGCATGCGCAGGATGTGGGAAGCATGCGCAGGGGGGTGCAGGTTGGTGCAGGAGGCTTTCAAAACCCAAAATGGGGTGGGGCGGGGACTTGCACTGTACCTCCGAACCACCCGCTGCCATCGCTACCAGATCAGGCGATCCGGTCCAAACCGGGAGGATTTCACCCCTGCTCCAAGGTCCCTTCTGATTCTTATTCTGTTATATTCTGTTAAATTCTACTTACAGTAAAGTAGAATTAGCTTGCTGGTGGTGTTTCTTGTCTTGTACACCTAGTAAGAACTTGTCCAGAACTCAAGAAAAATATGTGGGATGTGGACCAGATGAGAGGCTTCCCCATGAATTATGAATGGACCCAAGTCTCTTTGTCCTCCTCAAGCAAATAAAATCTGTTATTCACACATGCTTACTACATAACTTAGGATATTTGGTTATATTAGTTTTGTAATTTGTTTTTTCTGATGTATGTGGGTTTAGCTTTGTTCTTTGCAATGCAAGGAAGTGGGGTGGCTACTACAACAAATTGTTGAATAAAAACTTTATTTTATAAAATGAAGTATCAGATTGCTCCCATAGAGGGCAATGTACACTGAAAATATTGGCATAGAATTAAGCTCCCTCTGATTAGCACAAAATCATGTTTACTTTGAATGATTATTCAAGCGAGGTACAGACAGGTTCAGATTCAGAGAGTAGAAGTTTAAATTGGGTTTCTCTGGGGAAGCCTTTGGCCCAGAAAGGAGGTAGAGGAAATGCTTAATATTTTTTATAATTTAAGTTTTAGTAAGAAAGACAAAAAGAAACACATTTTGGAAAAAGTTATAATAGTAATAAGGCAAATTGCTTTTTGAATTTTATTTATTAAACAAATATATTTTTACATTAATATACAGTGTTATGTGATGCTTCCTATAGTTTTAATTCACAGGAGTGAACTTAAATCCAAAATGCACTTTGGCTAAATCTATCGTTGGAGTTTGATCCAATCTGTTGAGTTCAATCCAGGGGTGAAATCCAGCAGGTTCGGACAGGTTCTGGAGAACCGGTAGCGGAAATTTTGAGTAGTTCAGAGAACCAGCAAATACCACCTCTGGCTGGCCCCAGAGTGGGGAGGGAATGGAGATTTTACAATATAGCAGTATTGTACAGAGACTAGCAGTCTCTCAGACTGACCTTTCTCCCCCCAAACGTAAACACTGTGGCAATAGCAAGGATGCAGCACAAAAAACCCCAAAAAACCCACAACCAAATGAAGTAATGATAAGGAGGGTGGGCTATCTTTGTGTTCTCTCATTGGTACAACTGGAAGGAGTGTGGAAGGAGGATCTTCTACTCCTGGTAGAAGAACTGAACCTTGCAAAGATAGTGATGAAGACATAAACGGAAAGTACAAAAATATCTCTGAGGGTTTGTAGGGAAGTTGGTGGTTGTTGAAAGTACCTTAATGAAAATACATGCCAGGATTACACACAAATTAATTCTTAGGTGTATCTGTGACTCCTTGTGTATGGTCTTCTTGGGGTGTTTCCCATGGCAAAATTCAGATGAAGGTTTTCAAACTTTTTGGGCCAGATGGTCTGTTCCAGTGTTTTCAACTTATTTTTCACCCATGGCCTCATCTAATCTTTTTTTTCCTGCTGTGGATTCACTTTTTTACTTCGTAGTCCTCGACTTACAACAGTTAGTTTAATGCAAAGGTGGGATTCAGCTGGTTCTGTCCGGTTCGGGCGAACCAGTAATGGTGACTGCAGGAGGCTCCGCCCACCCACCCAGACATAATGCGTAAACAAAGAGCATGCACGGAAGGCCATGCACATGCACAGAGGAGGAGCGTGTGCTCACATTTGCGAATTGGTAGGGAAGGTAAGTGAATCTCACCTCTGGCTTAATGACCGTTCAAAGTTACAACAGCACTGAAAAAAGTGATTTATGACCATTTTTCACCCTTACGACCATTGCAGCATCCCCATGGTCACATGATCAAAATTCAGATGCCAGTTCATAAAATGGGGCAAAACTCACTTAACACCTGTCTTGCTTAGCAACAAAAATTTTGGACTCAATTATGGTCGTACGTTGAGGGCTACCTATACTTTGTTGATATTACGCCAGTAATATACTGTATACCTACAACTGCAAAAGTGTATATTTACCCACTCCTGGCAAATGTTGCAACAAAGCAACAGATCAGTTTTGGCACACAGATGTGCATTTGCATATTTCTTTAGGATACAGTATTCACCTTTACCTGAGAGTAAATTCTATTGAGTAAGATTGGCTTCTAATGTCTGCGCAGGATTTCACAAGGAATTTATTTCCTGTGCAGTTCTATCTCAGTTCAAAGCATTCTTACACAGGAATAAGGTCCCCTGTCCAAAATTAAGAAGATATCTTTCCTGGAGGCATAATAAAGGTGGTCACTTTAAAATCCACATTGGCTGGATTTGTTTTCATCAGCACGTGGAATCCTGAACCTTTAAACTTTTGGCTTCAAGAACACAAGCTGATGTAAACTCAGTAGCTGATTTCTGAAGTTGACTGCGTGTGCGTTGAAGCTTGAAGCCAATTATTGTTTTCTGGCCCTAAGGAGGCTGTTCTCCAAATGAACAGCTGGCAGCTGCCAAGCAAAGAACTTGTGCTAGTGGGAATAGTTGGGTGTGATCTCATCCCTTTTCATCTCTGAGTCTTTTGACCCCTCAGGACAAATAGTGAAAGATAGAGGAACAGAAATATCTTTACAGGATCCCATGTCTTTCTTCTACCTGACCTCCTGTTAGTAAGATTAGTTTCGGTGTACCCATAGAATATTCAGGGGTGCGATTCAGCTGGTTTGGACCGGTTCATTCGAATTAATTTTACATCTGGTTCGCCGAACCGGTAGTTGCAAAGGACTGGCTGGCCCCACCCACCCCTCCCCTCCCCTCTCAGGAGTCTCCACACGTCCCGTTTTGGATGCCAGGTAAGTGCAGGGCCTACGTGGAGGCTCTGCGAGGGT